GGAATCCCTTGGCCAAATGCATGCATATACCATGTATATAGACGACGCACACCGTGTTGAGTGGATTCGTGTGAAAAATGGCATGCTCTCATGACGACCGTGTACGATTACCAAAATGTTCTGAAAATCACGACTCTGAACAGAAGAATGATACATAGTGTGGCGTTTCGATTTTTAACACTAATCGAACTACAGTTGCCGTATGGCAACAACCAATAGTTGCTCAATTTTTGTTCGAAAAGGTGATCCAAAGCGATTTAAATACCCAGATAAATTTGGCTTTTCTCTTCAGAGCTTCAAGATTATATTTCCAGAACATTTTCAAAAAATCGGGGAAAAATGTATTCTATTCGATTTGAGTTAATGACAATCATCGTAATGCAAGCCACGTTCGAGCGAGCAAGAGAGAAAGAGACGGTTTTTAGCGGAGCGTTCAAAAAGCCGAACGACATCGAACTTCAGTGAACTCAAACTCAATATGGCAGAGTATTAAATTGCAGCAGTGAGAATATGTTTGGTCAACAAAATCCCATTGGCGATCGTATTCACATGCACATCCACATCAACATCCACGCACGGGCCTCAAAAAACAAACTGCACATTTTTAGACGTTTGTGTGTTCCCGATGCGCGCAATTTTAAGCCTTTCTCCTACATTAAATTGATTATTTAAACGATCCGATTGAGCTCATTTACTCTCAACTCATTCGTTCGCCTACATTTCGCTCCAGTATGCCGCAGCCAATGGCATTATGCAGCAGTTAAGTGTTCAAATGCACGCGCCGTATGTATTTCTATGGCGTGTGTGGAATGTGCATTTCAAAATCAATATGTGCACATAAAAATAAGACTCTTAGTCGCTCAGAAAACCAATTTGAAATATAGATGAATGCAGTTGTTGTTATTAATGTTATTGATGCAGCTAGTCCAAGTCCGAGCCGCATATTTTCTTATATTAAGCATTGGATGTCCAATCCAAAGAAAAGTATGCGCGCATTGGTAATAGGGCCTATTCACACGGACCGAGCTGAATCACTCACTTCACTCACGCTTAGACATATTATATCGTTGCTGTTGATGCTTGAAAACATCGTCATCATTATCATCATCATCATCATCTCGTATAGAGGAATTTTATTTCTGAAGCTCATCTCGGGACTTGGACTGAAAGGAAAAAAACCCGTGTAAGAGAACAATATAATGAAGAATACATAAACCAAAGCAAGTATCATTACAGACATTCCACGATCATCGCCGGAATCATCAACAGCATCATTCCGTATCGTCATTACACATCAATAGCATCATGAAAATTGAACTCTTAATGGAATGTTTGATGTAGATCTTTGTATATAAAGCATTTTGAGTGAGTGTGGTATACAAGCACATCGTATGTGAATGTGACTGCTTGTTCTTCTGATGCTGATGCTGCTGATGCCGCCGTTGTTGTTGTTGTTGTTGTTGATGTTACTTCGTTCGTTCGTTTCACATAGACTTTGGTTGTTGTATTTTGATCAGTGTTCATATCTCTTGAGTACGAGCTCGTGAAGATCCAATGTTGGTCCTTCACAGTGAGCCGCACACAGCATCATCTCTCGGCTCGAATAACACACAGCACAGCACAGCACAACATCAACGGCATCAACAACGGCAGCATAAAACACGATGAATGAAATATAAGAGCGGCCTTCGTCTTTGTACCGCTTCGTTTGCTCTGTACCTTTTGTGAGAAAGTTTCTGGTCTGGGAATGGAATGCAGTCAGGCAATAAACATACACAATGCGTTTATGCTGTGCTCTTCTCATACAAACACTCGTACACATATCCATACACTTCTCCACACATACACAAGCTCATTCGCATTACTATACTACACGTACGCATATATGTTCGCAGCGAATATGTTAAGTCACATAGAAAGAAAACGGTCTTTGGCAATTTGTGTGCTGTTTGTACTGTTGGATATTTCCCATTCGGTTTGGGGACACACTTGAACGGCAAAGAGAAAGACAGAGACAGAGAGAGAGAGAAAAAAAGCAATTCACAAGAGCAATGTTGTTGTAAAAAAAAATACACAAATCTCAGTGAGTATTAAAAGCGACGACTAAAAAAATGAATGAAACCCACGGCGTATGAGACATTCGACAAATATGAACGCATTTATGTAAGTGTCATGGAAAAGATAAATAAGTTTAAAAACCATATACACATTTATTTTCTGTTTGCTTCGTACTTCTGGTTACAAAACGAATCCGTCTCTGGAAACAGGCTTCCAAACGGGCATTAAATCTGAACCAATCGAATCGATAGCGCAATCAAAAATCACAGTAGCAGCAAAATTGCTGTGATAAATCATTTCGGACATTTGGCCATTCAAATCGTTGTGCGTGTGATAATTTTTGGAATTTGATTTGACTGATACAGATGAAAAAATGCATCACAAACAAATTATTCATTCGCAAGCAGTTTCAGTGAGATTCTCTTGGAACTGAGACAGGGAGAAACGGTAATGAAAAAAATATATAACAAACAAGAATAAACAAATGAAACTCTGACTTGAAAACATTGCCTCAATTGATTACTTAAGGCAAAATGTAAACAGAAAATGCACAATACTTCTCCATAAATATACATGACTAAGTCAGTCACACACAGACTGTTCATTTTCGTTCTTTTCAATGGAGGGATAGAATACATCTTGGCGACGGTTACATATTTTATATTGTATTTTATGCGTCAGTCTGGGTATGCGCTGTGTATTTCTGGTAGTCTTTGCACTCGCTAACTGAATGATATTTTAAGGACCCAGGGCGTAATAAAAACTGCCATGAAAATTGATGTCGTCTGCACGAAATGGTTGACAAAAAAGAAACACCAACGAGTATTGCACACACACAACGCATGCACACGCAGCAAGTGGAGACAAAAGAGAAAAATGACCTCCGTTATATGGATTGTGCAAATACCCAAATGACTTGCCGAAATTACTTATAATTAACTTCGCTACGAATTCGGTTGGTGTGTTGTTGTTGTTGTTGTTTTTTTTTTTCGGTTGAGGTGAGAGACAAAGGCATAGCCGCGTTTTGCAGCAAATGCCAATATTTTTAGCAGGAAACCGCCCAATTCAACAACACGAGACAAAAAAATTCAACTGAATCGTTCTGCAATCAACTTCAAGCGTAAGCTAAAAGTAGTTTATGCCTTCGGCGCGCTGTGTTGTGGCTTGTGCTGTTTTCATTCGCTCTATCTCGCTCTCAATTTAGAAACTTAAAACGAAAACAGCAACAACAACGACGACGAAAAAGACAGCCGACCGACCATTTGCGTTTGGAAGCGCGGCAGCGCGAGCCCCATGAGATTTGTGTGCGTACACACACAAGTGCGGTGCTGGTTGTTTTTTTTTTCGTCGTTGGATTCCATTTATGCGAATAACAAAAACACAATGCCAAACTAAATATATATTAACATTTTTCGAATATGGGAATCGACGCTACGTCGCGCTTTCGACACACTTCATAGATTGTGAGAAAGTTTCGCTTGTATGTTGTACAACCGTTCCATAGTATAGAGGTTATATTTTGCAAACTCTCTGGTTTGTACTGTGTGACTTTTGCATGTATAAAAACCTCAATTCAAACTGAAATGGCAAAGTGAACAAAAGACGAGAGAGAAAAGAAAAAAAGAAATATGGCGACGACTGGAAACAAAATAGCAAATTGAATTTAACAACGACACGCCAAATAATAATTTGGTTCAATTTGCGATGGATTTTATTTTTCGACAATACACAGATTTGCACATTGTGTGTGTGTGTGTGTGTGTGGTTCGATACATTCCATTTTAAATTTCAATATTCATCGAATTTACAAAGAAAAACAAAACAAAACAAAAACATGATCAAAATTCAAATCAATCGAATGACATTGATTTGCTGAAAATTCGTTTGGCAAATAGAGTTGAAAATTGAAAACACTTACACAAAATGAAATTATTTTTTGGTTGATTGTAAACAACACACTCTTTCCGTTGCACAAACTCACAAAAATGCTATCAAATGGTTCACGTAAACTACTTTTCTGAACATCTGCTCTTCGCTGATGTATTTTGCAAAACTAACGTTAAACGAGATCGTTAAAATGTGCTCTTCTCCTCATACAGTTCCGAAAATGGTTAATTTGCGAAATTTTTGTTGCTGTTGGCCGTGTGTGTGTTTTTTTTTTGTTGTTTTCTTTCGATTAACGTCGAATCGAGAATTTTGTATGGAGACACTCGCTCACTCACAACAAAACTGAGAACCAGCCAACGAACAGAGTATAAAGGCCAACACTTTATCGATTTATTCAATGAAAACCATTATGGCTGCCATTTTTACACAAACACACTGTCATCTGTTTCGCTTCATTCCTTGCATACGTTCAAAAGAGAGCCATACCGCTTTACACTCTTGACTGTAGTCTCGCTTTGCGCTTACGACAACATTACACACTATACGATCCGGCTATACACATCCAACACACAACGGCTACAACGGCTGTGACGTACAGTCAATATTTATGTATATACTATAGTATACGAATACTACGAAGCGATATTTTATTCGCTTCACGTATCCCGTAGTAATGGCAATGTCGAAAGCGTCGAACAATTAAAAGAAGAAAAAAAAACGGGGGGGGGGAGCAGACAATGAAGTCGTATATTTTTCCATCATTACTCACATAAAAATGCACAAAACGGAAATAATAAAATTTCAAGCGAACAAGCACAATTGAAGATGCAAACGAACAAACACACGCAATCATACAGCGAAACTCCAAAAATGCGCTCGTAGACAAACAATTTGAAACAACAAAAAAGGAACAAATAACGAGAAAAAAAACACGATGTATGAAACGGAATGAAAAAGAGATTGTTCGAAATTTTCAGCAAAATGATCACATTTTGTGATTGGTTTTGGTCGGCAAATTTGCATGGCAAGACAAAAAAAAATCAGTTCTAAATTACCTGTTTTCTTTTCGGTTCAGCCGAAGAACACAATACTTCAATCATCAAAATGTTCAAGTGGTCAATATTTTTTTCTTGACCTTATGTACGGACATTTAAAAAAAATCACACAGACGTCCACAACGGATGAGTTATAAGTGAAGTCACGCAGAGTGAAAAAAAATATTCTCCAGTTATTTGATAAAGTTGTAAAAAGCCCAAACGCTTATCGAAATCGACTGTTGATAATGAAAAACGTCACAACAGAACGTCGGCTTCTTTTAATTTTTTTCTGAATTGAATGGTCTATTTCCGCAAACTAATCGAATCTTATCTTGAACTGAGTATTTACTTTATTTTGCAACAGCAGAAAAAAAAGAGGAATTACTTTTACTGCGGTTTCGGTTATATTTGTTTTTCAGATAAAAAAAATTTCTTCAAAAAGTTACCGATTCACGCGACGCACTCAAGTTTGTTTTATTTTCTCTCTCTCTCTCTCTCTCTCACTCTTCGGTTTTTTGGTACTATGGAACGAAAAAAATTTCGTCGTAAAAGGTTAAATGCGTGCTTCTAATGCTTTCGTATTTCACGACCGAAACTCTCTAATAAACAGGAACAACACAAAACATGCGACATGGAGAGAACAATAGCTAGAATATACATGTGTGTGTGTGTATTTTTAGTTCCTCTCTATTCTCAGTTCGGTAAGAATTCAGAACAGTAAACAAGCGCTCACACAAACACGAACACCGTTTGTATTATTAATTTTCGTATGATACTTTTGCTACACATGCGCCTTGTCTCTCATCGTATTGCTTTCTCTCTCTCTCTCTCTCTCTCACGCTCGCGCTCATCGCTTCGTCTCGTTCGTTTGCACGCGTTTTTTACGGGCGGTTAGTGAGTGCGCGCGTGCTGTCATCATCAAAAGAAGACATTCACTGTGTGTGGTTCGGATAGCGTGAAGAGAATTAGGGTGAACAGCTGAAATGCAATTCAATGGAAATGAAGCCGAAATTTCTCGAAACATAGTTTCAAACCGAAATACACTTAGCCGCTGTTGTGATTTTGTTCGATGAGCATTTATTTTTGCCCGTTCATTTTTAAAATATCGAATCGAAAGGAAACCCATCCGATGCTTGAACTTTGAACATTGTTACGATGATGACGTTCGGCGAGCCACTCTAAATGTAATTTTACAACGCATTTATTTTGCGCTGTGTTAATGGCTCTTCAGCCAGAGGAAGAGAGGATGCATTTCTTTTAAAATGCGACATCATCGTATTTTCAATGCATTCACAAATGGAACCCAATGCATTTTCGTGTTTCGCCCCGCAGACGACCGCCATTCAACGTATTCAAAATGAAGTGACAATTTTTTTTTCCGTCAAAAATAAAACCATTTTCGCTGCAATCCAGCTTGGTTTCTATACAAAACGAGTAGCAAATATATTATGGATATTTCCATGTGTGATCTAAATGCATATCATTATACATCGAAACAGCTGCGTGTATTTTTTTCTGTCTCTTTTATTCTCTACCCATTTTGTTTGCACATTTCACTTCCCGACCAGCAGACGAACAACAACTGAAGAAAGTTGACAGAAAAATACGCAACTCAGCCCAGAATGTGGAACATAACTTTGAAATAAAAAACGACTTTATTAAAATTGAATGAAAAGGATTTGTTTTTCGAATATTCAAACGAAATGAAGAAGGAAACCGGGAATAATGTTTGGTTCCATGTTTTGGTTCGTTGTATTCCAAAATACATTCCCTTCACATTGCTTCATCGTCCTTTATTTATGGATGGAATTTTTCCTTTTGTTAATTTGAATTTAAAGAAAAAGGACACTTACAATAAAGAAGGGGCTACCCAACGTTCAATTCACCAAGTATTTTAAATTTGGAACTTTTTAAACTTTTCCTTTCAAAATTACACGTTTTTCTGGAACAAAATAAAGAGAACTTCTTGTTTTCTTCAGATAAACAACTCAACTGCGGGATCGCCAGCTCTGTTTTGTGTATATCCCGTGTGGAGCGCGTGAAAGACGCGCAATACCATGTGTACAAAATCATTCAAAACAATGATGACATCATAACGTCTCTCTCTGCGTGTGTATACTATTTTTTTTACCATTTTCGCAATGATCGCTATTAAGCGATTTTCAAGGTTAAGCTCGTCATACCCGAATTCTATAAAAAAAAACAACAAATTTGACGTGCTCTTCTAACTACTCAATCGCATCATGCTCATTCTTAAATTTGCATGGAGTTTGAAATTAATCCGTATGAATCATTCGGTTGTTCTGTGGAAAAGAATGCATGTGTTTGCATGATTGTCGGAATATTCCAAAAGTTGCGTTTCCAAGACGATCTCGGCTATTTGGTTTTGTATATATGTTTTTGTTTGAATGACGCGCTTGAGGCATCAAAATGTGTAACACATGAAGCGCAAAGCCATATACGACAACGGAAGACGTTTACAAATGAAGGGAATTGTTTATGTTTACTGCGCTTGAATTACTACATCCGGCTATGAAGATAGAAAGAAAGAACTTCGAACAAAAACGAACACATTTCAACAGAAATTACGTAAAAAGTTCTTGCTTTGGATCGCACTCTCTCGTCTTGAAGTTATGAGAAAAGGCGACAACGATATTTTATTTATTTATGATATGCATACAATCTTATTTTCGGGTTTAAAAAAAAGGACATAAATACGTCAATTCGTTCTTTTTCTTCGCCGTCTAGATGCAGTCTCAATCCGATAAAAAAAAACGTAAGGCCGTGGATTTTTCATTCAACAAATCTTAGTTGTTGTTGTTGTTTTTTCTTTTTCTTCTAGTTTTTTGTTGTTGTTGAAAAACGAAAAGACACACAGATTTACTTCTTAAAATTCGTAGAATTTTGAAAATCGGTTCTTATTCATGGATCCATTTACTCAATGAGTGGTGTTTGTTCATTTTTCATGAATGCCATGTTTCGTTCGTTCTGTCTGTCTGTCGGTCGGTCGGTCGGTAGAGGTAAACAGAAAAAGGGAAAAAAATATCTAAAGAATAACAACGAACACTAGAAAAACTCGGAAAATTGATGATAAGTATGAGCCCATAAAACATGGGAACAAGTTAAAAAAAAAACGATTTTCCGATAGGACAAATCCATCGTCAGATGATGAGAAAAAAAATGCAACTATAGTTAGGAAAGAACTATAGCCCCGAAAAAACACCAAATCACCATTGCACTCAGAGCGAGAGAGAGAAATATGTGGGAAATATAACAGTGTGTGATTGTGCCGAATGTGTTGATGAACGTTTTGGTAATTGCCACCTCACAGTTGGTGTTTCTCTTTTGCCTCTACGTTCCCTTCTCTCTAATGCCACTAAAAACAACCGTCAATGATACCATTGACAAAGTGCTTGCATAGGAGTACAAACATACTTGTCAAGTAAATCAAATGACCTTTGCAAAAATGCAGAAAATTTCAATATTTTCCGCTTGATTGTCGCACGACACAATGTGCACCAGCAACCACAGCAGCAGCAACAACTTTTTATCGGACGGCCGAGAGACAGAATAGAGAATTTACTTTGCGCAGCAAAATAATAGCAAACGAACAAAAGCAACAGCAAAAAAAAGATTGCATTGAATTGAGAAGCAAACAACAAAATCGCTTTCGGTGTCATAAGAACGGATTGGCGTGCACGGATACATTCAATTTGTGGCGCAGCAGCTAATCAACAATTGATCGGGGAGGCCGGTATGTGTTAGTGCGTCTGGGTCTTTTACAGTCAGTTAGTTAGCCAGGCAGCCAGCCACACGTTGCACGGAGCACGAATTGCAGTTTGCACACTTTGCAATTCGATTGACCATATATGTGTACACGGTGTTAAATGTAATTATCGACCATTTTATGCATTGGATCGTTGCACGCTTACATAATCAACACTGAAAAATGGTTTCGGCACCTAGTTCTTCTATTTTGCGTATTTTGTTCAATGCGTTTTGCTACTATATACGTTTTTTGCATTTGCTGCCACTGCTGCTCTCTCTCTCTCTCTCTACTTGAAGCACTTTTATCGGGTGCTGCATTCTTGTAATTTTCAGCCAGTTTGATTTTAATGGCCGATTGTTTGTTGTATGATTAGAAAATTGAGATATTTTTCAAAGTGAGAGAAATAACAAAACTTAAATTGCCGTTCAGCATCGTTCGGCGAGAACACAGCAAACGGTTACCACAAATTACTGGAATCGATCTCCGAATGGAATTTTCACTTCTCTCATTCTCAAATTGACGTTTAATTATACGAAACAACAACAATAACGAAAAGTATGGCGTTTCACTTCTTCAAGCGATCCATCGAGCCGGCAAGACAGAGAGCTCACATAGCTTGCACTTGCATATAAAGTGTGTGGCTTTTATTCAAATTCCAAAATAATTGCATGTTTCATTTTACAGCGTTTGCCAAACGTATTTAAATTCTAAATTCTAGGCTGTCGTTGCTGTCGGTCGTCGTCGCCGTCGTCGTTGCCGCTGCTGCTGCTGCTGCTGCAGCCTATTAACTTTTTCAAGCAATTATATTCAATTTTGTAATTTGAACATTTATTTTTAAACCATTTAAACGGCACATACACAAGTACATAGTACCGCATGCTCAAGCCATGTAGAATTGACGAAAAAAAAAGTTCTGCTCTCAGTTTTCCAGCTCATGTTTTTCTCTTTGTTTTCTCTCTTCATTTTCCATTCATACGAGTAGTAAAGATCAACAGATTTGTGTTCTGCTTCTTCTTTTTTTAACGACATTCAAACAATTATTTTTTTTTCCCAGGAAATTCGTCAATGTGTTTAGGATTCATTTCATGAATGTGTGTCGTTATGAATGAAATTTTCTGGAGAATAAACCCGAAAAAAAAACACAGTACAACAAATGGATGGAATAAAAATGAGCTGATATATCGCCCTCACATAACGAAAAATCTGGAAAAGAAGCCCAATACAATTGTGTGATGATAGTTGTCGACTGTTTTATTAATGTAACTCATAAAATGTGTATGAACGTGCTTTGGGAAAATCGGTCATTTCGGTCCGGTCGATATGAGTGTATGTCAATGAAATTAAGGAACGAACCGTAATTACTCGAATAAAATGACATGTCCCTCGGAATTGGTTCAACATCCTTGATTGATAAAAATTGTATAGGGCAACCATTGAAATTGGGTCATTTCCATTGATCAAAAAACATTTGATTGCGTTCAAAATTTCCGTTCATTCTTAGTTTGAATGTGTAGCCGAGTTAGTTGATGTCACGGGCCAAACATCTATGGCGCAGTAACTTTTAATTAGTCAACTCGATATGCTCTCACATTTAATACACATTCACATTGATCGACAGTAACGGCAGCAACAGCAGCGGCAACAGCAACGGCAATAAATGAGCAAACTGAATGGTACACATTAGAGTGTAACGAACAATGTGTATGCGCCATTCGAAATAGATGCCATGTGAGCATTGAGAAATGGGTTTTTGGAAATTTTATGGAAAACTTCGTTAACGAAGTAACACCAAAAACATAACAAAAATAGTGGTGCGGCGGAACACACATACAGAGCTGTAACGTATACTATTTCGCTTCCTCGTTGCGTCTTTGTCTGTTTTTCTGGGTTTCATCGATGCATTGCACTCGCACACATATTGTTTGTTCTGCATCGTCTCTCTTTCGCTTGCGCCTCTCGCTGTTTCTTCTTCTTCTTCTTCTGTTCTTGTTCATTTCGAACCAGAAAAAAAGTGGAAAAAATTTCTGAATGACACGATGATGTAAGACCGCATTTTTTTTAGAACTATTCCCAATTGACGTGTGCACAGAGTATGAATGTATGTGTGTGTGTTGTATTGAATCTAATGCCAGAGAAAGATTATCTCATTCATTCATATATTTTTTTTCCAATTCAAATAGGGACGGTTTTCTCTCTCTCTCTCTCTCTCTCTGTATTTTCAATGTTACTCCCAAGCCAGTCTTATTAAAATAGTCTACTATTCATTGCATTTTATTTGTTTGGAATGTGTGTATTTGAATTGAAAATCTGAAACGTAGTTGGAAAAAGAGAGAAAAACAACATTATGGTATGTCAGAATCCATATGTAGAAATAGATGGACCTTTTGAAGTTGCCCGTTTCAAAATGAAATCTCATTACTGTGTCAAGCAATATACTGCATTTCATTTTCAGATTGTAATTTAAATTTTTTTTTTCGGACCATTTTGACAAATAAATGTTTTTGTTATTTCGTTTGAATGGGTTTGGTGCGGTTCGTTCAATGGAACCGATTCACATATTTGAAAAGAGTCAGTAATGCGTTTCAATTTATGCATTATTTGAAGCGAAAAAAATTATATATACACACACACACATAGATGCGCTGCTGCTGATGCTGATGTTGATGCTTATCGCTGGCTATGAGATCACCAATAATTTAAATTCTAATGCAAGAAATTGTAGTGATTTATGTTTTCGCCAAAGTGGGCGGAATTGCTGTTCGAGCTATATGTATTTGCGAGCTCTATTGTAAGGTGTTTTTGTTTTTTTGTTTGTTTGAATCGTTAAAAAATGCAGCTCAATAGAGAGAATCATGTGAAGCAAAGCCAAAAAAAAGACTAACGCTTTGCCTTGCAAATTTTTGTTCTTCGCTTACGTTTACATCGCAATAAATCGAACAAATCGTGTTAAGTGTTCCTTTCTTGAAATATTCATCAAGTAAATATTGATTTTGTTTGGCTCAGTAATAGATTGGGGGCGTTAGGGAACAAATCTTTTATCATTCATGTTTTTAAAAAATTCATAAGGATATGCCGACATTTGCAGTGCCAGCCATAAAAGAAACAACAACAAAACTTACCATTATTATTTGCTTATGTCCATAAAATGATGTAAACAAACGGTAAATGTTACCACAAATTGTTCGTTATGTGCGTGTATGTGTGTCGCGGGATATTGACTCGCAACTCAAAATGCGCTCTCCGATCGGTTTTGTTTCGTTCAAAAGCTCGATGTTATCAACATGGAATAGTTATCAAATAGTTTAATCTATAACGTACAAACACCAACACCGCGAGGGAAAAAACGACAAAATAAAATATGATGTATTGTTGTGACTTTCAAACGTGTGCACCACTCCACTAGAGTTTGTATCGTAAAACGTAAAATGTCTATGTCAATAAAAAATCGATAAAAAAAAAACAAATGGACACGTTGAAAAACTGCTCTGAAAATGTTCCCCGATAATCAAATTCGTGAATGAAAAAATATATTGTCACACTCGTCTCACTCGATGATTTATTGGTTTTAATTGTTCCGATATTGATTTACCACTTCCAAATGTTTTTCTTTTTGTATTTCTCTGTCCAATTTTCTCTTCCGCTTCTGGTAATTTGAATCCTTTAACGATTTTTCGAAACCACTTGATAATTACCACACGTTCCGTTCGTAGACAGAATTTTTCCAGCTTAAAATAATATCGAATCTCACACTTTGTCCATGCAACACCGTCTCTGTGTGCAGATCGATTGAAATTTTCAAATCAAAATAAGAAGAAGAGAGAATTCGTTCGTTGCTTAGTTTTTCTAAAACGAAACCATATACGAACTCGATTAAAGCAGCACTGATGGTGTGGAAGCCTACGTATTGCGTTTTACTATAGCCGACAAAAACCAAAACAAATAAGCGCAGTATACACTGGGTATCGAATAGAGAAAAGCACGGGAGATTGGATGTACCTTGCCTTGCCTTGCCTGGTCTGCTTGCGTTTCATTCGATGCATATAGTGAGACGACGATGACGATGACTACGACGACACAGAGAGCGGTACAACAATACCCAGCTGCCATTTGTATAGCGATTTTGTGCTCGTATGAGTGCCTATGAATGTGTTTGTGTTACAACTCCAAATAAATTTTATACGCCGTTTGCTTTTTTTTTCCCTGAGTTCTGCACTGCTGCTGCAGCGGTGTAGTATTTTTATCTCTCTCCCTCTCTGAGACTTTTCTTCTACACACATAGCGAATAGGCACGTCTAATGTAACCACTTTCCAATGCAATGGAAAAAAATTACGTGTGTCATGTGTTTGTACTGACGGAAAATACAACTGCATTCGCAACGTGTATACGCTAATAAACGATAGTTAGAAATGAGTGCACAACTGCACATAGCACACCTTTCTGAGCCGGCAAACGATATATGCGCGAGGACTTGCACTATCGAATTTTTGAGTCGAGAAAGAGACAAAATGATAAAGCGCAACACAACGATAGATAATTTAAAGGAAAATAAACCGTATTCGAAAAATCAAATCGATCGTTTCCACCTTTTCCATACCGTTAAAACCGATGCCAATTGTGATTTGAAACGGAATGAAAAAAAAAAACAGAACACCAATCGAATGCTCTCATTCGATTCTCCAATTGCCTTCGACGCAAATTGCATTTCAATCCACTTCATTAACACCGTTGGCATCACGTAAAACTGGTACTATCCAGCTGGATGTGTTAATAGAAATATAATGCTTTGGATGTTAAGTAAACACACAAAATTGATTGATGAAAGTTCCTCGAAGCATCGAAACTATGCACTTAGATGTTCTTTTTTTTCTGTGCGTGGTGTGTTACATCTCGGACCAGAAGTTTATTTTTAAATTCTTTTCCGCACTCCCAAACATATGTGCGCCGAATTCATTCAGAAATACCTTCACCCAAACGTTGGTTTCCTCTCATACATTTCTCTTGCTTTGAGATGTAAAAACAAAAAACAAAAAAAAACACTCAGTGAACAAGCAATCCAGTGAGTTCTCATCCCGAAACGAACCGAAATTAAAATAGAAATGAAAAATAAAACAATTCTATTCAATTTTGAACAGAAAACAAACGCAAAACTTACTTATGATTGCAAAATCACTTAATTGCACCAGCAAACAACCATATTTCTTGTTTCGAATTCTAAACAATCGGCTGCGATTTTGTATTCAACTCATTGTTCACATCAAATTCCGAGAACATGATGCAAAACATCAAGTCAGCAATAAGACATTTTATTGCGACCTATTTCGACGACGACGACGCTATTTATCTAGCAATTTCTTCTTCTTCAGAGTGTGTACACTGTACATATGCACTCGTTTAATTGAAGGCAATTAAATGATTCGTCTTCTTTGTCTAACCCACATCCATTTGGATTTTACAATGTAACGAAAACTCGAATTCCATTCATTACGTAAGAATCGCTTAGAATTCGCAATAAATAGTTTGAATCAGACATTCCGTGTGACTGCATATCGAGCTGAGCTATTTACAAATAGCTGGCTGTTTGATACATTTTGATTTTGTGACTATCGAGCCATGTAAATTCATGTGAGGTGATAAATTTATGACACAAATTCATGGAAAGGATGGAAAAAGGTGTCCCAAATTTATCATCTCACATGAATTTTTATGGCTCGATAGTCACAAAATCAAAATGTACCAAACAGCCAGCTATTTGTAAATATCTCAGCTCAATATGCAGCCATACGGAATGTCTGCTTGCATGATGTTCCATACTCCCCAACGACATTCAAATATATGGCCAAACGGATTTCTCGATTCGAGCAATTGAATGGGCTCATTTCCTATCAGAATCAACCTATTTCATCTAATTTCCATGAGTTGTTGCTTAGTTATGATATTGATGTTCAATTTGTAAATATCTCAGCTCGATATGCAGCTATACGGAATGTCTGGTTTAAATGTCAATCAAATGGAATTTCAAGTCTTATCGTATTCAATACGTGCACTGTACGAAAGCATCAATTGATTGGTTGCGCTTCGGCATCCACCCTGCGTTGAATTATTCATCTTAAAATTTAGAAGAAGGAAAAAAAAGAAATGAAAAGCAAATATTATTGACATACCTACTGTATCAATAGCAAGTTTCAATGAGTTTTTTTTTCTAATAATCAGACAAAATCTTTCATACAAGTACAGCTGAGCTTTTATAATACATTTTACAAGATATAAAACATGACATTGCAAATATATTGATGGTTAACATGTTATGGTCAAATCAAAAATGCAATGATTCAAACTTATCGAGCACACATAATATACACTTTTCAATCCGAAAAAATCTCATGTGGTTTGTTTCTGCTTACAGCTCTAATTAACCCTACGGTAACTGCATATGAATGTGAATCTTCTTATTCATCAACGTTATTTTTTGCCAAATATTCGATATGTTTTAAGTGGACGTCCATTCTTGTAGATTCAGAAAAACCACTCAAAGTTTCTAGGCTATCTAATGATGATTGAAGGATTTAGCATCAAAGGTATAGAAAATTGGTGATAAATAGCGAATTATCTCAGAATATTGCGTTATTACGGGATCGTATTTTCATCATAAATTGAAAGCTCGTAAGATTTTAGGCCGATATACTACTACTTTCAACCAAAATGAAAATAGTGAAGATTTCTCCCTCATTTCGACGAAATTTCTATGAATCGAGGTAGAATCTATATACTAATACTGATCGTCCACTCTTATTGCTGGTTATTGATTTCTTCAATAAAGCTACACCATCATGTTCACATGAAATTTGGTATTGGTTGCACCTGGACCACCATATATTAATTGAAAAAACTTTGCTGTGATTCTAGAGATATTTGAATCGAAATTGAACAAAACCTGATGCATTTTCGGTTAATTGCTCATCATATGCGACAACGACTTTCACGCTTTTGCCGCTAACAATAAACGGGAATGTTTTCTAGAAATTGAAAGCAAATTATCATGACAATCAAATTAAATTTCAGCAGTTGAAGCAACCAAGAGAATGTATCCCTGTCTGTGTCTACAGGTTTCTTGTTAAAAAACAAAGAAGAATGTAAAAAAAGAAAGATGCTAAATAAATGTTGTTCCAATCAAAATAAATAGAACGTTCTGGGTAACGTTTTCTTACGAAAGGAAATACCAATAAATTTCCATGGAGTTCTTGGAATGGCCTACGGTCTTAAAAACAATCAATTTCCCGAAACCCATGGGTAAAGCAAACGAAAGAAATGCCGACACAAACACTGGAAAAAAAGAATAAAGGACGAAGGCGCATTCGTTTTTTTCTCTTTCGCTTTTCTTTGCTCCTATCTTCTATTAATGGTAAGGTGGTCATTTTTTTTGCCGTTGTTCGGTGCGTGTGCACATTTTTTTTTCTTCTTCCACAGAACATATGCTCCGAATCGTTGTACACATTTCAGTTGGCTTCAGTTGCATTTGGTTGGTGCACGTAAATAGGGAAGTGCTCAAGTGTTTTCTTTAAGTCCATAGACATTTTTTTTTTCGTGGCTATTTCGAGTTTTTTCGAAACCTCATTTTGATTTTCCTTAAAAATGCGATCGAAGCGACGCAATAAGATGATTATCTCCGAAAATCGCATAATAAAACATGATTCGATAGTAAAAACAATGACTGCTATGGCATCAATGCTGCAAAAGGAGCGACAACAGCACCAAGCTAGTCTTGTTGAATTACGGAACGTATTGAAAGAAGAACGAGAACAAATCAACATTTTTCTGAAGGACATGAAAAAGATACTCGACCAAATGGAGTCAAACGAATCAAACATATCGTCAAATGCCGTCCATGTAATTCAAATCATATTTTCATTTACCTGTAGAAACCGATCGATGTACAAAAACTCATCAATCAATTCTCTGTTCACAGATCAATGCATCGAATAGTTGGATGATTGCGATACTGGCTAGCATTCATATATTTCAAAACAACGGCCCTTTCGTTACTTTTCTAAAGCGATCCTATCGATGGATCATAACATTCTCTCTCCTTAATCTAGTACAGCAAAACTGATGGCGACCAAAAGATACTAGACTCCAGACTAAATTATAGCTTTAGTATGTAAAATGTTAAACGGTTATTGGATAAAAAATGAAATAGAAATGATCAAATTTGCAAAATGATAAAATTTTCTGCATTTATTTCGAATAAATTTGTCCAAATATAGATTTAAGCGTGACAAATTTGGGATAAAAACCCTGACATTTCACATGGAATAATATCATGGATTCATTCCAAAATGTTAGATTACAATGTGACAAGCCAAATGATTCATAGTTTTATTTTTGACTTCGATGAACTCATTTACATGTTCGTTATCACCATTGGAGCCAGTCGGTAATCTAAGAGAGTAAATTAGGAAAGATAACAGATTCCGAGAGTATTCACTCTGATAACAGAATATGTGATAATCTTTTATATGGATCAACTTTTGTCATGTCGATGTAACGTGTGAGTTTGAATGGTACTTTTTTTTTGAACTTCGTAGTTTGACTTTTTTCCGCAACAAACCAAGAGATGTCGCTATGCGAAAGATGGGACAAAACAAATAAAAAGAAGCAAAAAATCATTGTTTTAAGCATTTTTACTCATTTAAATAAAATCAAATGTGTGTTAAACGACAACATTGAGTTTCTAAACACTTGTGCATAATGGCCCAATAGTTTGCTTAATGCATTTTCAATGATGTTTGAAATTAATGAGCTTTCGCGTGATCGGAGCTTAAACCTTTCATTTTGTGAAGCCAACTCACAATTCTCGGTAAAATTGAATTCGCCGTAAATTTTTAGATGTTTTCAATTTTTGTTGTGATTAAATATATTTTTTCTGTGTGAATATTCCGAAATTCGACAATTGTTCACCAGATCTGGATTGATTCCAGGGCATTTCGCACGCCACATGCGCTTTAATTTCAAATGTCATAACGACCAAAATGTATGGCATAGACGTTTGAATTGAGCGCTTAAAGTGGTGGCAGATGGAAACAAGCATCGCGCCATCGCATTTGTGATGACAGGCGCAATGTGACAGTTCAGTTCCGTCAAACAGTAGCGTTGATAACATTTTTTTATTTGGTTTACCATTTGTTTTTGTTTTGATTTTCATTTTAGAATTCAATTTGATAACGAAATCGTGTAAGAACAATGATTGAAAAAAATGCATAAATTCACAATCGCGTGATACAATTAATATCGAAGCGGAAAAGAAGGCAGCATTTAATGTATTACATAGTAGTGGATCGTGCAGAAAACACCGAAGTTATTTGAGAGAGAGATACACATAGGAACACACGTATATACATATACCGTATATATATATATCCATATAGGGATTTCAACATGGAAATCATGAAATTTTGCTACTTATGTTTCGATCGAACAAAAGACGTTTATCCGGTGGTGGATGAGACATTTATGCAGAAATTTATAAGTTTTTCGCCAGGAAATTGTACTGTAAGCTATCGACCATCCAAAAGTGAAATTTTGTCAAATTTCGTATAGTAATGGCTGTGTGGCCATTGATTGTTGTATTATTTTGATGCGCCATGGTGACCTGTGAACCGGCTGCAAGCATATTAAAAGCCCAAAACAGTGAACACGCACAAATGCCGCATCGGTTTCGCACTGAATTTTCGAATTTATGTGGTTCGCGACACGAATCGAATTTCGGAATGCAATTCGAAATCTTATCAATCAATTTCCACACGGTGTATTATTATTGAGCGAGAGAGAGAGAGAGAGAGAGAGATGATTATGTGTCTGTGCATATATATACATATATATGAATGAATGGACATATATGTATGTGTGTGTGTGTGTGTGTGTATATATTATTAATTTCGTTTTTTTTTTATTTGTATATTTTGCATTTAACAGATAGGGCGAACCACGCTGTGTAAGGAGTGTTCACGGCGAATTCAATATTTTGATGATTTAAAGGAGTTCGGAGCCCGATCGAGTGCGCTGCGAAATAATTTAGCATACAATATTGTTCCTGAAAAAATTCAAATGCATCACAATGGCAAGCCATCGAATCGAAAAAAGTACATTCGACGTAAAATCGCGTGTAAATGTATGCTCTGTCAAAAGGAGTTTCAATCAAAATGTTACTTACACAAGCACATGAAACGCCATCAAAATGTTAAAGCGGCCTACAAATGCATGATCTGCAATTCGGAATTTCTTTCGGCAAACAGTTTGTCGGCGCACGAAAAGACTCATCCAACATACAAATGAAAACGATTGCATGCATGCAGCAGTAGTAGCACCGGCAGCCGCCATCATCAGAGCCGCCGTCGTCGTCGTCGCCACCGCAGCAGCAGCAGCAACAACCAATAAACAATAATAAGAACAGAAACAACAAGACGAAGAGAGAGAGAGAGAGAGAGAGAGAGAGAGAGAGAAACAGCAACAACACAACAGACACAGGCACATGTCAACAAAACAAGAGAAAGGAAACCATTTGTACTGCTAATTTAATAATCTTGAACACGAGAGAGGAACTCAAATAATCGCTTATGCAACGGAATTTAGGCAGTTGACTTCTTTTTTTTTCCTGATTCATTTTCAAATTATTTATTCGATATGTGTCCTAATTCATTGTCACCAATATGTTACTATTTTATATCAGCAGGATTGATCGTGCGATTGGTTAAAGAAAGAAAGGAGGTGTTTTAGATAGGCATGAGTACGGGCTCGATGGAATAAAAGAAAAACAAAACAACATCAAAATTTAATACTAAATTTGAGAGCCATTTCATCCATGTGACGAGCAACAATACCTTAACTATTTCTTCATTTTTGTTTTTCCAACTATTATAGTATTTTGTACCAGCCCAACAGCGTTAAAGAATCGGCCAGACTTTTGATATGTCTGATGCACACTCGGTTGCCATGTTACATTGATTATTATCGGTCATTGAATTTTTTTCTCTCAAAAGGGATTTTACGCTCTTGAACACTTACTTCTACCGGCCTCTTCCGCTAAATTGAATGCAATGATAAGAAAAAATTGTTTTTTTTCGTTCAAAATGTTCTACTGTTGTAATAGCAAAGATTGCAAAAGTTTGGTTCATTCTTTGAGTTACCGTTCGAAAATGTAGCCATAGGGCATCATCATAATCATCCTCATCATAAGCAATCTCCATGGATTTGGCGATTCTTAAGAATTTCATTTTTAAATTTGCACCAACATTTATTAGCCATTTAGATTTGCTTCCGTGTTTATTATTTTTTGTGCATAACCAGCGATGAGAATGTTATTCAAAATCGAAAAATTTTGCAAAAAATGAGCTCATGAGTGCGTGTCTATTCATCGCTCGATCTAAAGAATATGGATGAAATGGAATTTTGAGAACGACAATTGACTTTACGACTATTGATTTTATCCATCTTCAATACAATTAAAACATTTTTTTTTTGTCATTTATCCCTTAAGAATGATCTTAAATAAATTTTATTATTTTATTCATTTGCATACAAATTGAAATAATAATAATATTAATATTAATAATAATAATATTAATATTAATAATAATAATAATAATAGAAGAACAAATCTAAGTAAATAAGTAAAAATAAAAAGAAACACATTTTCAAGCTAAATTAAAAAAAAAAAACAACCAAAAGTGTAATACACATTTATTCTATGACGTGGAAAATAAGATAAGAAATATGAAAATGTATCGCACATTTTTCGTTCGCAGTATTTGAACAAATATACCAGAAAACAAAAATTCTGAGAAATTTTTTTTTAGAAAAATAAGTTTATCAAAGAATATTTGTGCTATTAGACATTTCCGTTTTGTTTTTGTGTTTTTTTATTCTTGATAGCTAATACCAAACCTATGAATAATGTTGACTGGTTGGTTGATTGAATAAACGACAAACAACGTATTCATTCATAGCCCTACAATTTGATCGATCATTCGATATGCATCCAGTTGGTTGTGCAAAAAATAGAATTATTCTCTCGTTGGGTTCTCTGTTTTTTCGCTTTCGATCGATGTGATGTGTGTTTCTTGCCGACATTCAGTGTTGCGGCGCACGATGGCGTTACAGGTAGTGAAACATATGAAATTTTCAAATAAAAGTGCATTAAATCAACAGATAAGCGACACGAATGGAAGCATGAAAAGTGAAATAAAAAAAAACATACACAAAGACTGCTGGCTGCAAAGGTTTTCTGTTATTGTTGTTGTTGCTATTGAGCACACATCGAAACGACCACAGCAGAAATAATTGAAGCAAATACTTACGATTTAGGTACATTATCGATGGCTTCAAGCTGACCGGAAGCTTGCCATCAAATGGCCCAAAGTGAATATCAATCGAAAAATTTCAATTTCGCATCTCATGAAACTGCAGAGTAAAAAAATCGAAAAAATATGTTCAAAAATCAAATCAATCCGCATTCGAATGAAAGAGAAACAAATTCAAATCGATGCAAACGCATCAATTTCAAACAAAACCTTAAGTATCCGATTTGGCGCTGAAGTTTAGGCAGCCATACTTAAACGTTGACAGTGTGCGTATTATTTTATTTTTTTTGTGTGTGGCATGACAGAAAATAAATATGGCGGTGAATTTCAGTGACCGCCCTAGACAGATAGACGAATCGAGTGTAATTCTAAAATTAAAATACATTTTAATCAAAATCAAAAGAAAGCGAGCAACGTTCACTCGAACCCTTACCGAATCGGGATCCAATGATTCAATTCACATTTTAACGTAAAACTAAAAAAACATTTACGACACTTTTGCCTACGGCAAATACAACCAAGTTTCGTTTAAAATAAATCTTTTTTTTTTGAAACTTTGCTTTTTTCTTCTTCATAAATAAATATTTCTCTCTTTTGGCTGCGTTACGTGCGGTTGTTTGTGTGTATATGTGTGTGTGCTTTTACTTGTCATTTTTTTTGTGTCGAGTGAATTTGGTGCGAATCTTCTCCACGGGCTCTGAGAGAAAGAAAAAAAAACTATGTTGTATAACTTAGAGAGAGAAAAAAATCCGAAATAAGAGGCATACAGATGAGATAAAAGAACGGAGCCAATACAGCAACTAGAAAATTATAACAGCAGCAAATAGCATCGAAAGCAGCAGCAGCAGCAGCAGCAGCAACAGAACGAAACAACTGTAAAAACTTCTTATGTTATGTGCGCGTAGTAAATAGTTTCAGTGTAGAAAACGCACAGCAAACAACGAAAAACAACACACGAAATCACACACGAGAAAGAAAAATAAGAAACCGATTTTATTTTACAAAAAAAAAATGAAAAAGAAAGACAGATTGGGACGGGAGGAACGTACGAACTATAATTGCAACGGGCAGTAGCTGAGCAAAACACATGAATAATAATAATAAAAAGAAATAACACACAACCAGCAACAACAGAAACAGAAACAAATTCAATAAATATATCTAAAAAAAACAGAGTAATTCATACATGAGTGGAGAAATAAAAACAAAATATAAACACAGAAGAATAATACAAATTGAAAAAACACAAACCACAAATCGCATTATCTTTCCATTACTTTGATTAATATTCAAATTGGATACATTTGTTTTTTGATATGTGTGCATTTATGTGATCGCCGAGAAAGAGAGTGCGAGCGAACGAGCGCGCGTTCATTTCAAATTTTCACCCGTAGTGGATTTGGAAATTTGCATCGCAATTGTTTCTCTCTCTTTTTTTTTTTCGTTGTTTCAAATTCATTTCGGTCTGTTAGTGTTTTTCATTTTTTTTCATTGAGTTTTAAAACTCGGAACGAATTTCAGTGCTCTCGCATGTGTGTTTGGAATTGAGAACGCACCGTGGCTGAAAAATCATTATTATTATTACTTTTTTGTTTCTTCGTCGACGACTACGACGACGACGAAGACAGCAACAACAACAACGACAACGACGGCGGCGGCGGCGGCGACGACGACGACGAAAACGACGATCCGATCGATGCTAACTATAAAATTTACAGTGGAATCGAATGAAATTGCTTCGGATAAATGAATTGGTTTGGCATTATCAACGTCATAAATTTGCATTCAGGTTGAGAATAAGAGCGCACAGAGAATCGTCGTCGCAAGATTTCGATATCACAACACACACATCGAGATAACAAGAGAAAGAAGAAAAAAACGGCGGCCGATAACCACGAATAGTGTGAAAATATAAATTCGTTTGGTTTTCTTCGAATTTGTTATTTGTTGATGTGTTGATTGTTTTTTTTTTTAGTTTTTTCTCGCTGGGCTCTTTTAAATTATTTAGTTTTATCATTTTAACAAAAAAAAAGTTTTAAATTCATTTAATTGTGTTCGTGCGTGCAATTGTGTTATTTCTGTGAAACGAAGAAAAACAAAAAGAAAATCAAAATGTCATTCGATGCGCGCAACAATTCGGCTGTACTGAAGCGAGCCGAGCAGCTGAAACGATGGGAAGATTCCGATACAAATCGTGCATCAAACTCACCAAAAGATCCAGCAACGCGAAGAGTCAAATTTTCATCGGGCTGCGTGTTTTTAGCCGCCTGTTTATCGGGCGACAAAGAAGATATCATTCGATTAATTGAGAATGGTGTCGACATCGACACCGCTAACGTTGACGGATTGACAGCATTGCATCAAGTAAATGTTTTATGCATTTCTATTTCTATTACTTACAAGTTTTTTTTTCTTTCTTGTTCGATCTCATTTTTCTTCTTTTGTTGTTGTTGTCTCTCTAAATTTGTTTTTACCATTAACCTTAAGCCATTTTCATAAGTATAACAACAACAACAACGGCAACAATATCAAAAATGTACACGCATTGTGACAATGAGAATCAAGTGGCTCAATTTCAAGTAGCAAAACTTTTCTGTCCCTCGTCCACAAACACGCACCGAGTCTAGTGCCGAAAACAGCACATACAGACAGACAGAGAAAGATTGAATGATGTGAGGCTGATATAGCCGTAGCAGCAACAACAACAATAACAACAAGACCGACAAAAAATGAAAATGATCCGAGCTCGGAGAGCCGATTTTGCTGAAAATGTAACTAAAAATGTCGATTACAACCTTAAAGACACGCAAAAATACCGACATACAATAGTTGTATGACCATATAAGTTCACCGACAAATCCAAATTACAACATGTGAATGAGAAAACCAAATCAATCCATAATTTGATGGCAGCTTAAAATGAAATGAACAACAAAAAAAGACAATGAACAGAGAAAAAAAAGAGCGCTAGCGCGCACACACACGCACACCAAACAAAAAATCGCATAACATATCGCGCGTTTATTTATTATTTAGTTATTTATATAGCAATAAAATAGTAATTTAATGGAGCATTTATTTGATATACTGTTTTGTTCCATCGATTTATTGTTTCTGTTACCGTGCCGATACATTTTAATGAGAATCTACAATTAGTTAGTTGACTTCGTTCTGCTCTGTGCTCTGTTTATAGTCGAGATGCACTCTCGCATGCCGTGTTCTGCTGCTGCTGCTGCTGCTGCCGCCGTTGCCGTCGATGCTTTTGTGTGTACGACGATGTTCTTTCTTCTTCCTCTTCTTTCTTGTTACTATTTCAATGCGGCATGTGCTCTGTCTTTATCGCTCTCCGATTCATATTTTTGCGATAGAGCGAATCAAGAAAAACGAAGAAAAATGACAATTGTAATAATAGCGCGACTTGCCATAACAACAAACAATAATGATCACAAATAATTACAGCTAAATTTTAATTTATTTTCCACTTCTTCAGTGTCATGTTGTGAAATCAGCGTTTGATTGATTTTGGTATGAGTTTTTTCCGTTTTGAGAGATTTATTAATGGCACACAATGATAGTGTGTGGACGCTTCGCTTTGAAATTGTGCACGCTACACGATCGTTAGATTTCATTGTTGATTTATTTATTTGACTGATTTAGTTATAGACTAATTCAATTTGGTTAATGAATAAATTAGCATCAGTAGTAATTTCAGAGTGCAAGGATCATCAGCGGAACGATGATAAATTTTGCCATCAAAAAGCGATAGAGAGCGAGACAGAGACAGGCATAAAAAAAGGTGAATTCACCGAAAACGTCATTTTGATGCGAACAAATCCGAATCCTGTCTATCACACACAAAACAAACTGATGCAAAATGTCTGTGATTGCGTTTCTTGTGTATACAAGAGTTGTTTGTATCTTGCGCGACTCTTTTTTTTGCCTCATTTTTTCTTCTCTCATTCTCTCTTATTCTCACTTCATTCGCTTTGTCATCGTCGCACAAAAATCTTTTATCGTTATTAGTTCACATCTGCTGCGGCGATGCCAAATCAGCGTGTGTTGCTGCATGTAGTACATGGTGAGCGCGTCAATAAACGCCATGACATTAGATTTTGACATGTTGAATTGGTGCATAACTTGATCTAAGCAGCTAGATCCTTTTTGGCATGGACATTGAATTTGGCAAGTGAACGAACGAACGAATGACACTCGCTCGACTTTTATATTCGCAACCATTTTCAATTTCAACGCACCAAAACCATGTGAACACATGTAATGCGTGTGCGCATTTTCAATTTTCAAAATGTCATACAAAGTATTGTGCCAACTGTGCTTTTGTTTTTTCTAAATGCAATGGAAAAATGAATAAATAGAATAACGGGCAACAAATGACGATCGATACGCACAGTATCGCAGAATTGAATGTAAAATCAATCACACACTTCTATGATTGACATTCTGAAATACGAATACGATCGCACAAATCAAATGAACGACAATCCAATTATAATTATTATACATATAAAAAACATTACTGCAAACGAAAAAATCAGAATTGAATATGGACATCGAGAGATATTTTTCTTCCTTTCTTTCTTTCACTCTTTTCTTTTGCTGATGATGAAAATAGCTGCAATGGCTTCATTGGCTAAAGATTATAAATGATCTGGAGACCGCTTTTGTTTTGATGTGGAGTGCAATTTTGCACATTTTTGCAATAATCGCAATCGATGTTTGCTTGTTTTGTTTTTGTTTAATTCTTTTTCTTTAGCAACAACAACGATAGGATGGCAATTGCATTTAGTTGATTTCGCATTTTATTGGCCGGCGCCAATCAATTTCCAATCATGCGCACACACACACACACACACAGTTCAAATGGGAGAAAACAAAATAGAGAGTGAAGCAATTGCAATTAAAGCCATCCAAAAACATATTTCTTCTTGCTCGGCATGCCGAAGTTGTTTTGTTTTGTGCTAATCTGTTGTAAATTCGCTCGGTGTGTGTGTTTCAGTGTGAGTGTCGACACACTGTTGATCCAAAACAATTGGCGACTTCAATCCAAATGATATCGATTGTTATGGTTATTGGCTCTCCTTTTCCTATGCACCAGAACAACGATTGCACGCGCAATGCGGTTTCAATGCATTTCTCAACACGAACCGCATTAATGCTATTGATAACTTTAGTTTCTCTTTCGTTTTGGTTTTCGTTGGTCAATAATATCTGAATAATAATTAATTTTCTTTCATTTTCTGACTTGACACTGTTGTTGCAGTCACTCAAAGTGAGAGAGAATGTGATTGATGTCGATATTTTGCTGCATTCATCTCATGATTGTGCATTGTGAAACATTTGACAAAACCGACACACAGACACATTCCGATCGCATACAATTTTTTTTATAACAAACGGCAGCCATAGAATTTGCAACTTGAAAGTCAACCATTCATGCGAATCTCTATAATTTTCTATTGACTTAAATTTTTTTTCTAAATATTATGCACCATACGACTTGTTGGGCTATTTGTTTTTTTTTCTTTCACGCTCTTTCTCTTACTCTCTTTTGTTGTTGTGTTTTTTTTTGTTTTTCCTTCTGGCTGTTAATGTACGCTGCTTTGTGTGTGTGATCAGCATAATCATTACGGCATAACAATCACTTGCATTATTCTATTTTTACTCGGATTTTATTGTGCTCGACTTTCAGAGTTTGGAGTACATACAGTCATCTCTATTTCTCTCTCTCTTTCTGTGCGCGCGCGAGCGAAATGCGCAAAATTAATTATCATATGCAAAATCCATGAGTGTTTTCCATTCCAAGCCCAATATTGTGTTTCCTCATGAATACGGCGTGTGTGTACTAATTATTTGAAAATCGACTAAAATCCCTTGATTATCCGCCTTAGATTTCGATCATATTCAATCGACATCGAACGAGCAAGCCAACCAATTTACCATCGGACATAAAATTTAAACCATACACTCACACTCACTCACACAGTATACGAAAAATTCCATTAAAATTCTATTCACAAACTTCGAGCGAATTGTACACACGAGAAAAAAAACAACGTGCATTTTCTTACTCTATAAAAATAGTCGAACGCTTGTTCTCTCTAAACTATCCTAACGGCACATTTCATGGGTATAATATAATATTTTGCACTCGATCCAATTTGAGAAAAAAGAAGTGCATTTGTTTCGGTCGTTAATCATGAAATTTTCGCTATCTAAAAAAGATAACAATAAATCCGGATCTCGTTTGCAATTTTCAAGCGAAAAAAGAATGAAACAAAAGCAATGCGATTAACATTGTTTGTCACAAAAATGAATGAAGTTCAATTGGGTCGTCAGTTCATTAAGAAATAAATTTCACCTGGAAATGCCGAGATTATTATAATTCTGTTTCGTTTTTTTTTTGGTTTTCCGTTTGCGCAATTGGCACTTGATCATGACTTTGCTCCACTTCCTTTCTCCTCTCATAGTTAGAATGAACCGTGATAACAAAAGAAACGTTATCGTAGCATGACAATACCATTGTTGGTACCACATTTTATCCAACAAAAAGTATGCTGATTCGCCGAGTTGTGTGTGTTTGTGTGCACTGTGCACAAAAATGACAGGAAGTTTCACCAGAAACAATGATTATTATATACAAACGATAATAATTTTCCTATTTTTCGGTCGACGAGATCGACTCACACAGATATCCCAGGAAATATTAAAAATAGACACTAGAAAATAATGAACCAGAATTTTGCGATCTCTTTTTTTCCTGTTGTTGCTCGTTCTGTTTTGCTTTTTTGCCTCTCTTCTTCGATTAAAACGAAATTTACATGTACATAGAATAGTATGAAAAAATAAAAATAAATAAATTACACGCTGTCCAATTGAAAGCTGGCCAATATTTGTGTGTTTCACTTATTTGCATATGAACAGTGTATTTGATCACAGAACAAAACCAGAAAATGGAATAGATTGGAGAGCGAACGAGAGAGAGAGAGAGAGAGATATAAAGAGTAGCTGAACGCAATATTAAATATTGATTTTCATGTGTACCGCTTAACTGTTTATCAAATTGTTCATTTATTTTTAAGCAGTTCAAGCCATTAGCACCGATCGACATTGTATGCCTCTATATCATTATTATTTTTCTCGATCGAATGCGTATGAGCCACTGAGCAAACAATTCAAAATTGACGCATCACAATGCCCAGAATGTGTTGTTTTGATACGTGCTTTTTATTGCAAATCCATGTTCTCTCCCCCAATCCATCGCACTCGCTCACTTTTGCGGTCGAAGAAAAGAGCGTAGTTTTTCGCATTTGCTAAATGAACGCGTAGAATTTCAAGAGAGACACATGAAAAAAAGAGAAGAAGAAGAAGAGAAAAAAAAACACAGAGAAAACATTAACATGAGGAACAGTAAAAAGACGACGGGAAAAAAAGTTCGAAATATTTTTGCGTCGCTTTTTGATTTATTGCCGTATGTACAGAATATTAAAGAAAAATAACATCCATATCGAATAGATTGTGTGTCTCTTGAATCACAGCCGTGCGAATCCATTTGATGATCCTACAATGGGAAATTTCGCACAAACCTATTTTCATATTAATAATAATGTATCATTATCGCGTAAAGTAAATAAATAATAATAATAAAAAAAAAACGGCGATGAAGAAAAACAAAAAAATAATAATTTCAATGATTCGTGTTTCGTTTTGGGGAGCAAACAATTGACAGCATATTCATTGTGATCGCACACGATGAAGGCGCAAGTGAAAGAAACACTCTTCGAGCCAATCATAGTGTATCACGAAAAGTTGTTCGACACCATTCGGCCGTACTATTGTGCACCGCATGTGTCGGTGTCGGTGTCGTGATGGATTCGTGGCGTGTAAAATAATAATATAAGGCCGATGAGTTTTTGATCACCCATCGCAAAGCGAACGCAAAATGCGAGCAATGAAACAAAAACTGTAACAAAAAAAATCTTTTACTATGAACTATAAATAATATCGTCCCAAACACGATCACACACACATACACATAGCCAGCCATCACATCAGCACCAAGCGTCAAGATTTAGATATAGATTCAGAAATTCAGCGGATACTTGTGCAAAACGAAAATCACACCGAACACCAACGAACGAAACAACAACGAAAAATAAAACATATAAGACTAAAATCAAACACCGATCTTTTCGTATCGTATCGAGATCCACATACGCATTCAATGCAAAGAAAGAGTGTACGATAGACCGATGAGAAGAGATAAATACGCAAGACCTTCATTTTAGATCACTCAAATGAAGTGTTTGTGCTTGCGTTATTTTTTTTTATTCCTCCAACATTATTATTATTCTTTTGCTTCTCTTCAAGAAGATTCGTTTGCTCTCTGTATCTCCCCAAAAACTGCTGAAATCTCTCGGTACACGGGACCTCTTTGGTACGTGATAGATTTCAGTTGTTTTTCATTTTAATTGTAGCTTTTACTAGTCGAATTGTCTAGTGATCACGTACACTTCATCCGTCACACCGAAAATCAATGGAAACGAAGAAAACCGAGAAAAATGAATCTCAAACGGGCACAAACAATCAACTCATGCTACGGTTTTTCACTTGGTGCTCGCGGCCCCATGAAATAATGCACACACAAAACGAACACCAGCCCAGCACAAGATGATGTTCAATTAATTCGTCATATAAAAGGGAATACCTAAATGGAGCACATTAATGTACAAAGCGTTTATCATCTTGTGCGTATCAATTTATATGTATTACAGTTTTTTTTTTCTTCCACAATACATGTTCGCCGCAAACAATTGTGCGGTTACATGCCTCTCTGTTCCGCTCACTCGTGATCACCCGTTGCACAGAAGACGATAGAAAAAAAATGTTTTATTCATTTCAATTGATCGAAAAACATCAACGACCATTCGAAATAAGTGATTTTGTTAGAATCGTACTTGATCTCGAACTTCTGTACATGAGAGATATGTGGAAACAGCAGAGCAGAAAAAGAAATTGAAAAAAAAACCGGCAACACAACGACGTGTATTGGCTTTGGTGTGTGACGTGATCGGTTTTTCGAGATTTTCTTCTCACTATGCGGTCAATTCCAAAAAGACAAGAAACAATAAAAAAAAGCCCATTCGGTTGAAATCAACGAAGAAAAATCATGTATTTGTTTTCTCATCGACGCGCTGAGTTTTTCTCTTCTCTTTGTTTTTGTTCTTCTAATTTCCTAGTGGTTATGGTTCCATGATCATCGTCGATCACAATAATCACTTGAAAATGAGTAATGGAAGTCAATGCGAAAGCGATTCGCTCAAAAATGGTCGGAAACATCATCTCCGTGAATGATGTATATATGCTTTTCTTTTATTTTCTCGGCTGTTAATTCACTCTGTGTGTGTGTGTGTGTGTGTGTGCTGTGATCCATGCGGCCCCAAAAAGACAATGTGCACATTTTAGTTTCATGTGAAAAGTTTTGATCGCATCAATACGAGAAGAAAAAAAACATACACACACATGATCGAAAAACGTCTCGCCCCCGTAAATCGCATTTATTTTTCTTCCTTTTGCTATTTTCTTCATTCACATTCAAATATTCTTAATCATTTAGCATATATCCTCGATATTTGCTATTTTTCTTTTTCACTTAGTCACTGCACACTACATTTGTTTCCGTCAATCCGGCTCTATCTGCGCGCACGGTGTCTGTGTGTGTTTTTCCACTTCTCAATCATACAAACAGTCGATACACGGTTCAATCTTGTATATAATCTACCTATGGACCTATAGAGGTTCACTCTATTTGTCATTTCAACGCGGTATGTGAAATGCCGTTTGATTCTCAAAAAGCAGCTCATTTGACTCTTGGTACATCGATAGATGGCTTTGCGGTTGATAAATTATGGCCCAAATATCGAAAACACACTTTGGCGATTTTGGCTCATTTTGAGCCAGAGAATCCATTGATCAATGCGGGTTGAAAGTGTTTGTATTTTAAAATTGAAAAATGGCCAGCAACGGTTTTGATTTCGGTTTTAAAAATGAAAATGAATGGTATCGTCCGAGATGAAAAATGTGTAGTTCAAACCGTTCCCAATATTTTACAGCCGATGAAATCGTTTTTCATCCTAATTGACCTCTGGCTTTGATTGTTGCACCATTGGCCACGAACTGTTTGCGATAAACATGTTCAATTTTGTTGATTCCACCGAGTCAATGTGTTCGATTCATATCCTTTTGATACGGTCACCATCGCTTCGACAAACATTTAGATGAATCAGCGCTATTTCAAAAGGGAACAAACTATACCTAGTTACATTAATAGATCACCTAATTTTACAATGTTCCCGGAGAGTGTGGCAAATAAAGGAACCCATTTACACATACATATATATACCGCCTTCATTTTATGATCTAGAAAAAGATCAGAAAAAAAAACGACCAGAAATATTTGTGTAAAGCTTTGGCCGCGTGTATTTTACTCGAATGATTCAAACTTGATTTCGAACATTAAACGGCATGGCACGATTGGAGATTTTTCGATGCGATTGAATTGTCGATGGTTTTTTTTTCTCTCGTGTGTGCGTAATTGCTATTGGCCGTTTTTCCGCCGAATCGTGTTTCGTGCGTTGTTTTTTCCATTCTTCGGTTTTTCTTTACTCAACCTTTTTCGTCATGAAAAACTTGAATGAAGCAAAGAAAAAAAAATTGTTTTTGCTATTAATTCCGAGCATACACGCTGTAAGACTACTTCAAACGATGTGTATCGAACTAAAATTAAACGACTTTATAATATTTTTCTATGCTTGTACGTAGCCATTTGTTCAAATGGATAAGTAAAAGTTCACACAGATTCAGCGACGCAAAGACCACAACCGCAAACAGTAAAATAAAGGGAATTTCAATTGAGATTGCTAGTTCTCTAAATTAGAGATAATCTATTGTTGGTTTTTCTTATTTGTTGTGTGTTACAAAAGAATGAGGAAAAAAAATTAGTCAAAATGATGCTGAAAATTTCGAAAGAAAAAATATCGCACGTACAGGCGTACACACACACACACACACACACATGAACGTCGTTGAGATGAAAAAGAGAAGGCGAGTGCGAAGCAAACACGCCTCGATCACAGAGGATGAAACATGATTTTTTTTATTTTTTCCCATTTGGATTTCGGTCGTGGAATTAATCATATCGTATTTTCTGTGAATTAATCAACACACATAGCTCGGCTCTTCGATAACTCGCATTCGTGCAGAGACAGATCGACACACAGAGAGCCGAGAGCGCGATGAATGCGCAAAATCCTCGATTAAAATATTGCCGTAGCAAACCGACAAACAGAACACAGATCATGGGCCAAATAGATTAATAATCATTGATCATGAAGCATCTATTCATTTGAAGAAGAAAAAAAATCAATTAATTTTACATCACGAGTAGTAGCGTACGGTGCTTATATAAATTGTGCACCACGCATCACTGAAAACGACCAAAAAAAGCCAAAAGACTTATTTGACCTGTGTGTGGATTGACGAATGCATTTAATAAACGCTGTTCGCTCGTTGATGAGCCCAAAATTATGGTGAAGCGTTCTGTGTGAAATGATCAAGGAAAGCCCTCAACGCTGTCTCAATCACAAATTCAAAGTTCAAACACTACTGACTTCTCGTCGTCGTAACAAAACATTCGCATGAATAATCACACAACAATGCGACACACTGATGACGCAGTCTTAGCGAGCATAAGCGTTTGTTGACACTATTTCCCATCAAAGATAACTTCGCGCCTGTGTTTCACATTTTCAATCTTTCTTCACATTCGGGAGCCATTTCATTGTTGTTGTTGTTATTAATTCCATTTGTTTTTATTGCGAAATGTGAAATGAGCCAGTTATTCATCTTTCGAAACATATTAGTCAGATTAACGATAAAATAATTTGGTGTGGGCGTTTCATTTCTTAAATTAACATCAATCAAGGTAGTTTTCTTTTTTTTTTAATTTCATTCGATGGCTATGAACATTTTGTTCCATTACAATTATCTTTATTGTTAGTTAGGAACAATTACTTGAATTTTTTGATGACAATTGCACTAGATGATGATTTTGTAATATGTTTGCTTTTCTTCTCTCTCTTTCTCTTTCAAATAGGCATGTATCGACGACAATTTAGAAATGGTAGAGTTTTTAGTGCAGCATGGAGCTGATGTAAATAAGCAAGATAACGAGGGATGGACACCATTACATGCTACAGCATCTTGTGGGTAAGTGCTTGAAATCGATTCAAACGGTTTGAAATCGAAAAATATCTATTTGCCGTCTTCTTTGTTCCATTCAAATTTACATTTCTTTCTTTTTCTCTCTCTCTTGGTTCTGTCATCGCTGTATTTCAGATTTCTTAGTATAGCACAATATTTAATAGAGAATAATGCTGATTTAGCGGCAGTGAATAGCGATGGCGATCTGCCCATCGATTTGTCCGATTCGGATCGCATGCATGCGCTGCTTGAGAAGCATTTGATTGAGCAAGGCATTGATTGTGATGAAGCACGCCAAAGTGAAGAGAAAATCATGCTGCATGATGCCGAATGTTGGCTGAGAAACGATGCATCGGAAGCAGATCGTCCGCATCCGCGTACCGGTGCGACGGCATTGCATGTGGCCGCTGCCAAAGGATACAACAAAGTATTGGGCCTATTGCTGGCCACACGGGCCGATGTTGATAAACAGGATAACGACGGTTGGACACCGTTGCATGCAGCCGCACGATGGGGACAAAAGGATGCCGCACAAATGCTGGTAGCCGCCTTAGCCGATATGGATATCAAAAATCATGCCGGCCAAACACCGATCGATGTGGCCGATCCAAGCATCGTGAAATTCCTTGAGGAACTGCAGAAGAGCAACAAACGAACCGCATTACGAAGACCTGCTAGCCAAATTCGCCTTAGTGATAATATTTATAATCATTTTAATATAGAAACACCGAAACCGAAAGTTATGAAATCAGACACGAAAAATATCGATGGTGAGTGAATCGCAATTGAAATAGACAACGTGTGCACACGTTTCTTCTCTCAATTTCCCTTGCCTCTTCCATTCCAACATTCATTTCGTTTTTGTATTTTGCACGTCGATTTGATTTACATGGGGGCGATCGTTTGATCGGTCGAACGATGTTGCCGAAAAGCAATTGAAATACCAACTACCGATTCAATTGACCATGTCCAGTTCTATTTTCGGATGCATTAATTTTGAACTCGCATACGTGCCGTCGTCTGACGTTTAAGGCATCTTGAATGCTAATCGAATCATATATATATGATGGGTTTTCCGAAGAGTAAATCAAGCGAATTTAATTAAAATTGCACAAAATTTATGCCGTTCATGAAAAATAACTAATAACTCATGTCAGACGAAGCGAAAAGAAAAATGATGCATCCATTTTTGCCGATCAATTTGCAGCGATACGATTTGAGATGATTAAGTGTTGTTTTCTTTTCTGTCGGACATTTTCAGAAGATATCCCGAAACCACCAAGCGAACCAGCACCAATAGCCAAAGAAAGTCAATTGATTGAAGATGAGGCACCATGGCGACGACCAACATCCATTCGCCTCACTCGAACCAATCAAAATGAGAATCCACCAAAAATACGTAACTATCAACCGAATCCATCTAACTATCACCCATTCGGCCCGAAGAATGTCATTAATTTTTTCGTATGTTTTTTTTCTCTTTATTTTTGTCGGTGTTTCAACAGAAGTTCCTGAAAAAGAATCCCCAAATACATTGGATAGCGAAGTGATGCTTCGAAGAACACAAAGCTTTGAAAATGATGAAAAGTAAGTGTGGCGCTCCCAATAGTTTGCTATGCTATTTAGAATAAAAGTATGCTGTTTTGATGATAATGGTGATGATTATGATGTTCTATTTGTCTTAAGCAAATCGTAGAAAGAAAACAAAAAACCCAAAGTGATATAGCACAATACGACAATCTATTTATGCTTCCAATTTGATTCCATGATTTTATTTTATTTTTTCAAGAAAAAAACAAAAATTCTCTCTTCTTTAAGCGTCTCTCTTTGTCTGTCTCTCTATTCAAATTACTTAAACGCAAATTGATTATTCCATTTTGTTTTTGTTTATTTTATTTTTTTTCACTGTTTTCTTTCCTCTCTTTTCGAAAATACTTCTATTTGCTGGTGAACACAAATCTCGATACTAAATACAGATCTATATAATCATTTTCACCACTAAAGAGCACACTATATCGATTTACCCCGTCGTTATTCCAATCATGTGTGTCTTCCCAGTTTCGAGCCATTTTTTTTTTTTCAAATAAAAAATTACTGAATAATTTCTTACTAGCTTCAGTACCCACTGCGTTTTTCCAATGCAACCACTTCCAACTTGTGCCAATTGCCTAAAACCCTTGCGATTCTACTTCTCTCATTCTCGCTCGCTCTCTCCCTCCTGCCAGATCAAAGACCATAAATAATCCATCCTCTTCTTCTCTTGCCAAAAATAATAATCTGCATCAAGTGTGTGTGTGTGCATGTAATACTTAATGGAAATGTAATCATCAATGACCATATCGATTAACTTTCATTGACAAACAAAATGAATTTTGGATAAATCATAATCTTTAGCTTTTAAAATCACATTTTAATCAAAACAACAAATATTAATTCATATTTATTTATTTTTATTTCGTTGCATCCATGTGTTTCTTACAATTTTTTTTATCTTTTTTCGTTTTTTTTTTCTTTCATTTTTTTTTTCGTTCATTACGCTCTCGATTAATGATTGCGCTTGCACGTTCTGTTTTATCATTGTTCAACTCGATCAAAACAAAAATTTGTAATCTCAACACACATTCAATCAAAACACATAAAAATTACGATGAATCCGTAAAAACAAAATACATACACACAAAAAAAATCCCAAAAGATTTTATCAAAAGTACATAGAATTGCGTCGGCGGATAAACGCGAATTCTTATCCAGTTTCACCGGCTACATTAAATACTGGCATGTTTGGTGTAAATTCCACTTACACGATTGCACCAACCACATCAACAACAACTACGACAAATAATTTTACAGTACAAAGATCGGCCTCACTTAAAGATTACAAACCATTAAGGTACGAAAACTCACAATTTGGCAGACGAGTTACCAATTCATGCCAAACTTACTCATTTTATTTCAACTTTTTTTATTACCAATTATTTTTTATTATTATTTTCATTTTTTTTTTCTCTTATAAAGTTTTTCTTAAATAATTTTACTTAATTAATTTTTTTTGTATTTTAATTTTGTTTCGATTTAATTTGGTACATGGAATCAAAAAAGAAAAAAAAAATCAAAATTAGTGAATCGACTATATTTGAAAATTCCGTTATCGGATCAGGTGTACATTTGAATTAGGTGTTTTTTTGTATTTGAGTGAATTTGTACGGATTAATTTCTAGATCTATTAGGAAAACGATTACACTTTACAAGGTTTTAGGCTTTGATACAACAACCACAACAAAATTTCAGTTCGGGAAACAAAAAACACAATAATTTACATTGGGACATTTGAAATTAAAAAAAAAAACCTTCAAATCAAAATATTTGTATCGTGAACAGTGAAATTCTCCTAAAAATCCTGACTATTTAATATGCATGCTATTTTCCTTTTTTCCAAAAGTGAAATTACTCGATTTCATTAACTTTTAACTAGGCCTAACTTTTTGATTCTGACACAATTTTTTTTTTCTAAATCGGTTATGGAGATGCATTTCTATTTTAAAGAAGAAAAACAAAACATTTTGCTTGTGCTTTATTAGCTCAATAACTTTTTAGGCCATTTCTGTCTTACTGAAATGGTTCGGTTTGCTTATTTTCTAACCCAATTTATGCTTTGAAAAATAAATCGGTTTATCTGAAATAAAATTCTAACTTGATCAGGCTAGCAGTTAACTCGATTCTTTCAAGCCAAAATATAATATTTAATGTAAATTTAGAGAAAATAAAGAATAGTCTTCTTTCATTTAAATTCCAATCGATTCATTGCGGAAACGCTCGCTTTTGCGAAACGCCATTCTGATGTACTGGGACCGGGTTCAACTAATATTTATAATATTCCTTACAGGATAAATTCATTGCCACCATCAGCTGTAGCTTCAACGGCTACGAATAACACGCTCACCACTAACACAACGACGACGACCGCAACGACACCGGTCGCACAACAACAACAAAGAAGGTATGTTGACATTGTCTTGACATTGTGTTGTGTTTAATTCTCAATTTTCAGCCATTACACGTATCACATCATCTCTGTTCACGATACCTGCTCGAAATTCCTCTATCAAAAACTTCAAGCAATACCAAAAACCAAAGCAAAACAACAACAAACAAGAATTAGTTCCACACTAAAGAGGAATCAAAAAAAAAAACGAACAGTTGGTTTCGTTCCAAAATAGAATGTTGAAGCAAATCTAGCATTTAATCCAAATATCATTCGTTTAGAGAGCTTTGTTTAGCCCGATTATTGCCAATGTTATTGACACTAATTCGCAAAATGTGACATGCGCATGTCAAATCCAAAATGCAAAACACACATTTTTTTTTATTCTTTCTTTTTTATCCCTTTAACATTGTACCGAGAAAAAAACAACAACAACAAACAAAAACATGGAATAAGTAGTGAACATTTCTTTATTCTTCATTCCATCAAAACGTTTTTTTCTTCTTCTCCATTTTCTCATTTAGCTCTGGCAAAATTGACGATAAAAATAGACCGAAATATGGTAGCGTGACCAATTTGTCGGTCAATCCGGAAATTTCAAATAAAATCAGTCAAGCGCGTTCGCTATTCGGTGGAAGTGCATTTTCATTGAATAAAGTAAACGATCGACCATTGACACCCTATCGACACGCGTCGAGCGCCACCGATTTAACGAACGACAATGCCAACGACAAACAAACCATTTCGAACGACAAAAATTCAAACAGTAGTAAAAATCCGGACAAAACCTCACCAAAACCGGTGATCAAGACTCCAATTAAATTCACTGACGAACTTCAGGTCATTACGCAAAATAATGAACCGGCCAAAAAAAGCACCTTCGGCCATATATTTAAAAATTTCTTCAAGTAATTACACCAATTAGTACCATTTTTTTATTGTTTCGCTTCTGGGTTTCATTTTCTTTATTATCCGTTTGTTTTGTCTGTAAATCTTTGCAGTTTCATTTTCTTTTTGAGTTTGTGTTCGTCTTTCGTTTTTAATTTCGTTTTCTTATTATTTCAAATAATTGCGTTTTTTTTTTCTCTCGATGATTTTCTGTTTTCATTTTGGATGCCAACAAACTGACTGATTGACATAATGATTGATTCACTTGATCGATTCTGATTGAGACATTATTTTAACCGCTTTATGATCGAATAATACTATTCACATGACAGTTTTTTTTCTGCTCCAGCCAGAGAATTCATTGCACAACAACTAATTACGAATCGATTCGTTTCGAGTTTAATTGGATGACCAAAATGTTTCGAATTTCGTTTATAAGTGTTTCTTTTAGTTGAAAATGATTATCATCGTTGAATGTTGATCGGTCAATTGAAATGCGACCCTAACCTGAATTCATTGAATTCCGCTTCCTGATTTCCTTTGTGGTGCTCAAGAGCTTTTTTTTCTTACTAATTACAAATTCATTTGGACATAATGAAATTTGTACCTTCAAACGAAGTGAATGAACATTCGCGGGGACGGATTTGGTGAAATCGAGAACCAAATGCCAACACACACACACACACTCAACACGCATATATACAAAACAACACTATACTCTGAGTGCATGCCCAATAAACAAAAATCATTTTAAATTGTGGTGCTGACGACAAATATCCATCCGACCAACATCGAATTTGTCACACACACACACACACAAACATATTTTTCACCTTATTTCGTTTACCTAATTCCCACTAATTTCCTAATCAAACTGACTCCCCTTTGTCGTGCTTTCATTGATAAGTTTCCATTAAATTTGAATCGCCCAAAATTAAAACTGCACAACAATTAATTCGATCGAATTGGTTTGGTCCAATTCTTTTCTTTCTCTTTCTGTCGTTTCGATTTTATGAAACGTATTTAGATCATTTGTACCGCCGGCTCGCGATGAGGAGAGCGAAACGCAACGCAAAGCCCATGCTAAACGTGTTCGTGAAACCAGACGATCGACACAAGGTGTTACATTAGAAGAGATCAAAAGTGCCGAAGAATTAGTTAAGAAAAAGAATTTGAACAATAATAATAATAGCAGTAGCAACAACAACAATAACAATGTAAGTACCACTGGTTTAGTCATATAGCAACACTAGATTATCTTCATGTCGAAAAGCAAAATCACAATGCGCGCACAAACATGAAAAGGAACACACACACACACATACGTACACATGAAAAGAAAAAATGAATGAAAAGAAGAGGAAGAAGAAGAAAATGGTTGATTCATTTGTATGGATTTCCGCATTATTGAAATAAATGAAAAGATGTCAATTTGTTATTTCAATAAACCGCAGAACGTATCGAATGTTGAAAGCGAAAAAAGAATTCTTTTGATTCGTTTTTCGTGTGCGTGTTGTTTGTTTCCCATTTCAATGGGCATTTCATTAATACATTTTCATCATCAAACAAAGCTCAAACAACAAATAAGAGAAAAAAAAGCAACAACAACAACAACACTTTTTCGCTCTTTTCATCGCGTGATGACTAACTTCCGAACGTGTGCATTTGCGTTTTTTTTTTTCGATCGCGTTTTTTATTGTGTTTGTTAATTCACAACAAAAACTGACCGCACTAGATTTTAGATCTACCAAATTAGAATAGTTTTGACCAGTCGAAATGATTTCTGATTCGTTGTTTTTTTTTGGTCACGAGACTGCATAATTCATTTTTTATAGTTTTTTTTTCTTTTTCTTGGACACGAACATCATTCTTCTTTTTTTTTCGTACTAATGAAACATTTTGAAACTAATACAAATACTGAAACCATGTGTACAGAATGGAAATGCAACGACACCAAGTGTGACAGCGAGCGAAACAACAGCGACAAGCGCTGCAATAAAAACCACGGAAGATGATGAGATTGTTACGTCTGTCACGTTAGTGCTGCCAAACAGTCGTACAGCATTAAACTCATCGACAACAACAACAGTAACAATGAATGTGCCTGCTGTGATGTCTGCACCCCCATCATCATCATCATCATCATCATCATCATCATCGTCATCGTCATCCACATCAACTTCGACAATAACACCAACAGCAACAGCAATTGCAAACAAAAAGACTGAACTGTCGGATATGCTAACGATGAAAGTGTGTCCGACAAAACTAAACACAGCTGATAGTAGCAGCAATCAAACGTTTACCAAATTATCAACGACGGATTCAATGCAATCGGACCACAAGGATTGTATGTACGGATTGGGCATTACGGACGACGATAAAAATGGTAAGGCAGCGATTCAAAAGCGATCACTGCTTGACATCGATAATGCGAGCTCGTTATCGTTAGCCGATAAATTACGTAACGAAGCCAATAAGTATTCCTCCGATGAGAACGCTGGACGTGAGCATTTCGGAACAAACAAAGATGCCTTAAACCTAGCCACAAACAATGAACAACAGCAACAATCGATTGTTGACAAGAAGACTGGATCGTTGCCAACGACACCCACATCACCGCCAACATCCGCATTGTATCAGCCAAGCGTTGTGACCAGCTCCATTGGCAATGCCACAACCACAATCAATAGCCACACGAATGAGCGTCGACCATCGTGGCGACTCAAATTAGACGCCGGATGCAAGGTAACATTTTCACACACACACACACACACACAAACACAAACAAAAACAATTTCAAACGCGATTTACAATCTCCGCGACCAATCACTTCTTCTCACCGATTTCGCTCCGAAAACGCGTTCAGTTTCTGTTGACACACATTAAAAATAACTAGCAAAAAAACAATGCGGTTTTCGAACTGAACGCAGCCAAGATTGATTCAACTCTTTTTTTTAATGTACAAACAAAATTTATTTTTCGAATTTAATCCATTTTCCAAAATTTGCTGAATTTCGTTAAACGAAACACCACATTTGTCTATATTTAATCTTTAGATAGAGCTGGTGTGCAAGCACCGTGAGCACATTGTTTATTGCCAATTAACCAACAACAACAACAACAAAAAAATCAAACCGATTCGGCGACAAATATGGCCGACCACAAATTTACCACACAATTAATACCGCAAAAACAAAAAGCCTGGGCTTTCTTTTAATGCGAACATCGCATGCCGAGTGAAAACACTAATGGACTTTACTACATTTTTATTTTTATTTTTTTTCAATCATTCCTAAACCGCATCAAAGAGTCAAAATCAATCATTTTCCCCACTTTAAACCGAATTTGTATTGATACCATTTACCGAACACACATACTAATTCAACCATACATTCCTCCTGTAACAGTTTAAATTGGAAGATGCCACTTTGCCAGCCACCAGCACCAATTCAATTGTTGATAACAACAATTTGATGGGACAAAGACGAACAAGTGAGTATTTTCTCTTTCATACGCATTTCACATGTACAATCTGCCTTTTTGTGTAATTTAATGAATGAAACAAAACAAAATTGTCGATGATCGACATCATTTTTCAACGAAACCTCGTTCATATTTTCATTTCCGCATTATCCATGATGTAAATGTTGTCATAGTTGGAATTAATTACATTGCTGTGCATATAAGTCATAATTAGCGAATGGTATCAATTCCGAATGGTATTAAATAGCAAAGAGCGTGAATTGAACATGAGCCAAATGACTTTCCACTTTTCTTTTTCGCTTTTTTTTCTCTGACTTCATTCCTCTTCTTTCTCTATCTCTCTGTCAACCATTTTTTTTCTCTTGCTTATTCTTTGTAATTTCATTCATTAATTTAAATATCCATTTGAGATACCATCTTGTCTAGAGAAATTGGGTTAAAGTCTACTAAAATTTTTGCAGAGAAATTCAATCTCATTTGATTATTTTGTTGATCTGTATCTAATGTTGCATATATTTGATCTGTAACACAGATTTGACAACCACCAACACCGTATCGCGTCCATTATCAGCTCCGGTTGTATCGTCATCGACCATCGTCGACAATACGAGCGATCGAAGCAAGGAAACTCCCATCATCAGCACCGATGTGACTGTGTCCCTAAAAAAGAACCGAAGTGGAGAAGATAAAGGTAAATTTCGTTGTTTTCAATCAATTTTAAATTTGCAGGGCAAAGAATATGGGTCGCTTATTTAACATCTAATTTGTGTTTATTTCGTGTGCAGAAAATGAAAAAGAGAACGATAGTCGTGGTGGGCAAGCAACGCAAGCAATTATTCAGCGAAGACGACGACCAAAGAGACGTTCAACCGGCGTATGCAATGTTGGCGCCGAGGTAATGAAACAAAATTGATCCATTTTTTTCTGCTATTTCATGCATTCATTGGTTTTGTGTGTGTGTTTTTTTTCTCGTTCACAAAAAATAAAACAGGACGCCGATAACGAGCGACAAGACTCGCCTGTTGATGGTGATGAGGTAATTGAACTGATTTATAAATAAAATGTATAATAATAAAATCGACGAGTCGAAACGTGAGACGAATATGTCATTGCTCGTGACCTCCTGACCATTCGTCACAAGTGCAGTGAGCGAGCGGTGTGTATTACTATAATATAAGGAGCGCGTGTGCGCGCGCGGGCACGAGGCGTGATCGAAACGGATAATGTTATTGATACACGCGAGCATGTCTCGCATATGACAATCAATCAATCTAAATTTAACATGAGATGTCATTATTATGTATGATTTGAGCATGCAATTCAGTTGCAGTCGGAACGAAAATAGCCATTGAAAAACAGAGAGATCGAATGCAAACCGATAATGACATTTCGCATCGTCCTTTATTGTTATGTGGCGGCGAAAAAAAAAGATGACTTAATACTTGAAACACGAGAACGAATCAGTCGATGGCGATGGCAGCAGCATCAATGTTGCCCGTTCTGTTTGCCAATCAGCAAGCGTTCGAAATGAGATGTGATCTGCGTCGAATGCTGTCTAATTACTTCAAGTGAAATGTCACATTTCCGAAAGGAAAACGAAAGTGGCACATAACAATGATTTATTTTTGTCAAATGAAATCAAGGTTTTGTTCGAAGATTGAAATGTAAACGAAATGAAAAAAAAACGAATCGGTCGATATTTTTTTTCCTTGCTACCGACCCGAACGGACGCGGCCAAATGAGTTGGCAAAATCCGACATTTAATTCGATGTTTTCGGTATTTTTTGTCTATTTTTTTCGCGTTTCTTTTTTTTTCGCGTTATCGTTTGCCATTGCGATCCATTTTAATTTCGATCTTGAACGTTATTTGAAATGAGTAAAAGTGTGTAGCCACTACTTCGATGCAACGAAGAAATAGGAAAAAAAACACACAGAGAGAATTACACGCTTCTAATAATGTGCACGAGATGTTTAAATGGGGATTAAAAAATCATGAATTATAAATGTCATATGACGCATGAGAATAAATACACACACCACACCGTTCATTACCACGTCGACACACGACAAATGCTGCGTAAGCAGCGTAAGAAAAAAAAATTGACAATTTTTACGCCGTCCAAACACGAAATTAATCTAATTGCGATTCAAGCAAAAGTGACGACGCCAAAGTACACACTTTCGGCGCACGTTCATGAAAAATCGATGAGAATTCAAAAAATTAAAATAAAATGCAAGGCAAGAAAATCAAACATCGTTCGTCGAATCGAAGATGGATTTTGCTTAAATTCACTTAAATGTTAAAACTCGTCATGTTTATTTGTTGATATGTATAAATTAAGTTCTCCCAATTGCAGATCAACAAATCGCATTACAACTCGTCGAAAACATGCACAATATTTGTTTACGTGTTTTTTTTCTTCTTGAAAGAGAGCTAAAGGTGATCTCTCGAAAGTAAAAATTCGCGAAATCTGATGAAACGTGCCAAGGGCAAAATAGACAAAACGTTTACAAAATGGAAGGAAAAAAAAGTCGATACATTAAATCGAGATATTTTGCCGAAAGATCGATATCCATCGATACAAAATGACCATATGGCTTCCGTGCTACGTTGATGTGCGGTGGTCTATTTATAATTGAGCGAATTTCCAGTGCAAACACTGCTAATAAACACGGATTAATGTCTATTTTCTCCTCTTTTTCTTCTATTTCTTCGCGCAAAAATACTAGAGAAATATTATAGCATTTACGATACTTAAGTCCAATTGATGTGCGAGCACAGTCAGTTTCGTACCAGCCAAACGAATCAATCAGCACAACAATTATCATTCCGACGCTGTTTGCTTTCTATGTCGACAAATGAGTACATCACGTCAAACATACAATAAAAAAAAACAAAACGAAAACGAAAACGAGATGAAAATGAACTGTCGACTCAGACAGATTTTTTGCTTGCTAAAACAGCAACTGTAGCAGCAGAAGCAGAAAAAAATATGACAAAAATGTCACGTGTGAATTTCAGGTCGATTTGATCGGTGTCGTTTGCATGGAGCAAAGCGAAATCCTTTGAAATCGATGACGCACATGAAATCAACACGCCACATGAGATCGGTGTAGCTAGGTGATGTGCAAGCGTTGGTGTAAATTCATTGAGTGCTCGTGAGTTGTGGATTCATTTCGCATGATTGTTCATAGTCGTCGTCGTCGTTGTCGTCTTCGTCGTTGCCAAGAAAAGTCTGAGGAAACGACGTTTCATCGGCGTAATCTACGATCAATGCGGCCGTTGCGCAGAAGATCTATAGACAAAAATCATGAATAAACGCGCGTATTGCATACGATTTAATTGATTCGAACTCGCACCAGAAACACACGAAAAAAACAACAACGGCAGCACGATTTTTGTATTCTGTTTTCTTTTTGGGTGTGTTGCGGTTGCTGTTTTTTTCTCTGATCGCCATCATTCGGCCGATGCAATTTTGTTGCTGACAATGACTGCCATCATTCCATATGTTTGAGATCGTGTCTGATTCTATATATAAGATGATTTATTCAACGGTGCGACGCGCTTTGGTGCATAATGTACAATACACACGGCGGTGTGATTGGCACACACATGACAACAACCGCGCCACACCGTACGCAAGAATACGCGGAAATGAATGAGGATGTGGTGCTCTGACATTTTGATGGCGCGTAGTCAAGCTTTCAGCTCAGGTCTTCTCAATGCTGACCCGTACGCACGAGCAGCTCAGTGAACCGAAGAAAACAACAGAAAATCGCTGCTATTTCATCGTCTTCCATTCGAGAATATTTTCACGTATCACGTCGATCCATGCTGAAAAGTTTTGCCGAAATCTGATTCATAAATCGCTTAGCATGAATAAGCGCGCATTCAAACACGAACTTCGGCTGTTATAACATTGACAACATTATTTATAATTGCTACGCTGTCATCATCAAAACATTTTTCACACAGTCATCCAACCGAAATTCATTGAACGCATGAACCAAATCGCAATTCGGAATAAATAAATTTTTTCACTGTCTATTTGCTCAACAGACAGACTCGAATTGATCGCGCGAGAGAAAAAAGTCGTGCAACCAATTCGCTCAACTACGTATTTGGTAACAAATTATTAAGCTCATATTTTTCGTCTCGTTCGCTACATAATTATTATCTTTTTAAGGAGCGCTTTACGCTTTGAGCTGATCTCTCGTATACAAACAAAACCAAAAACAAATTGAGTCAAGAAAAAAAAACTAGCGAATATCAATTGATTCATATTTTTCGCGTACAAATTGGTCAGAGACTAAATGTAGCTACACATCCCTGACTGAATATAATTGCGTCGTGCAAGTGCAATTTGTTTGCTTGTTCAATTTGTAATTCATAACTGAGGAGAGCCAATTGCGATGGCAAACACAATTTTTAGACAAAGACGCGCGTATTTTGCTATCGCCCAAAACTCTCAGACACAGCAAAGCCAAATGGCAAAGGATTCTCGGACGACGCAAGGAGAAGAACAGAGAGAGAGAGAGAGAGAGAGAGAGAGAGAGAGAGAGAGCAAGCGATTGTTGTATTTTTATTTCAAGGAAAACAACAGCATTACAATGTCTGTTCACGTCAATTTCTGTTCGTTGCTCTGCTATTCTGGTTGTTGCTTTCATTCTATTTCATTTTCTTTGTTGTGTTGCGGTCCATGCGCGAGCAATTTTCTAATTGTTTTTTGATTTTTAATAATGACCACCTGGCTTTCCAACTATTTTTAGCGTGCCGAACACACTTTACCCGTGTATATCTATTTGGTGGGATTTTTCTTCTTCTTCTTCTTTTCAATGTGTGCTTTTTTTCTCAATTCTTCATCGGTTCTTTATGCGGCTGTATTTTCTGAATCGGCAATTTCAAAAAGGAAAAAGAAGAAGCATGAAAAACAGTGCGATATTGCGACACACAGGCAGAGCCGCCGCACAAAATGCTCATTCGTAGTTACCGAAAGCACTCACAAACTGTGTGTGTTTGTGTGTATATCATAGTCATAGACAAATCTATCATTATTTTTAGAAATCTTTTTCTCGTTCATTTCGGTTGTTTCTTTTGCGCTTCGTGTGGTTTTTCTTCCTTTTTCTTCGTTTTCTGCTAGTTTCTCTCGTTCTCTTAAACTATTGGCTACGGTAAATTCTGTTACATTTTTTGAGACTTTGTGCTCATCGCGTTTACACACTCGTTTGAGAAATTAAAATATGAATCGATAGCGCTGTGATTTTATTTCTTCTTCTACGACTTGTTGTGATGTTGGGCTGCTGCATGCTCGCACAAATTCTCTATTCGTAGCACGGGCGGCAATTGCGCGCGATGCACAAAGCGAATTATTTGCCAATACAAACATTCGAAGCATCCATTTGCGCATTTCGCAATGGCAGAGAGAATTAGTCAAACGTCTGAACAAACATGACCGGTGTGTGTGTGTGTGTGTGTGTGTGTGTTCGTTGATTTTTCCATTATTTCACAATTCAACGCCAATGCCCTTTTTTTATATCTCTCTTCGGCTTTTGTTGGTGCCGCTGCTCTTTCTCTGTGCCTCTGCTAGGAATGCACGTTCAAAAGATTGTTCATACTGCACATCTTCTGTTTATTTTTTTTCTTAATTCTGTGCCTTGTGTCCGCACACAATTCCTGTTCCACGAAATAAAATAAATCATCTTTTGTCTTCTTGGATTCGTTTCACGTCTCAATGCCATGACACATTCGAAAAGCGTTCATGTTTTTCACGCCACTGCATGAAAAATTATCGCCCAAAATGTGCTGACTGCACAAGCATTCCGCGCCACACACAACGGAAAACTATGATAAAAAATAATAATCTAAATTTAGTTTTATCATTTTGTGGCGGTTAATGTTTTCTCTTTTTTTTGTTATTTAATTTCCATCTCATTCGCTCGCTATCGCTCTCTTTCACATACACACACACACACACACACTCTCGCTCTCGCTGTCTCGGGTATCTCTTGTGCTTTACCTTTAAGTGTTCGCGCTGCTGTTTTCGCTGCCCATTTGTGCTCTCGCGCATTCATCGCATTTCGGACACATTTCCCCCCAGTCTCTCCCAGTTATTCATCGCGCTAAGACATTGTGTGCGCTCTCGCACTTATACAAACGAGACAAATAAGTCACTGACACACAAAGATCGTTTCCTTCCTTCTATGTAAATCTTCTTCTTTTTTTTGTATATACAAATCGACATACCGGTATGATTTCAGTCGTTTTACGTCTTTCGTTGCGTTTGCACTGATGTGCTGATTTCATTCATTCAAATGAACACCACTCACTTGATGTGATTTGCATTGTTATTTCGCGCGAGTACATAAATTAATTTGAAATTTTTAATTGAATCGTGCGTGTGTGTGTGTGTAGGAATCGTCTTCCTTCAGAAGGGAAACATCTTGAGGATAAAAGCAAAACAAGAGAAATTCTTGAGATAACATACAAGAAAGCTAAATAGAAAAAAAAGACGAAAAAAAAGACGTTATTTCGAACCACGCGAATAGTTGAAGAATTTTTTTTTGTGTGTGAATCATGTCGTTTCGATCGCGTTCGCGAACTGTACAGCCAGTGGTGCAGCGTCGATCGTTGTCTGGCTCACGATTGCCCAACAATTTGTCATCATACACAAGCAATCGGCCGTTGAGCTCAGCCTATCCATCGTCAACATCATATGCAACATCGAATTATATTAGCCCATACACAAGTGTTACATCTCGTGACAGTATTTACAGTTCGATTCCATCCACGCGCAACAGTTACTACAACGGCAGTAGTAGCAGTTCACGGAGGGATTCATACAATGGCAGCAGTACAATTTATAAAAATCCATACACATCCGATCGTTACATTAGCCCGTATACATCGTATGATAATGGTATAACGACCGCTGGTCTTAGTATAAAATCGTCTGCATATGGCAGCACGAATGGTTACACCACAAATGGTTACGGCAGCAGTAGCAGCAGTGCCAGCACTAAAAATCCATACACACCGCTGAATCGGCATTCGGCAAAGATTCTATCCGCATCGAACACCAGCCTCAATTCGTATGCATCGAAACCGTCCACTGCCAATGCCGTGTCAAATACAAATCTCGGCCGAAGCCAATCGTTTCGCGATCAAACGTCTGAACGAAAAAGCCGTAATAACTTACGAAGAAATAGCTCATTAAAATCAGAACGTTCTCTCAGTGTATCGTCGGAAAAAAGCGAAGGCTACGAAGTACGACACACTATCATATATAGTTTATACATATACAAACACCTTTTTTTATTTTATGATCAAAATTAACTTGAAACAATTATAAACACTCACTAAACTAGAGATGTAAACGATGTTTTTGATTTGTTTTTTTTTTCTGCGCTTTTTTGATTGTTTTATACTTATATGTGATGATTGGATGTGCTTTGTTTTTTTTATTTTTGTTCTCTTTCGATTTGTTATTTAGAGTGGCAGCGAAAAAACGTCAACAAGATCACGCCTTGGCTCGAGCAGTTCAATCACATCGGAACAGAGTCCCGTTGCCGATAACTCGGAAAATGGCGGCGAAGCCATCGATTACAAGGCACTGTATGAAGCAGCTAGGTAAGTTGTTGGTTTTCACTTTGGTTGCAAATAGTTGTGGTAATTGCGCCTACGAATGCATTGACACTAATATTCATTTTAGATCCGATAACGATAAACTTAAAAATCAATTGAAAAAGAAAGATGACGATCTGATGAATGCAAGAGCAGCAATCGATAGATTCACAAATGCAGTAAGTGTATACTGTCTTTTCTGTCTTTAATCCTATAATTTCCAAAATTCAATTTTATTTTATTTTTTTCGATTATTCGACACCCATTCAATTGTTTTTTTTTTCTTCTCCAAAAACCAAAATAGACAACGAAGAACACGTTATCTGAGTTGGAAAAGCGAGAGAAACGCGCCATGGAACGCAAAATCTCCGAAATGGAGGAGGAGCTCAAGGTGAATATCATTCAAACTAAATATGCATACGATAAATCCCATAAAAATCCACCATTCTTTTAAGTTGGTCGTTGCTCCAGTACAGCAACGATCATTACTTAAAAAACAAATCCAAATTCCTGTTCCCCACCCAAAAGAAGAAGAAGAAGAAAAACACATCCCCTCAATGTTCGCATCTACTTTTCTTTACATCATATCTTATTTTTAATTTCTTTAGTTTTTGTTCGTTTTAGTTGTGTCATTTATGTTGATTATCTGTTTTTCTTTGACAAAAAAAAAATTACACAAAAATAGCCGAAGCAACAATCACATACACACCACAAAGCGATGCATCGTTCGCCTCAATATCAAAATCACACACGACACTATACAAATTGTGTGCCGATTTGTGTGAGACATAATTTGTGCTTGATTTCAATAAATCATAAACGTGGTGTTTTTCTCGTTTCGTTTGTTTCAACCGATGCGTTGTTCTGTTCGTTGTTGAGTTCATTTTCTTTTTCATTTGAATTTGCCCCTGTTTGTTTTTGTTCAAGCAACTGCAATGTTTTTTTTTTCTATGTTTCTATGATGGAAACACACAATGTTTTCAATGTTCATTTTTTGTTTTGATGCTGGACAAAATAGAAATACTACGGATACCGATTTGAACATTATCCGATTCAAGCCCGTTCCAATTGCGATTTTCTTTCAAATCGTTTTTTTCATTCATTTCATTTGACACACAGACAACATTCTCTCATTCAATGTTCATGTTCTTGATTATTCGTTCACACACCGTCATTTCGATATTTTCACGGAAGAGGAAAAATGTCACATTTTTCCACACCCTTTTTTTGTCATATACACCCGATTAAGCGTGTTTCATGTTCAGTGACGGAAAATGCCAAAGTTGTTGGTGTTGTTTTCATCAACACTTCCGTCTTTGATCGATGAACTAACGGTAAATCGACCATAACTAACACACTCATTCAATCATTCTCTCTCTCTCTCTCTCACACACACACACACACCAATTTTATACACACATTCAAAAATAAACACACAAAACGTACACATTTACCAATTAATTTTTGATCTATTTTATTTGAAAAAAAAAATTCAACTACAAATTTCAACCGAACATGAAAAATCTTTTTAACTAAATACATGTATTTTACACCTTTATCACTATCGTTTTGTAGCAACTACAAAAATTCAAATCTGAGAATGAGCGTCTACGTGCCGAGAATCGCGCTCTCACTCGTGTCGTTTCAAAGTTAACACTTTCGGCCCAAAATCAACTCCATAATAAAAAATAAAGCAAAAAAAATAAATAAACGAAAATTATTCGAAACCAAAAAAACACACACACACGAATCAATTTGATCCGATCGAGACAATCATCAAATCAAATCGATCCGAACGTAAAATAAATCAACTACATACAAATCAGTGCATTACGAGAATTGGAAAGAAGAAAAAACCTTTATATATCAAAATGAAACGCACACATTTAAGCATCAAATATACGCTACAGAGCATCAACATACAACAGTTATACCATTAGCCAAAAACAAAAAATTAAAACCGATCGAGAAAAAAAAATTGAAACAATAATCTCCATTAAACGAGAACGATGAATAATCTAATTGACAACAACAACAACAATAAAAAAAAAGAAAAAACCAAATTTAAACCGAAAATCAAAAAGAAAAACCAATCTCAGACAAATCGCGAATCAACGCCTCCCCCCCAAAAAAAACAAACACACAAAAAAATCGATACAAAAAAAATTGCTTCATTGATGGATGAATTATTCACTCTATGTGTTAATAAACGTTGAAACTTTGCGGTAGGATGACTTATTATCGAATGTAATCATGTTGAACAACTCAGTAATCTTTTGTATTGTGTGTTTTATATTGTTCTTTGTTTGTTTTGTTGTTTGGTTCGAGCCATTTAAACCGATAAATTAAAAAAAAAGACTGTTGAACGCATATATTACTCATATAATTAAAAACCGAATCTCTTTTTTTTTCTCTCACTCTCTCTCCTCTATCTGTATATGTCTAATCATTTCCGTTGTTTTTTTATGCGAGTTTCGTTGGCTTTTCGCGAATAATATAATCCGTGTGTTGGATCTTTTGGTTTTATATTACCAGTTGATTTGAGTTGTGACAATTTGCATTGGCACTAAAACTACCTTTTTAACTGCGACGATGACAATGGCATCCACCAGTACTCTAACACATGATGCCCGAAAACATTCACAAAATACTGTTTTGTTTTTCGTTAAAATTTGATGATAGAATATATATGCTTAACCGGCTTCGACCACTGGTTTTTGGTTGACAGTGTGCCTTCTGATGGCCGTATTCCGTTTTTTTTTGTACATACAGGCTGCAATCGTCTCAATGATCTAGATTTTACTTCTCTTTTCAATGTGTATAAATAACAATCAAGAAGCGTGGCAAATGTTTAATCAAAATTTTAGAGTTGCATCAAAAGATAATGTTGTAAAGTAATGTTGGAGTTAGTGTAATATTGTGTAAACATGTCATTTGATTTTTTTTTATCATCATATACTCATCAAAATCAATTGAAACATCCTTTTTTTTGCTGTGTTAACATTTTCACTTTAAGTTAACCATTCATCCATCAACATGTTGTGTTCATGCTCAGTGTTGAAATGCACAATATACGGGTGCATTTGTGTGCGTTTTTTGTACGGCCGGTTTGGGATTGACCGGTTTTGGGTTTTTGTTGACCAAAACGGAATGTTTATTGAAATATTTTGTTTATGGTTTCGTTTCGAAATGCATGTGCGCACGCTTCATTACCATTAACATTGGCTTTTGTTGAAGTTTCGCATTTGTTTGTTGAACCGGCTGCTACAATGTTGGTCTATGATTTCAATTTGCCATTTATTGTATTCAGCTTAAATGCCTAAATACCCCTTTTTTATACCATTTGTACAATTTTGTTTTTTCTCATTAAAAACGATAATAAGCTGACAGAGTTTTTTTTTCCAATGAATAACAACACTTTTTTTCAAGTGTAAATTTATAATCAATTCAATTTATTCTTATCTGTTCGTTTTTTTCTTTCTTTCCTTTTATTTATCATTCATCATCATCATCATCATCATCATCAGCAACTCGATGTGTTGAAAACGGAAAATCAGCGGCTGCGAGACGAGAATGGAGCATTAATCCGTGTTATAAGCAAACTAAGCAAATAGGAAAGCAAGTGTCGAGAAAGAGTTCTTTGTTTTCTTTTTCTTGGGAATATAGGGACTTTTTTGCTTCTAAGACAACGGTCAATTCATTCAAAAAAAAAACATCAAACGAAATCTTGATCTTTTTATATAGTACATTCAATGCAATATAAAATAAAACACCACACATAATCATTTATCTCTTTATTTTAAATGCGTAGACAACAAACACGATTGACAGAAGTTAAAAAAAACACATACACACACAAAATAACATCAAAATAAATAATTAGGAGACCATTTATTCCACATTGAAACATTGATATAATTTATTCATTTGTTCGTTCTCACTGGATTGAATTTTGTACATCCAACCACATACAATGCGTGAAATGAAATGAAATAGTTCTTATGATTTTGTTCAGTCATCCATGGGTTTAATTTAAAATTCCTATCGAGCATATTTTGTAGATGTTTTCTTCTTTTGTACTGAATGATTACCACATATTTTCACACTAATTGTCTCTTTTCATGTAAAAAAAAAAGTAGTAGAAGAAATGATCTGAAGTAGCTAGCCCTATGTGTTTGGTTTTGAAACAATATATAGAAGGAAAAATCGATTCTCATCGAATATATGCCTAACGCGCATTTGTTTCTGTTCAGCAAATTTACCGTTTAGCAAGATTTTTAACATTTTATTGCAACAACTTTTCATTTGTTTTTTTTAGTAGGATTTAATTATCAGGCGAGTGCGCTGTGTGGCTCTTTTTTTCATTTAGTACACAATCATGCGAGCATAGGGCGCACTCATATGAAAATATTGAAGAAAAAAAGATTTAATGAGGGAAAAAAAATACAAAAACAATAACAATCAAATGAAATAATTTTATGGATTTACAATTTAGTTAGACAAATTTTTAAACAAACGATTAAATAAAATGAAGATTTAAAAATACGAAAAAAAATTATCACTTACAACAACAACAAACAGCTACAATTTTAGCAATTAATATTTTTCTAATTCATTGATAAATAAAAAACAAAATGCAACAATAATTTATTTTTCAAAGCAAAAGAAAAAAAAATGGAAAAAAAAATGAATGGACGAGAGACCGTTAACGCATTCGTCCCATTTCATAATTCGTATTTAAGTTCACAAATTCACATCTTTTTCTACCTGAGTAAGTGAAACGCATAGGAAAAAAAAGCATAAAATAAAATTCACAAAAAACTGAACATTATTTAAAGAAGAAGAAAAGAAATCACACACACACACACACTCACTCTTACTCTTCATAATTGGTTTTTATGACCAGAACATTGAAAGAAAATATTACAAACCAAAGCTGTTTTTCATTTTTAAAAAAATTACTAGTGACTAAAATGATGTGACGGTTGCGCGATAAAATATTCAACAATTTTTACATTTTACACGCTCAACGACATCATGTTTTTTTGATATGAATTACAAATTTTGCAAAGTAAATCTGTATTTTATAGAATTTATTTATGGTATCGCGCTAAATCCCGTGAACAAACACATTGGGCGTGTCGAACGAATTTTTTTTGTTTGTTCAGTAGATAAAAAAAAACAACAACAATAATATTAAAAATCACGGATGTTTACGAACAAAATACTTAAACGAAAATATGCGTATTTTAGTAGAAGCAGCCGAAGAAGAAAAAACTTCATTTTCGAGACTTTTCTCGTCGAGATTTCAATCTCATAGGTTTTGTTTCCAATCGAGATTCTCCTGTTCGACGTTGACTTTATTTCTTTTTTTTGATACAGTATCCTCTTTCATCATTGTTATTTATATGGAAATTATTTTATTTAAGTGAGAAACACTCATCTATAAGCGAATAAGAAAGAGAATGGATTTCATGTTGTTTTTTTCTTCTGTCTTTCTCAAAGCAAGCAACATAGAAGGATTTCAGAATTTTCCTAGTTAGTTTCGTCTGTTCTTTTTAATTTTTGATTTAGATGCCAAACGTACCAAAGAACTCATGCGGTACGGCTTTCGAACAAATATGTTTGTGTTTAAAAAATACGAGAAGAATGTTTTTAAAATGCAAAATTGCTTTATTTATTTAGGAAATAAAAATGAATGAACGAACGATTTGTTGATGGGCATCGCCCAAATCCCCAAATGGAATTTTTGATGCAAGATCATCAAGTCCTCAAGTTGATACTCATATCGTTTCAACAAGACACTCGATGCGAATTCTTGCTAAAGAAAAAAATTGGTTTGACTTGTTAGTGACCGGACGATATACATTTTCGTTTTCCCATTCAAATTGGAAATTCAATTCCAACATTTCGAAGAAAAATAAACACACATACAACATGATTTAAACTATGTTTTTAAGTTAAGTGAAATTATTCAAATGTGGCAGCAGCAAGCGACAAAACGATTTCAAATTTAAACGGTTTGCTTGCATTATTTGTTTTCTTTTTTTCTCTGAAACAATGTTTCTATGTACTACAATTGTGTATTTCATTTATAAACAAACAAACAAAATTACTATTGTCATTATTATTTTGCTCTTTTGCATTATGTAGAACAATAAAAAATGCTGTGTACAAATCAATTCATTTTATTCATTTTTACTGGATGCGATGATATATTTGGAGCAAACTTTCCGAGCTGAAATGGGTTAGTACACGATGTAGCTATTCGAACTTTTGAATATCGGAACGTTTTTCTATAGCAATTATATCGATTACGCAAATTTCAAAAATATTTGTTTCTTCGGTTGTTCCATTTTTATGCGCGTGTTTCTTTTACTATATATATATATCCTAGGATGGATGGATGGATTGATTGAATGACTTCATAAATATCAAAGATGGCTAAAGTGGCATATTAATGACCAGAGAAACATTTTTGGTGTAGATTGATTAAAAACCTCAATAAAACTCAATTTTGATTACTCTTTAATCTACACTATCTCGACCTTCGAAAAGTGATCTGAACTCGACGTCATTCCCAGATTATTTGGGAGAAGCATATAACTGGCGAAATCTTTTTACAAAAATGAATACATAGCCCGGAGAAACTTTACTCAAGCTTTTGATCTTTTATCAGACATCATTGACACCTGTTCCCAAGCAAGAATTCACACTCAATCTAACCCATCAAAAAGGCATTAGCCGTAACCGCGCGTTTAAATGCAAATCACTTTGTGTTCCTGGTAAGAGATAGAAGGCGGATGTAGTTTTTGCAGTGTTTTAGACCATTTTTGCTTGCGACACTTGCCTGTTATTTCTTACCAGAAACACATAAGTGATTCACATATGAACGGTTTCGGCTAGTGCCATTTTTCTCAACGTCACAAATGTTTCAAATATTGAAGTGTTTAATGAACTTTCTCCTAGTTTCATTCATCTTGCATTGACCCAATGAATCTATTCTTTGTATCAAACTGAAATATATGGATCACAAATATTTAGCGCCAGCATATTTGCTTAGATCCAATAAAACACATGTTTTTGTATTGTCTCTTTCGAAAGAGAAAAAAAAAGTGTATCATCGCGTGGAATATAAAAACCGTCGATGATTTACAAGATGCTTTTTATCTCAGCTACATTTCTTTCTTATCTGTTAGATTTCCGCAAAAATTCAAGTGTAATCGGATTCACAGTGTGTGATTGTCTTCAAGCATATCGCGTGTAACCATCGAATTAGCTGTTAATTCTTCTTCATTTTACAGCATTCCACATCAATTTTAGACCAATTTTCGAATATTCTAAACCAATTTGCCCATATTCCGAGTAAAAAAAAGTGATTCATTCCAAAAATGAAGACAAAATCACTGGTGAGACAAATGATTTATATTAAACTAAATCCAAATGCATTAAACACTCTTCAAAACTTAGATTCCTCTAGCATATTTGCTTGTGTCATTGGTCGCGAATGTGAATGCTGTGTGCAATTTATGTGGCTCAAGTTCGGGTGTGAAATGTCTTACATCCAATACATTTCAATTCTGTTCAAGTGGTAAATTGTAGTTAAATTCTTCAAATTGATTAACAGAGGTTGGTTGCACATAAATTTTTTTATATAAATTTCAAATATCAAATAAATTAATCCGATATTTTTCATGCGTTGTGTTATTCTAACTCATTTGCCAGCTATTTATCGCTGGAATGAGATTTTCGTTTTGTTCATTTACCGTTATTTCTCAACAATTCTGCCACTGTGTCACTACATAGTATATATATAGTCCATAAGAAATGTGCAGAGACGAAAATGTTCGCCATTTAGTTTTACATTGCCAATACATTAGTTATAGAGATTTTTGTTTTGTTTATTTTTTGTCGTTTATAAACAAATCTGCCTATCTTTTTGCACATTGCCACTGTACGTAGTATATGTCCCTAAGAAATGTGTTGAGACAATGCAAAAAGATATGCAGATTTGTTTACAAACGACAAAAAATAAACAAAACAAAAATCTCCATAACTAATGTATTGGCAATGTAAAACTAAATGGCGAACATTTTCGTCTCTGCACATTTCTTATGGACTATATGACACAGTGGCAGACTTGTTTACAAATATCGGTAAATGAACTAACCAAAAATCTCATTCCTGCGATGAATAGCTGGCTGCCAATACAACAGCCGATGTCTCGTTTATGTACTGCAAATGCGTCAGAACAACACAACGCATGAAAAATATCGGATAAATTTATTTGATATTTGAAATTTATATAAATAAATTTATCTGCAACCAACCTCTGTTGATTAGCAAATCAAATGTGACATATTGTTTTTTGTATGTGCAAAAGGAATGTCAAGCGGTTCGACATACACATGTCCTACGAATACTGTATGCAGTGATACATCTGATATTTGTGCCAGCCCCTCGACAATTTCGGCCGATTGCCCGACATCATGTGGAACATGCAGCTCAGACAATCGCTTTGCTTGCATAAACTCAACTACGTATGCTCTGTGCTTTGGCAGTACAACACCGAGTACCAGCTACGAGGCTTCATGTCCAACGAGTCAATATTGTGACATTACCGCTACCGCTCCTTCATTCTGTAGCAGTGATTCAACCGTAATCCAAGTCGTCTTCAAAGTCTCTTCAAATTCTCATTTTGGAAAAATTCTTTTTTTTACTTATTAGAAAAGCTGTGACTCAACTAGCGCCACTTCAAGCACTGCATCAACAGCTTCAACGGCTTCAACCGCGTCGACAGCTTCAACTGCAAGCACGGTATGTATTGAATATGCATTTTAATGGAAATGATCCATCCAGCTCAGATTTTGTCTTAAAAGTTTTCAGATCTCATAATTGCCATTCAATCGATTTTTAAGATCATTTCCGTCGTATTACTGTTCATTTTATTGAGCCTCATGTTGTGTGTAGTTTTTTAAATTACTCTGAATCCAACAGTATTGAAATTTGTTCATTTTACGTCGGAAACTCCATTTGTGATATTTTAAGAGAAGAAAATGTGGATTTAACAAAAATCCATTTGAAATATGAATATATATTTTCGAATGATGCAATTGTATGATACTTTTACGAAGTCTTTTTTCTCTGTATTGACCGAATTTTCATCAATTTTTTCATTCAATCTTCAATTTTTCTTACCTTTTTTTCGAAACTTACAAACTGTTTCACTCTTCAAATACTTTTCAAAGATTTTCTCATATCATTTTCGTTAGGCTAGCACAGCTTCGACGGCTTCAACGGCTTCAACGGCCTCAACGGCCTCAACGGCCTCAACGGCTTCAACGGCCTCAACGGCTTCAACGGCCTCAACGGTTTCAACGGCCTCAACGGCCTCAACAGCTTCAACGGCCTCAACAGCTTCGACAGCTTCGACAGCTTCGACAGCCTCAACCGCGTTGACAGCTCCAACTGCAAGCACAGTATGTATCAAATATGCATTTCAATGGAAATTAACCATCTAGCTCGGACTTTGTATTTTATCTTAAAAGTTTGCAGATCTCATTACTGCCATTCGATCGATTCTCAAGACCATTTCCCTCTTATTAGTGTTCATTTTATTGTTGTTGTGTGTAGTTTTTTAAAATATTCAGAGTTTACACAGAATTTGTTTTGTTCATTTTACGTTGGAAACTTCATTTGTGATATTTAAAAGAAGAAAATGTAGAATTTTTTCAAGAGATCCATTTGTAATATGAATATATATTTTCAAATGATGCAATCATACGGTACTTTTATGAAGTCTTTTTTCTCTGAATTGAACAAATTTTCATCAATTTCAATCAAATCTTCGCTTTGAAACTATAAAATTCTCTCGAAATGCACTTCAAAGATATTCTCATATCATTTCCGGTAGGCTTCGACAGCATCAACAGCCTCAACAACAGCAGCTACTCCCGCCCCATCGAGCTATTGCTCAACGATCAATGCCCGAGATAAGTCTCGATATGCAGCACCATTTACAACAAATTGTTCACAGTAATTGCTAACTAAATATTTAGTTTATTTGAAACTAATTAATCCTACATGGTGACATGTTATTTTCAGGTATGTCTACTGCTTTATAAGGTCAGGAACCCTGTACGGTTCCTATTATAAATGCACTGGATCAACAATTTTCAACAATGTAACCGGTTACTGTGTCGCTTCGTCATCGTACAAGTGCCCAACTGGCCTTTGAAGCTTCCTGTTATTCCTATTAAACTCAAAATAAACTAATAAACGAACTTTCAGTAAAAAATCGACCAAACAATGTCATATTTTGTAACGTTAATGTTTGTTTAGCATTCAATATTATGGTTTGGCAATTTAAATCCGGCGCCAAAACGAAGCTTAACGAAAATAAACACACAATATTCAGTCTGAAACCAACTTCATGCCAATTCTAATACACACTGCAGCGAATGTAATTGTTGGCGGTAATTTTATTTAAGCTGCGATCAAATTCAGGAAGTAAATTTAAAAATCGAAATTGTTTATGGTTGCGAGTTTTTAATTGAAAACAAGAAATTGAAAATTTATTTTTAAAAAAATGTGTTCCATGCAAATGGTTCGCATTTTATTAGAATGAAAAATATGTACTGAAATAAATTTACAACCCTTGGTACAAGATTCAAATAGCATTTAAATTACAAGTTTAAAATCTATTTTACAAAACCAGAATTTAATGCGCGCCAATCATTCGTTTGACGAATGAATTGAATTTCAAACGAAGAAAAAAAAACAGATCGTTCAATTTGTTTTTCGTTCGTTCGTACGCTGTTGTTTGGTTTGATTAACGTTTGTGCGTTGAATGGCACTTGAGTTGTTGTATATGGCAAGCATCGAAGCAATTTGGATAACCCTGACAAGAGGCTTGAAAAGCAAAATAAAAAAAATTCAAAATGGACGTCGAGATACACACGAACAATATCTATTGCTTGCAAAATAAATAGAAATTTTTGGTTTTGTGTTTGATATTAGTGAATGAATTGTGTGCATTTGGTGTATTATTTGATAAACATTGATTTGGACAATACAGACAATTGACAAATTGTGATTTACGTGCAGAAAAACTGAAAATTGTGTAAAATTTCGAAAAATTCCATAAAAAGTCCGCCAGTCTGTTTCAATTGAAGTACATTTTTTTTGTGTGTGGTGTATCTATGCTTCGTCCGTTTCATTCGAATTGTGCATTTTCAATTATTATTTTTTTCTCTCGCTCTGTGGCATAATGTATCATTTTAGATTTTTTTAAATGGCGATCAAAAACAAATGAATAGTGCTGATGGCGTTTAAGAAGTTTGGTTTGCATTTAATCGATAGCATTGACATTGTTTGGTAGAAAATTGACCATAAACGAGTAGAAAAAAAAGAAGTTCATTGAGTCAAATCAAATAAAATAAAATAAGAAACGGCAGCGACGGCATCAACATCAAGCAGCAGCAGCAGCACAGCGGCGGTGGTGTGTGCTTTGAGTGTATTTGTTCATACAGATGTACAGATGTACAACGTAAATGTCTGTACATGTACAGATGCGCGCTTGTGTATATACATGTGTGTATGTGTTAAAGCAGCAAGCGAGAGCTAATCTCTCCGTGTAATAAAGAAAAGAAAAAAAAAACAACAACAACAACAATAACAAATTTCGAACACTTTATTTGCGTGTACGTGAGAATAACGACGAGGGAGTGCACTTCTTTCTAAATGGTTTGTACATACAATATACACGAGAGTTTATACACTGAGAATATTAATTTTGAATGGGATTTACGTACAAGTTGCTTTTGTGTTGATCCGGTAAAACTCTGAATCTCTCTCTCTCTCTCTCTCTCACTCTCTCGTTCTCTGGTTGTCGCGTTTGTTATATTCGCCTCGGAAAGAGAGTGTGTGTATGTGCGCGTGTGTTTTTTCCTTCTTTCTCTCGTTCGTTCGTCCATACGTTCGTTCGTTGGTTTGCTTCTTTTTCTTTTATTTCCATTTTATTTACTGTTGGTTTCATTGAATAGAGTTTGGAGACATGTTACATGTATCTATATGGATGTATCTACCGCTTTGTGTGTGCTCCGCTAAATTACCTATTAACGCTGCTTAATTCAGTGTGATTTTCATCGCTTTTTTTCGGTTTGTTCGTGCTTTTTTTTTATTTCCATTATTTTTCACATCTTTTTCGCCCGTGGTTGCTTGTGTAATTTGCGCGAAAATAAACACTTCGTGTAAATATTTGTGGAAAATTGTTGGTTCAATTGTTGTCATGTTTTATTTTCTGTTGTTTTTTTCTACATCTTCTGTTTGGTATGTGCGAATGTTGTTAATTTAAGTTCATTGCTCAAATCGACATAAATATTTAAAATAAATGCCAATGGAATTTCGGTGTGGATCGCAAGAAAGAGAGATAGAGAGATAGAGAGAGAGAGAAAAGAAAAACACTAAAATACCAAGTGTATTTTGGAGTGTGAACGAAATAAAAGAAAGAAAAAATAATAAATGAGTAGTAAAACGTCGTTGAGTGCCTGCTAACTGATTTGGGAGACGAGAGTACGTAATAGTAAAAAAAGAAGAAGAAGGAGAAAAGAAAAGAAATATGGTTACTATGATGTGCATTGATTTGTGAAATCGGCTATGGGGAAAAATGCGTCAAATGTGCTCCCGTGAATTGAAAACCATTAATCATAAAGCAAACAAACCAATTGAGCGAGCCAGCCAGTCGATAGAGAATCGGTCCCTCTTCGATTTACATGCTTTAGCATTTTATGAAGATGACATGTTTCTTTTGATTTGCTGCTCACTTTTATTTCGTTTCGATGGCATGATTAGAGATGTTGAGTGTAAAATTAAGCACGATATATTGAAACCGAACCAATCAACGTGAATATATGTTTTGCAGTATTTGAACACGCATACACACAATCGCGAAACGCAAAAAAAAGAAGAGAGTTAAACCGAGTCAAACGATTGAGACAGCACGGGCCAAATCATATGAAACAAAAGACGGATGCACACGAGCACCATAAATTTTATTTGACATAAAAATTTTAGATTTATTTTCGGTTTTCTGTAATTTCAAAACCATAAGTTTTTGTTTTGTTCAGAGTTTGGGTCGGTTTATTTTCATGAAAAAGGAACTACTCACAATCCAAGACTGAATAAGCTATAACAATAAAATTAACAAACCACGATAGCCATTATAAAATAATAAACCATTAAAGTAAGTGGATTTGCTACATAGTTCATAATTGAACGTACTCAATCGATGCATTCCGTTTCGAAAGTGAAAAATAAACGCCAACAAAAGCAACAATAACGGCAGCAAGGAAAGTCACAAGAAAATTGAGTTGTGGATTGTGCACAGATACACTCTGTGTTGACGGATCGCACACTGAAATGCGCTTGTGATAGTTTTTAATATGTCCATATAAAAAAAAATCCATTGTAGCCAATGGTTGGTAATGTGAACTGTGTTTTTTATTTTTCACTTCTGTTTGGTAACATTTGTAGATTCATTGTGACAGAAAGTGAACGAAACATCTGTAAACACGGATAACCTACGTGCTTTGGACTAATGGCAGCCAACCCTCCAGTTGAAATAGGAGTAGGTCCCGACCAACAGGTTAGCTAACTATATTCATGTTAACGCATATATTTATTCGTTTATCGAATGAAACGAATATCAAAGTCTCTCACCCTCTTAAGTGCGTTAATTTCCCTCGTATTCGCACCATTTCACACAAATACAATTGCACAGATGATTGGATCATCATGGTATTGAAGATGATCCCGTGCATTTTAAATCGTCAGTCTCATTCGCTGTTGTCATCATTGCTGTACACTTATTGAATGAACACACATAACCTCAAATCGAAACACCGTTGCTATTTTTTTTTTTTTTGGTTTCCGCCTTTCGTCGATAAACATTTAAACGATTTTCGTGTTTGTTTCGTTTATTTTCTTCCGCTTCGTTCGCAATAACCAAGGCTGTTCTTCCCGATTATACGCCAATCCAAAATTATGGAGATGCCGGTGATCGTGAATTAGAAGAAACACGATGGAGTCCAGGAATTGTACTCGATACAGATTTGTTAATGTACTTACGAGCTGCACGTTCAATGGCTGCATTTCAAGGTTTATGTGATGGTGGTTCACCAGAAGACGGTTGCTTAGCTGCAAGCAGAGACGATACAACAATCAATGCACTTGATGTGTTGCATGATTCAAGATATGATCCAGGCAAAGCACTCCAAGCACTTGTTAAATGCCCTGTACCCAAAGGAATCGACAAGAAATGGACTGAAGACGAAACAAAGAAATTTATCAAAGGATTACGACAGTTCGGAAAGAATTTCTTCCGAATTCATACAGACTTATTACCGCACAAAGAAACGGTGAGTGATTTCCTTCCAAAATTTGGTTTGCTGACTTGATTCACTGTTCGCTATTTCCAATAAATTACTGAATAATATGGTTCTTATTTAAATTTGCAGCCCGAATTGGTGGAATTCTACTATTTGTGGAAAAAAACTCCCGGAGCAAATAACAATCGACCACATCGCCGACGAAGGATCGGCTCATTACGTCGTATACGAGTTACAAGAAACAGCAGCAACACGCCGCCAAACAAGAAAGAAGAAACTCCAGAGCCAACGGCCACGGAGGACAACAGCTCACTGACAGAAGACGATGCCAGTGAATGCGATAGCGATTCAAGCATTACCAATAAACGTACGTACTTCACAAACGTCTACTCCATCCATCATTGTCGATGTTCGATGATTTCGCATCAGGTCTATTGATTTTGTTATTTTGATTTTTTTTGTCCGTAGGTTCAAACACAGGAAACAGTGAATTGACCGGAGACGAATCGCCATCCAGAATGAGAACGCGAAACAAACCAGCAAAGGAATCAAATAACAAACGGCCAAAGCGTGGCGGTGATACGCCCGATGCTAGTGCTACGAATGAAAATGCGAAAACACCAAATAAAACGGATCGACGTAAATCGTCGAAGGAAACGCCTACAAAAGGAAAGAAACGTACAAATATCGACCTTGATGTGGATAATGATGGCTCTGACGAGAAAGAGAAGAGAAAACGAACTGAGGTACTGTGCCTATTGCCAATTATTTTTCTATTGATTTCTGCGGTATGAGATAAAATGTTAATTGCCCCTGGCTTTTTTTTATTCAATGTTACAGAGTCCAACTGAGAGCTTAAACTCGGACAGTCGACCCGGTTCCGTGTTGGATGAACAAGAAAACACCAACGATCCACCAGACACTCCAATGGCTGATACGGAGAGAAAAGATACGGACGCAAAGGTACCAGAACCATCACCAGCTGATGAGGCCAATTCGAATGCCGTACCGAAAGATGAAAAACCGAGTGCCACTTTGCCACCGAGCAGCGCTGATAAACCAGAACCGCTTACCGACAAGGAAAAAGATGCATCGAATGACAAACCACGTTCGATTTCCGGCGATGATTCCAGTAATTCCGTTGATGAGAAGAGTGAAGCAGCAGCGGCAACGTCTCAAGTAAGTGCAGTCGCCAAGGGAAGTGAATCACCAACACCGGTGGTTTCTAAGGCGGTGAACAGTAGCAGTAGTAGTAGTTGCAGCAGCAGCAGCAGCAGCAGCAGCAGCAGTAGTAGCATCAGCACGGCTGCACCCACAGTCACAAATACAATTACCAGTACTAGCTTAACGGTTGTACCATCGATATCCACATCGACGATTACAAGTTTAGCTATTGCAGCGACCGTTGCTGATCTCAAGCCAATCGAAAAGATTGAAAACGCACCAGTGGATGCTTCATTCACACCAAAGAATGAACAGGAGATGATTTCGACCATTGCAAATATCAAAAAAGAATCAAATGTACCGCCGGTTGCCGTGGATAATAGCAACGAATATACCGGAAAGAAGGTGGCGATGGTAATCAAAAAGGAGCCCGGCCAAGATGAATCGACCGAAAGCAGTAGCAATAGCAGCAGCACAGTTGGTGATAGAAAAGACACTAATCAAACTGAACCATCCAACGAAATTAAATTGGCCAATGAGATCAAGACGGAGAACAAGTGTGGCTTAGATTTATCGGATACGAATAGCAAACATGACGATGCATCGAGATCAGCCTTTGAGCCACATATCAAATTTAATGTAGCAAACAAACTGCCACCAGTCGAATTACATGCGAAATTCAATTCAGAGCTGACCAAACCACCAACCGAACCGATCAAATTTGGACAAGAGCCACCTCCGCTCGCAGCTAAGTATCCACCGTCATCGATGGCAGCTGATCTAAGTCAAAAATATGACACAAAATTATTTGGCGATCAATCGATCAACAAATTTGAAATGGAAACGAAAGACAAAACCAGTGTGGATATGGGTAAGAATAATTGTGTTATTTATTTCTATTCTTTTGTTGATTTTTTTTCTATGGAAAATAATGAATGCGTCTTTTTGTGTATTTTTCTTCAACCCAGTTATCAATCCGGCAGCTAAGTATCCAGTTCCAAATGATCAAATAAAGAATGAAATCGTTGAGAATGTGGCATTAAAACGACCACCATACACAGAACCGTATCAACATATTCGTTCACCATACGAGCCAACGTCGATGCTGTCGAAATATCCACAAGTGTCGGGTGCACCAATTAGCATGCCGCTAGGTCTTCCGCAAGACTTGAAATACACACCGCCGGCGATCGATATGAAATACAAACCACCCGAAAACCTATCGAAATCACAATTTTCGGCCGACAATCTGGTGAAAGGGTATGAAGGCGAACGACGGTTCGTAAATTTGATATCGAAAGTAAAGTGACGTTTTTTTTATTGATTGTGATTTTGTTTTCTTCTTATGAGCAGAGAGTCAAGCGAACGAATGCCATACGGACCACCTGGTAAATATCCACCGCCACCGCATGAAAGTGGTGTGGATACAAAACCGAATGTGGAAGCATTAATGTCACATTTACCACCACACACGAGCGCCGTTCCAATGCTGATTGGCCCAAGCGGATTGCCAGCGCATCCATTATCATTAAGTCATCTACCTCCAAATCATCCATCATTAGTTACGTCACCACAAACAGCTACAGTGCCTCCAAATACTTCATCGTCGATTCAAGGTACAATCGTCAAAGTATTTTTTTTCATTTTCCATTTGACGCGATAATAATGATCAATCGCTAATCGATTCAAATGTTCTTTTCCTTTCAAATTATCGATGCAGTACAACCATTAAACTTGCTGGGTTCAACGGCCAGTTTGATGCCACCTCACAGTACGTCTTCGGTCGTGCATCCCGCACTACATCGTCCACCCGTAGAAGCATCTGGCTTGCACCCACAGTGAGTATCAAGTTCAAATTAATCGTTGAATAATGTGTTCAACTCTTCGATTTGAGCAAATGAGAAAATGTTCTTTTCCATTCGTTTACAGATACCCTGGAAGTGGAGCATTTTCATCAGCAATTCCGCAATCGTCCAGCAACAGTCAGATTCTTTCGCCTGCGTTAAGTTTGTCGCGTGGTGAACATGAGCGACTCTCTCTTCCATTACATCTTCCCCCGAATATGAGCACGACACCGATTCAATTGTTACCTCCACCGCATGCAAGCCACTTAGGCCCGCCATTGTTACCAATGCCTGGCTCATCATTGGTTAGCGCATCAAGGTAATTATCGATTCAAACAGTCCCTTTTTGTATATATAAGTGCCAAGTCTAACTAATAAATGTTTGATTTTATAGCATCAGCTCTCCTTCGACTGCTATTCCACCGGTCGATGGACGACGATCACCGACAAGTCCATCGCCTGCATTGAGTTTGTCGGCTAGAGGATCTATTTCATCAGTACAGGTACGAATGATTGCACAATTCTTCTGAAGACAGAATCCATTTCATTTTCTAATACAAAATATTCCTCTTCGTATTTGTTCAGGCTCCACAGAAGATACCATCTTCGATGGACAAACCGAATACAAGCTCGGCATTTAGTAGAACGAGTCCGAATGTACAATTTACGCATCCATCGTCACATCGGCCAGTTTCACCGTCACAACCGCCGACCAGTTTGACACGAGCCAGTCCGTTGCATTTATCACATCATTCGTCGTCGGCTCTTCCGGGAGCATCAACACCAAACACGGGTATTTTCAAACGACAGTCACACATGACGCCTCCTCCAACCTCTTCGTCGCCACTGTTCACGGAAAAGAGGTAATTTTCAATGGACATTTTTTTTGCCATTTCAAATCGGATGCGTTATTCAACTTTTTTCCCCCTTTTTTGACTCCAAATAGTCCGATGAATAAAATTTATCCACAAACTCCGACGTCACAATCAACGCCGCAGCCACCTCAACAAGCGACACCTCAACCGCGAAGTGGTCCTTCGCCGCCAGTTTTACGACATCCTCAGCCTGTGCCACTACCACTAATTGGTCAAAGTCCAATACCATCACCGATGCTCTTGTTCCCTGATTCACCATACTCGCCGAACCGGTATCCCCCATATCTGTTCTATTCGCAGAGTCCATTCAACTCTCCGTATCCATATCATCCGTATGGACCGGCACCGTTTCAATACATGAAACCGCCGACAGCTGGACCAGGCCTAGATCCAGCCGTCATATCACATCATCCCGGTCAAGCAACACGACACGAAGATCCATCACCGCATCCAGATACAAAGGCTGCCAATCTTCTGCAAATGAAAGACAAAATGAAACCACCAACACCAAAAACTACTCAAAGGTAAAATTGAACAAAATTTGGCGACATGCTCATTGAACGGAATGTGTGATATCTTTTTTTTGAGCAGCAGTTCGAACCCGGCAAGCACTTCGTTCAGTGGGCCACATCATCAATATCCACATCCACCTCATTCAGCGTTCGGAGAGAGTCCGATCCCATTGCCACCGGGCAAAAGTCATATGGAAGCATTGCGAGCGCATGCACATTCGGCTAGCAGTGGAATTAGGTGAGAATTCATATCGATTAAAAGAGAAAAATTTTCACAGATTTTCAATCAATTTTTTTTCTCCATCTTCCAGACAACCATCATCAAGTGAACCCGTTCATGTTGATATCGAACCGGATCCAGAGCCAGAAATTCCAAGTCCAACTCACAATATTCCACGTGGTCCAAGTCCAGAGGCAAAACCAGACGACACCGAATGCCATCGATCTCAATCGGCCATGTAAATAATTCAAATTCACTTTGATACGCTATAAAGTGTGCTCTCTTTTTATTGCAAACCTCAATTAAAAACACCACGTTTCATTTCTGGTTTTAATTCTAGCTTTGTGAGACGTTGTGATCGTGGCGATTACAATTCATGTACTCGAACGGATTTGGAATTCAAGCCGGTGGCTGATTCGAAATTGGCGCGCAAACGAGAGGAACGTGATCGTAAATTGGCTGAAAAGGAACGTGAAAGAAGGCAACAGCAACAGGCTCAACAAGCCGTGCAGCAACAGGTTTGTACAAACAGTTTTCTTCTTCTTCTGTCGGTTTTTTCTCTTTGTCCGTTTTAAAAGTCAAACAAAAACTAATTAGATATGTGTAAAACAACAACTACAGCAGCAACAACAGCAGCAACAGCAACAACAGCAACAACAGCAGCAGCAACAACAACAAGCGGCCGCTGCTCATCAGCAACAGCAACAGCAAGCCGCTGCGGCAGCACAACAAGCGAAAATCAAAGCCGAAATCAAACCATTTGATACACCTGCAATGCGACAACTGTCAGAATATGCACGACCACATGTTGCTTTCAGGTAATTAAATTACACGTGAAAATTCAACGAAAGTGAATTCATTCATTAACGGTTGTCAATTTTCAAAATTCCAACGTTTATTTAGCCCTGTCGATTCGATGGTGCCACCATATCATCATCCAATGGGACCAATGTATGCACGTGAAAGGTACGCTATCGATCCACAATGAATTGCCACTATTTCCATTGCACATTGAATCATTTCAAAATATACATTCTATTCTACAGGGAATTGGAAGATTTGAAGAATGCTCAGGCGGCCCAGGCCCAAGCTCAAGCTCAAGCTCAAGCACAGGCACAAGCACAAGCACAAGCCGTTGCGTCTTCCCGATTGGACTCGCACTACATGGATTTGTATCGAATGAGGTATGTGCACTCGTGAGTCGAATTCATCTTGTGTTCCATCTTCATGATTTCGTCTCGTCATTTTTCGCATTATTGTTTGATTTTATTTCATGTTACAGAGGGTTGCATCCATCTCAGTATCCGTTATACACAAACCCAGCAGCTGCAGCTGCTATGTCACAGCTCGAGCGTGAGCGATTAGGCATTCCGCCACATCATGTCGGCCTGGACCCAAGCGATCCAATGGTATTTTCTAATGATTACTCGAATTCATTTCTATTGAGAAAAAAAAGAGAACAAATCGGTTGAAAAACCATTTGTGACAGGAAACATTTTAAAATGATTCTTTTTTGTTTGAACAATTTTCTTCATTTTGATCGTGAAAGTAGATTCGTTTGAAACTAAATTTAAAACTTAAATTTCCTCCCATAGCAACCACCTGATGCTGCTGGATTCCAACTTCCACGTGAGTTTGTATTCATTTTTTCCATTTTTGTAAAAATTCTAAATGTCAGGTAGTAAATGCATGATCAAGCAAAGTTCAGGCAGGGTTATTTCAACCGTTTCTTACAAGTTTCGAGAGCGAAAAAGTTTAATTTGAGTTTTGTATTTATCTTCCAATCAATAGCCAATATGTCACCTTATCCGAGACCGAATATGTTATTGCCACGAGAGCATCCCGATGTTTTGCTGAGAATGAGCTATGCTGATCAATTGCAAGCGCAGGTTTGTTGATGTTTTTTTCTTCTCTCAAATTCAAAAGAAAAAAAACTTTGTTTGAAAATGCAAAGAAACATCAATCATATCATCATCGTTGTCATTCCAGGCGGCCGAATTCCAACGACAGTCAATGGATAGAGCGGCAGCGCATTCAATACATGAGCAGTATTACAGGTACAATTTCCGATAATCACATTCTTCGCAAGTAGTGATCGTTTTAGTTCTTCTTCTTTTTTTTACTATTATTATTTTCTATTTTTTGTTTGTATTAATTTGCGTGATGAAACAAATGTATCAATTGTATGTAGAACATTTTTGTAAAAAAGAACACTTAAAACAAACTGTTAAATATTTTAGTTGTGTTTTTCTTTATTTCTTTTCTTTTGCATTTTTATTTTTCAAAGAAAGAGATAAAAGAAGAAGAACTTTGTGGCAAAAAAGAAGAAGAGAGTTTTATGTAAAAACATGTGTATTTATAATAATGGAGTATTTCTAAATTAAAAACGAAATAATTTTTAATTTTCTTTTCTGTTTTGTTTCAATTGTTTGTTGTCTTTGATTTAAAATTCATTTGCGCGTTGTCTATTCCGCCGCAATAAGTAATCGATTGGAAATGACTGTTTTCCATTTCGATTGAACCGAATTCAAATGTAATCGTTCGTTTTCTTGTTAAAATCGTCGATGCGTCACAATTTGCCCATTATCAGAATTCATTAAAAATCAGCACACGATCACCCTTTCATTAATTGTAAATACATTTTTTGTACTAATAGTAGCACTTTCAACTAACCCAACCTGGTATGCCCGGTTCTAACAACTGCTTATCAAATATTATAACATCAATTCATACCACTAATAGAGAAATAAAAACCAAAACGTTTGCTACTATTCCATTGGGCTATTTTTTATTTTGAATTGTTTTTCAATGAGACAACACGTTCAATTCCGCCTTTAATGTGACTAAATATAGAACCAAAATCCAAAAAAAAAACACACACACACAAACTAAATCAATCGCTCTATGTTTAATGGAACGCATGCGATCTATTTTTATTGGGTTTTTTTCTCTTCTTTATCACTTTTTGCAGATTTCCACCACTTTAAAGCAAATTAAAGAATTGAAACCAATAGAATTAAAACAAACAGTGAACAAAAAAGCCACTGTGAAGCAAACACAAGTACCTAAGCGAAAAAAAAAATGCGATAGTAAACAAATGTGTTAGATTCACATTGATAGCAAACGATGTGATGATTCGCTCACGGCGAAATGCAGAGCCAAAAATAAAAATAAACACACATCCAAAATATCCATGCGATCGTATCGAGGCAAGATGACAGTGCACACCTTGATGGTTTTGCATACGCGAATAATTGTCTATTTGCAAACAGGCAACAGTTAGCGAGGAACGAAACTCAGTTTCAATCAACGTATACTAGACTGTGCTGTGTTGGAAGTGGGGGGAAAAAAGCAAATGCTGTCTATCCTTTTCTCATCGTCCGCTCAACTCAACAACTTCGAACGTTTAAATTCAAAAATCAAACACACACACACACACACAAACACACCCATACTCAACCAACGTAAGTGATACTAGAATCATTTCGAACACCATGTGTTGCATAGTAAAATTCTTCAGCTACTTAAATAAAATAAAACGAACCCATGATAATAGATAGAGTTGAAAGCAAAACGCAAATTTGAAGCAGTCAGAACGAGACGTGCCTTCTAGCCATCAGGATCGTTGCAACTTTCCAGATATTTCACAATCAAATGGAAACTCGTTTGCGCTTAATTCAATTTCAACATTCGATCAAAATGCATCTCAAAAGTTCTTCAATGAGAATCATACGACCCTCCAAAACAATTTCAACGCATTCGATTGCATTTACGCTGCTTTGTCTTTTATCAATTTTACTTTTTCGCATCAGTTTTATTTTCCAACAATATTACAACGGAATTAGTATTCGTTTTTTTTGGTTTGGTTTCAACACAAGCAAAATACACAACAACAGCAAAGAACAATTCGATATTTCTCACTTAATTTTGTGTAAATTATCTTCTTTGTGTGCAGTAACGTATTTATATTTGTTTTTTTTTTCTTTCTGTACTATGTATACTATATACCACATTCTAAAATAGAAATTATTTGCATTGGATAACATTTGAAACTAAAAATCAAAGTCAGAATCGAAGATAGATTAACCAAATAGCATCAGATTAGTTTTAAAACAAACAGCAACCATTCAACAAATCGAACATTTTCAAATGTACAACTAAAAAACCAGCCAACAAAAATCACAGTCAAACTACTACTTAATTGTTTCGATGATCATTTATCTACTAAGCCTAGCATTGTGTACGATAAAATTCATTTTTTTACGTCATATGTTTTTTGCAGACATCACGAAATGAAAGTTAGAGCTATGGAGGAGGCATCACGTGGAAAGCATTAGATTTAGACACATCTCTGAAGTGAGACTATCCTTTAAAGCTTGATCGAAAGAATGATAGTTTTTATGAAGAATGAAAAAGCAAAATGAACGAATATTCGATGTGCTGACACGAAATTTGCATGCGATAGAATCCCATACGAAAGAAGAAAAAAAAAACGAGAAAAAATCATATTTATATATTTTGAATGAGGCGCACGCACAACATCGGCAAAACAAAAGAAGAAAAACAATTGCTAACCAAAAATTTGAGATTTTTATTTTGCAGAAAAATTGTGAAGCTCAAGTTTATCTTGAATTTTGATGAGAGTGAACAAAAAAGAAGGAGACAGCTGAATAATTTAGGCATAAGGATTTACTTGCAATACTGGATGGAAAACAAGCTTCAAACGATAAACGGGACCTTCTTTTTTTTTTTAAAGAGAAAAACACGAAATGGATTTCAACCAATGAGATGATAGTGTGATGTTTTGGTCCTGGGTCTTTTGACTGCTAATAAACATTTTCATGTGTTTTTCTTCTTAAATTTAAATTTGCGATTCATCGCATGATTTACTATCGAATGCGCAACGAATTGGTTTCATTTCAAGCATATTCAGTTCTGATCGTTACTTCGGTGCGAACAACATTCATACACCACATGCATTCATTTCATTAACGAATAGAAAACAGAAACAAAAATTATTATTTGTCTGAACGCTTTTTTTGTCAGTCAAATATCCGATTGAAGATGAAAAAGAAAAAGATGATAACGAAAGAGGAGAAAAAGAACAACCTAAATAAATTAATTAGAGACTTTGAGATAAAATTTGATTCTCTCACTACTCCCCCTCCCCTTATTCGATTTGATGACAAGCGAATCAAACTTAAATCAGCTATGTATTATAGTGATAATCTTTGCATAGATTAGTTGGTATGAATAATGTAATTTGTAGAAAATGCAATTTGCGATTCAACAGTTTTGAAGAGCAAATGAAAACAATATAGAACAAAATGGCAAACCTCGTGAAAACGATTCTTACACACCGAATTATGAGGAGCATACTAAGTGAAATATTCAAGACAATTTTCAACAGCTTTACAAGAAAAAAAAAACGAAAACTTCGTGGTTGATTTTTAATGGCCAAAGCAAAGTATGTTGAAAGTGTGATGAGCAAAAAAAAAAGATGTGAAAAAGCAAATAACAATGGAAACGGCATTTAGGGAATTGCTAACTTCTTGCGTGAGCGTGAAGACTAGTGATACAAACAAACAAACAAACAAAAAACGATGCAATTTGAACAGTTTCAAGACCAGTTTCATTCAGATAATAAGTAGAAAATGTATATGACAGCGCATTCGATGAATTTTTCGTCAGCAATCTCTTGAATTACGCACAATGAAGCATTCACACTCGGTGTGTCGCTTTCATCTCGATGAACGCCAAGTGATAAATATTTCGCTTTGCTCTGCACAAACTCAATGAAAAATTAACGAAAATCAGAGATTGGTCCGAAGAGTTTGTTTTTTTTTTTTAGACAAATCATGGAATTGAATGCCAACGTCTCGGTTTTTTTTCTACCGATGAATGTGCTGTCATTGAGCCCATTGCGCTCGCAGTGATTACACCGAAACTGTAGTCAATACCACTGCCGTGAATTATGTAAGGGAAAGAGTAAAACACACAAAACAGTATTAAAATCAGACCTTTGAATGATTTGAATTTTAAAGTTCTTAAATCGAACCAAAATCGTTTTTTGGACTAGATTCACATAGGCTAAAAATCGCATGCTATCAAAAAAAAAACGAAGTTGCTGCCGATCGAGCAGAACTAAACAAGACATTTAAACGAACATTGTATTTAAAAATGAACAAAGAACAGACAAACAAAATATGAAGAATAAAAAAAAACATAACAAAATAGCTTTAATATTAAGAGATGAAAGCAAATTTAGATTATTTAAACAAACAGAAAAAAACAATACACACACACACACACACATACATATACAGACTTAATTATGGATTACGTGAGGGATAAAAATAAAACTTCAAACAAACAAAAACTAACAAGAAAATTTACTTAAGAAATCATTCTAAATCCTAATTACTGAAAATATAGCATATGCGTACTCAGATTTAAATAGATAAGACCAATGTACAATAATGTAATAGTGAGTTGAGTTCCAATCGATTTGTGCGCCCAATAAAGCAAAACATTTGATGATAATCATCAAATGACCGATGATGAGAAACAGTAAATTGCAATTGTAAACCATAACAAACACACACACACACACACACACAAATCGTTCACTAAATAAGATCTGTATACAATTGAATGGATTCAACAACACAGTAACGATTAGCGACACATCGTCGCTAATCTATACAAAGTAAAAATGAAATGAAAGAAAAAAACATACACATTCTTAAGGGACAAAAATTAACACAAAATTATTTACGTTTATATATTCGAAAATTAAAAATTATATTTAATAATAATTGAATGCAAACAGTAAGAATAAAAAAAAATGAAGACAAAAAATAAAATGATTTCACTGAACATGTTCAACCAACAGCAACAAAAAAAGAATTAGTAGAGAAATGTCTAAAGTTACTTTTGAACAGATTTAATAATGAAAAAAAAAGTTTTAATAATAATGAAATAGATTAATTGTTTTATGTGAAATGGCACAACAACAACAACAAAAAACCGACAAAATCAATGAGATAAAGGAAAAACGATGAATTATTCGTATTCGCGTTAATTCGTGATACTTATCAAACCGAATTAATGCTCCAACCAATGTAGGCATTTATTAGTAGGCAAGAAAGAGATAACACCTAATTTAAACCATTTTCATGAAAACAAACAAAAAGAAAAGTAACCGAAACTGAATGAAGAAATCAGATGAACACATACACAGACACACACACACATGAAACACCACACGAATAAACTTATAACTAATATTTCTGATTATTAATATTTATTTTATCATATAAAAATTATATTATTAAAATATATACCAGAAACAGCAAAATCATAACAAAAAAAAATACGCTTTGGCTTTTATTATGCTTGGAATAACCCTTCCCCATGCCCCTTTTAAATCTTCTAATTCAAATATCTCATCTGGTCATCTGGCTGCTGGTTCCCCAAAATACAAACCTATTTCTAACGCTCTATTTCATGTTTTTAATGAGTTCACTTAAGCGACCGATTTGGAGTGTGGTGAAGGTAAGTTGACCGAAATATGCTAATTTAAAAATCAATAACACATCGATCATTTTCGTTTTCTTTACAAAAGAGATCCCAAATAATTGGACTTTATTTCAACATTTTATTCTTTTTTTACAATCAGAAAAGTGATTTTCATTGTTGTTTTTTTTTTCTTTAATTTATTACATTGCGTGTGTGTTGTGGATTTTTGTATGTGACAAAATAAATTAATGAGTCTTCTTGCTTGGTTTGACTAATTTTTCGTACTTTGATTTTGATGCGTGCCACAAGTAGAATGGGATGGCTAATGATGGCAATGTCATAATGGCGAATGCCACCCAATCAAACAAATGCGATGAGAAGCGTTTGTTGAAATCGGCCAAACCAACAATACCACCCTCTCCTGGCTCTGAGCTGACAGCATATTGAATAGAATCTGCATCTTCGACGGCTTTGTATTGAACTTCGGCCGATGTGAAATTGAAGTAACCGTAAGCTTTTGGTCGTACAACAACAACGTGTGAAACATTGGTTTGTGGAGCAATACGATCAATAACAGCACTCAATTGTCCACCAACAATATCGAAAGCCTCTGGATGAAAACCATTGTCAACTGGAACGAATTTTGTGAACAAATACGAGCAATTCGGTTAGTTATGCGTTTCAATCCATGGTGAATAATGTTGAGTGAAAGTTTTATTGATATACGTACCAAGTTTGACGTGAACGGCTGGTCCATTGCCAACGTTGTACAATGTGTATTTTACAACGATATCGCTCTGTTCGACGAGGTATTTATTTAAAATTTGTTTGGACACCAACAAACGAGCAGTGGTCTCATCCTCGGCTGCAACGCAAACGGAGAGAAATCCGAGCACGGCGATCGCACACAAACCCAAAAATTTATTCATTCTACAAGGGAAATAAAAAATCACAAATCAGACGGTTAGTTATGAGTTTAAGGTCACTTCGATGGCTGATAATTTCATTGTCGCCAGAGTTTTTCTTCGTCTAAACGCTTTTTAATGATCCGTATGAATTTAGTGCAAAATTTTCTCAACCAATTTTTCTATATCCAAATTCATGGTACACACGTAAAAGAAAAGCCCCGTTTAATTTACATTGATTTAAACGAAAATGTTTGCGGAAAATCAGTTTACTCACTTGTTTAATGCTTTTTATTGCTGGTTTCTTTCACTTTAACCGAAAATAGTTTACAATTTAGCACAATATTCCCGAAAGCCGCTCTCGATCTGTTGACACGTATCGGTCTAATGCGAGTAAAATTGGATCCGAAATCGATGTGTAACTACTGTCTATGCCGCGAAAGTCATCAAGTAAAACAGACAAATGTCGTGACGTGTCGAATGCGTTGCCATCATGTGTCATTTCAAATTAGTGGTTTCGCAGCAACAAAATGCAGCATCGTCAACGCCATCTATCGATAAACCAAGCAGTGGGAGACAGACATGAACGATTATCCATTTTCATTTCAATGGAAACGCATATTGCATTTGGATAATTGAATTGTTTTTATTTTCAAGAAAAGAAAAAAACGAAAACTCATATGTTTTCCCAATGGAAGAATTTCCTTGTTCTATCATTTTATTTGCATTTATATGTGTTTTAGGCTTTAGAGCCTAAAGAGAAAAATTGGAACTTATACTAAAAGAAATAGAGACTTCATATCATTGAACAAATGAATTAGCTTCCTTTTAATTTTAGTCATCGTCTTCTTCTTCCTGATCGAATAAATGTTGTAAAGTGGGGCGATTCTTTCCATCTGTCTTTTTGGCGCTGTCTGTTGATTCTGCATTTAATTTTCGTTTGTTTGTTTTCTGCACTTTTTGACCGATCACATACTCAGGCATCACAACTTTGGAACCTTTCAACATGGCCTTTTCACCCGTCTCTTCAATTCGATCTCTTCGTTCGATTTCTCCCCGCAGTGGCACTGACTGACTGAACGATGGCTTTCGATGCTCCTTCGAATTGTTCTGTTGTTTTTTGAATACAATTCTACCACATGAACTGTCGTCAACGTCCATTTGATTTTCACCAGCGTGTTTCTCTTCTTCAGCATCTTTTCGTTTTTCAATTTCGGCCAGAAATGCGAATGCAGCCGATGTATTTGTTCGGTCCGAGATATCAGCATCGTCTAATGAGTATTTTTTCCATTTGTGGGGATTCATCTAAAATCACACAACATTTTCAACACATTGCTCTGCCAAACATTCTATCTGACTTTAATAATGATACCTGATAATCTGGAACTCGTCGAGGTCGTAAGCATTTACCAATCGGTGCTTCGGGTCGCTTGAATATACTTTCTTTACCATGGAAACGTCGTCCCTTTATGACTGCTTTTGGATGATCCCGTGAAGATGGTTCGTCTCGAGGTGATTGCTTTTGATCCAGACTTGTACCTTGGATGCATTGCTCAGCTGATGTTAAACACTCGAACAACAACTTTTTTTTATCTTCATAATTCGACGACATTTTACGAAGTGAATTGCTTATTTTCGGTAAACAGAATTGCGGAGACTTGAGTTTAACTAGCCGTTTTCGGTTTTGAGCAACAATCCTAGAAACGATTCGGAGTATTTATTCTTTTTGTTTTGCCCAGAAAGAAACGTCAAAAATGTGACACTTCAACACAACGAACATATATGCTCTGCATAACATGAGCAATAATATCTAAGTAAATAATAAAGTACTTATCTGCAGGGTAAATTTCAAGTATACAACTTTGAGTAGAGAGCTAATTTTGAAATAGCGTACAGAAGCAATTTTTGAATTTTTTATCATTGAAGAACTTTTTTTTACCCAATTTTTACATACAAAGCAATAAATGATGTAAATGCGCATGCATAGCTTGAGAAGTGATTTTACAAGAATCTTTTTCCAAAAACAACCCTTTCGAGATCATTCCGGCTTTTCTGACATGGCTTGAATATTCCATTTTTGCCTTCAAATCTTTGGTAATGAATTCTACTGAACGATTAGAACATTCTTAGCATATACACACAAGATATTTTAAGCACTTTTTTGGTCCGTTTAATAGTGATCTCAACTTCTAATGAATGTTGAAGTACTTGACTTCAAGGAATTTTTCAAATAAATGACAACCGAATCACAATTAAGTTTACGGATTGAATTTTTATCTTGCGTCTGATTAGTTTATTATGATATTTTAAAGATAAAGTGCAATAACACAACTTCTTATTAAAGCCCTTATGCATTATTATTGTGAGGTAGAGTAAATGCGACTCTATGGATTATGGATTATAACGGTAATGATGTCCATTCTAGAAATGGTCGAGTCGTAAAAGTGCTACTCAATGGAGCAGTGGACTTGTCGGCACACTCGTGGATTTGGCATTTCACTTGCTTTGGCGATTCGTGAGTTGCCGAAGCATCATATATGCAGTGCACTTGATATTTAACGTGGAATCCTACCGGGCCAAGGTATAATTTCGTTTGCGCGTAGCGCGTAAGCAATTCACTTGCGATATAACGTGAATCCCTATATACTATGTATATATCGCATGTATATATCATACTCATATGAAACCTTGAAGTCATTTTCAGTGGTGTGTGACTATGAAACAAGATCAAATATCAAAAATCGGCTTCATTAATTATATTATTTTTTTTTATTATTTTTTTAGAGATAACGACCTAGCGTCTTTAGCAAATTTATAGTGCATGAGGTCCCTTACAATTTCTCTCCAGACAGTTATCAGTTATCTCTTATCGTAAGTTTCGTGGAAAACGCGAAAAATGATAAGCAAAAAAACGAAGCATAAAAACTGGACATCAAACGATTGGATACTTTTTAATAAACAACAATCTGGATTCTATCGCATTGTTTATGATGAACGAAATTACCAGATGTTCCTGGATAATTTGAAATCGGGAAAAGCCGACAAATTTCATCCGAGTAGTAAAGCACAGCTAATCGATGATATGGGCGTATTCCTTCCCTTCAATCGCGTAACTAAAAAATTATATCACCAATTTGAGAAATATCTGCGGTTTTTTAGTTATAACTATTAAATAAATTAAATCATGGCAAATGTTAAATTGTACAAGTCATATCTAAATAAATAATATTTTAACCGACAATTGTTTCAAAATTTAATGTGAGTAATTTTATAAATCTCTTCTTCGGTTCAAATCCAAATATCTATCGTTCTACTATTCACATAGGGTGTTCAGCTAATCTGAAAAAAAAGAATGAATAGCATAAATTTAAAGAGAAGCCAATTTTATGTCAACTGGTTGCATTAATAGAGCGTTATACAACAGAAAAAAAAACTCTTTGCAAAATCGAATAATGCTTACCTAAACGACCCACTAGAGTACTCCTGCGCAGTTAACATCAACCAGATGGGGAGTCAACTTGCTTCAACGCAACTATCCCACATGATCGGGATAGCCTTTAATAACTAATGTTACATTTGTTTTTTTTGTTTGCAATGTGCTGATTAGACAGCATGATCAGCTGGCTGCTGGTCGTACTCGAACATTTCTACATCATTATCCACGATGGCGATAGCAGCAGCGGCTGCTTCAGCGGTTGCTCTAGCGGCAGCAGCAGCGGCTGCTTCAGCAGCTTCGCGACAATACCTATTGATCGCCTCTGGTATCGGAAGTCCCAGTAATGTCCATAGTCCTGAACAATTAAACAAATGAACCTTCTTAAAAAATCATTCAATCGAAATTGTGCGTCAATTAGTCTTACCTTTCAGTAGAATGTTCTTAGCAGCCACGACGTCACGATGCCAAATCACAGAGCATTCGAGGTTTAATCGCCAGTTTTTGTAGTAACATTTTACTTTTGGGAATAAACGCTCGTCTCCTACCCTAGGGGCTTATTTGTCGTCACGAGTCAGCAAGACTCGTATGATTTTCATGTAAATTAAAAATGATTTGCGCTGAATTGCAAGTAACTCGCACTGACTCGCACCAATTTACGGAGATTCGTGAAGACTCGAACGAATTCATACAAATATATACACAAGTCATAGCATAGAAAGTGTATGGCATTTATAGCAAATCCGCGAGTCGATGCAAATTAGCTTATATACACATTGCAAACCATTCGGATCTCAGCTTGTGTTCTATAATTTTTTTCTTATTCTGTTTAATATAGGCAACTGGAATGGATGTGAATTGAAAATGAAATGTATTAAATTGACAATGGAACTAAGATCCACGAAATGTTTTATGAAACATACGAACTGCACTTATTTTTGGAATGGGCAAGTCAACCATTAATGATTTATAACAAGATTTGCCATACATCATATGAATATATGTGGAGAATGACTTAATGTGTTCAGTGTAAAAAAAATGCTTCGACACTTTTATTTTCATCAGATTGAATTGTTTGAATGAAGCATTTTGATGGGTTCGGGAATTGTGATAAATCCATTTTGTGTTCAAATTCACGATTTTTTAGTTGATCTATATAACTTGACATATTCCGTATGAAGATTCGATGCGCTGCCAAAAATTTGGATGGAATAATATTTTCATAAATAGATTCAACTAACATTTCACGATTTTCGTTTATGAATTCCACCAATTTCAGCGATATTCTCTATGTAAATAAGAGCCAAAGTCGATCGACAAGCAAAGACTGTTTTTTTCTCGGGATTTCAACACCCAAAACATCAAATACATTATTGTCTGCCTTTAAAAAATAAAAAAAACATTTCGAAACCAACCATTTTAAAATTTTGTATTAATTTTAATTTTCTTGCAGTCAAAATGTGACAATATAAATATTTTTAATGACAAAAAGTTGATTTAGTAGGCGATTATTGAGTGAATTGTGAGTTCAACTGGCATGCTCGTTGACATTTCATAGTTTCGTTCAGTGATTCGCCAATTTATATGAGAGACTCGTGAAGGACTCGCGAATCTTCATATAAACTCGTAAGATTCGTGCAGTTGCCCATATGTTTTGAAATGACTCGTGAGATTCGCACTGATTCACACTGATTCGTACGACACATAAGCCCCTAGCTCCTACCAATGCTTCTTCGTTCATGGCGCGTTGCAACTGTCGGTAGATCGATAGATCCGTTTTGCCCAACTTTGACACAATTTTCGTTGGCAGCAATGTTCTGGCGTCGGGTACGCATCGGCATTTCTTGAATCTGGCCGCTTTGTTCTGGTTTTGGAATCGATTCATACATCTTGCGTCGGTTTGAGATGTTCCCCATTCGTCCACCAATTGTATGAAACAATCTCGGCGCTTCTTTATTGACCTCAAAGTCTTACGCACCCCTGGGCAGCGCACGTGCTTCTTGATACTTATTGGGCTATCAGGTGGTATTTCGCCATCAGCACCAAAAAAGAACAGAGTCGGTTTCTTATCGGTCACCTTATTCACCCATTCGTCGACAACACTACTGCTCTTGATGTGTTTGTCCAAGGCGAGTCGAGTGTATTTGGCAGTCGAGTAAGCGCAGATTCCATGCTTCATCATCTTGACTCGGTGTTTGATGTAGTTCAGCCACATTGACCCTTTTGGCGACGGCATCACTGGATACAGATCACGGTTTTCTCTGTCTACGCGCTCCATTTCGACGAAATTTTTGGTCCATCGCGCTGCTTTGGCATTTCGCACCTTTTGACCTGTTTGCCAGTGGAATTGCTTGCTCGACATTACAAAGTTGGTCTGAAAAAATAAATAGAAAAAAAGGTATAGTTATTGAGTTTTGGCACTTAAGCATTTTCTATTAAAATACACACAACTTATTCAAATGTATACAAAACTTACTTCTTTGCCAGTTTCAATGTCGTGTGTTGTTGTGGTATTCCAACTTCGCACACCTATATCAACGCCTGAAAAATTTTTGATTGTGCCATCCTCAATCTTCTGAATAATGCGAGATTTTTGGTCGATTTCTTTGTTGGCTGTCTTCTTTTTGGCCGAGTACTGGAGAGACACAGAGATTCCATCGGTGTTTATGGAATAGTCAAACTGCTTTTTGGCACGCACGAATCGTCGAATTTTTCGCATGTAAAAATACTGATTCCACCAATAATCTCTCGAATGATTGAAATCCTTTTGTTGAATCGTTTTCGTGCTTGTTGTTCCTTTTTTATTCTCGATTTCCACTTTCGGTAGCAATTTTTGCGAAGACAACACCTGGTGCATGGATGAACAATCGATTCTGAAGTGCGTACGCCGGAAATCACACATCGGCACCACTACTAAATTTCGAATCAATGGCCGAAAATCTGGGTTGTCGAGCATTTGGCTGCGCTTGCGTTTCCATTTTCCTTTTGTCTTTTTTCGCTTTCTTTTCTTGCGTTTGGGTCGGCGCTGATGTGGCCACTCCGAATTGTACTCTTCTATCTCGCGCTGCATGGATAGATACATTGGCATGGCCTTATACCAATGTTTTGGGTCAGTTGTAAGGTCATGCAGATCGATTTCTGGGAATACATTGCAATCTCTCACGATATCATACAACACCTCACACCGTACAAGTTTGTTTGGATCGCCTCTTGGCACTTTGATATCTTTTTGTTTGATGATCAACTTGACAACATTTTCGATGTCATTCGGCAAAAATTTCTCTCCATCTTCTTCCAAGTTTGAGTTCAATTCGAACACTTTCAGTACCAAGTACTGGGTGATGTGTTTGTTAGCATGCGTTTCAAGATTGGTGACGACGTTATCTGTGTACTGATTGGTCAAATGCTTAAGGCCATTGCAGAAATCTTTGTTGTTGGGCCAATCGATACGATGATAGTCGTCAAGACCTTCGACAATTGCCTTGAATTCAGGATCGATACGTGGCAGCTCTGCTCGTGGTCCTCGTGGATTTGTTCCGCTTGGTTTATACTTTCTCTTCGGTTTCGGTGGCTGATTGTTGTGCCATAGCACTTGTTCAAAGCAGAGTTTGATCTTATCTTCTCCACTTCCACCAAAAAATGCGAAATCATTGTTCTCGACGCCTATGTTCGAACGCCTTTTGCACCTCAAACAAGAACAGCAATGAGCCCAAAACACAAATGGAAGTGGCTTGCAAACTCAGATCCGTTATTTTGCTCATCAATGCCTGCTGGTATTGTGGGCGAATGATTGTCTTTAGCGCACATTTGATCGTCGTAATTTCATCTTTCGTCTCTCCCTCCGCTGGTATTGATGGCTTGAAACGATTCGCCATTGTCCTACTGAAAGAAAAAAAACACACATTCGATTTAGTTTGAAAACGAATAATATTGAAACTTAAATTCGATTTAGTTTGAAAATGACAACAGAATGAGACACACAAAAATGACTTCGGTTTGATAACAATGGCATTGATTCAATTTGAGTTCGAACAGTAATCGATTAACTGTTTCTCTTCTCCGAAAATTTGGTATTTCTCTGAACAATGGACTCAATTCATTGCATAAAATGAATTTCACCATCACACGTATTTCACCATCACACGTAACAGAACTATGTACTGCAGAATTATTGTGAAATTCATTACTTTTTTTCATGGAATCTAATATTACTGTTGATATGTTCAATATATTTCACGTCATAAATGCTTATATTACGTTTTTAAAATGAATTCCACAATAAGAAGAAGAGATTGAAATGATCAAGTTTACTTACACTTTGGCGACTTGAATTCAATGTGAACTCCGGATCAAATCGATACAAAACGCACGTAAATCGAAAATAATACGAAATGAAATACCAGCAAAATCGTAGATAAATTAAATTGCAGTGTAAATTTCCAGTTTAAATTGTAAGATAAAATGTAAGAGTTTCAATTTGTTGACTTCGTGTTCACAACGCTGTATGTTTTCTCGGAATGAATGATGCGGCGTCTATGACATTTCGGAAACTGCAGAAGTGAATGTCAAATGCCATACGGATCGGATCACATTGCTAATTTTTAGAACATTAGACAACAGCTACAAAGAGTCAATTAGTACTAACACATAAAAACGGTTATAATTCGGTGAAATTCCAAATTTATCAGCAATGAAGGACGATTTATTGTTTGATTCCGATTTTTTGGGCCGAAATCTACGTAGAAATCATATATTCTTATTTGACTCCCCAAACCTGAACACCCTGATTCACATTTTGCAAAAATTTATGATATTTCAAATCTTTTTTATGACAAAGACGTGTTCAACTTTTTTCAAGTGATTTTATTTCCAAGAAGAAAAAGATAACAAGATCAAACAACATAACATCGTTATTATCACTATGGAAGGAATAAATCACGATAAGCAAATTTTCCAAATGGCCCGGAGAGCACTGTTCTCACAACTTCAGATACTGCATTTTCGATCGGCACTTTCAATTCTTTGAAGAGTTCATACGAGTTGTCTTGCATCAGTGCGTTCAAACTGTTGCTGATCCCTTCATTTTTTACCAATAGATTTGTAAAATGTGGTGTAAATCTGTGGTATTATCATGTTGTAAATTGTGTGAATAAGAAATGCCAAATATTATTTCATCAAACCAGTCACTCACTTGGTTGTCGAAAACTTGACTATCACATTTTTTATAGGCGCATATTCCTTTCCATCTCTCATCTCCGTTTGTGGAATAACTTTAATATCGATGTTGACATTTTCTAGAGGAGAAAGAGAACAGGTAAATTAAATGAAAATGAGAAATTATTGGTGTTTTGGCCAAATTTAATAACAGAACTTCTACAAATTATCCGATTTTTTGAACTTTTTGTATGGAAAATTCTTCTTCAATGACATTAGTCAGAAGAAGGAATACAAACCGAAAGTGAAATTGGCATTTCCATTTCCAGTGACTGGCAGAAATAAAATTTTTCCGCTGAGTATATACTTTCCGAAAATAGTCAATCGCTTTGTTTTGCCGGTGACTTCAAATTTCGATTTCATTGGTATTTCTTCAAAACCACTGAAAAAAAAAGTTCGATCATTAACATTTATACAATTTGTGGACAAATTAACCTGGAAAAGAACAATCAACTAACACAACTTTTGTGATCACAATATCTTTGATGCCAGTCAGTGTAACGTTAAACAGACTCAAACGAATACTGACTGGGCTGTTTTGATTTTGCAAGATTGACAACTTGTCTAACTTCAATGGATCGAGGGGCATCAAAGCGAATTCTTCGTTTCCTATTATGTGGATTTTGGCGAAGCATTAGGTTATTGGAAAGAGAATAAGTATTTGAATTGAATCACGAATTATCTTTCGTGGAGTCTAAATACACAAAGAATTAGCATGAGAAACAATTTTTACCTGATGTTTGTGTTTGAATGACATTCGTCATTACATCGCGCAAACAGTCCGTATCACCAAATTTGCATTGTTGTATCGATGCAGCTGTAAGAAAAATATAAATCTATCATCAACACTTTTGATTTGAGTACGAAAGTCTTTCTGCATTTTGAGCCATCCTCAGATTTGTCTCATTCCGTTCTATTCGAATGAAAAAATCGTAGCGAAAACAGACACATGTTTTTGATCAATCCAAATTGTTGTCCATTCCATTTTCACAAAAATATCCACCGATTGATGCAGAGTGATTTTTCATTACATGAGTTATATTAATTGAACCAACACTTGTGCCACATTCAAGTTTTTTTCTCCAAATTGTCGTTAAACTTACGAAATTTGAATGAATAAACACCAACAAACAAGATAACGAACACCAAGATTTGATTGAACATTCTTGCGAAGAATTGTATTTTTTTATTTCAATTAAAATGACTGAAGTTGATAACAAAATGATAAGTCGCTTGTCAATCGAAAAAAGGATCAAATTTCATGTAAAATATAAATGTTCAAATCAAGATCGATCTAATCGATAAGATCGACCAAAACAAACTGAAGAATGTAGAACAGAATTCGTGGCTTAAATAGAAGCTTAAATGATTTGAATGAAATGACAAGGCATTTGCCATTTTATAACGTCAACAAATACACTCACTCATTGAATATCTGCTCAAATGTGTTCGATGTAAAGAGTTTTTTGCGATAATTTATATCTGACAAACTCCTTTTCTGATCATCATAAGTCAAACGAACGAGTCTGTTAAGAGAAAAAATCTAGAGAGCTGAAATAATTTCATTGATGTACAAACATCTTTTTTGTAAAGAAACCAAAATTGATGGTTTAGAGTAAGGGCCGCAAAAAATGCATACGTATAAGCAAACACAAACTCGTGTTTATTATTGTTCAGCATCCCATCAAGAGTGTATAAATAACTGCAAATTCAATTTTTAATCAATTAGCGTTGATACCTGATTTTGATTTTTTTTTTATCCGTCTTTGTTGAGCCCAAGCAATTGAGGGACAATAATTCGGAGATAAAATTAAGTCTATCACTTATTTCTTGGAAAAAAAACTGGAAGCTAATCAATCAATAAATTGTTCTCCTTCCTCTTCCTTCGTATTTATTTATGTCGATTTTGACCACAAATCTGTTGCGATGGAACCCGCAAAAGTTCTGTGCACAGTCGCATGCTTGAAGTCATTTTAGTTCAATCAAATTCAATTCCATTTTGGTTTTGGCTTATTTGATCCTTATGAAAAATGCCCCATCAACATATATTCCGATTAGTGCGTTCTGGACAACTTTCATCGTTTCTTCTTGACGATCATTGGAAATATTTTTGTTTTGTTCATAAGTGTATCTGATGGGAATTTTTTCAGAATTGATCCTGAGTGTTGCCTTGGGTTCGGTCACACTGTCGTTTTCATCGTCATCAACAATCAACTTTTTTTTTCTTAGCTTACGGTTGGAGTTCTGCGTCGCAATCCTTATCACACATTTTGATGTCATAACAAATGAGCAATCTTAGTTTGACGATTTGATGCATCTGAAAAAATGACGTTAACACAAATTCCTAGTATTGCGATTTGTTTTTTTCTTCGATTTCCAAGAAAAAATTTAATTGCATAATTCAATCAAAGAATCGTTTATTATGCGACGCACTAGTATTCAATGAATCATTCAAACCAAAAAAGAGCTTGTGCTCATGAGAACAGGAAGAGTAATAGACCACTGTTCGTATCTGTTCCTTTTAGGAGCTCGCACGTAATAAGGGGTTAAGTTTATCTGCAATCAAGCAGACAAGCTTTTACTAAAGTAAAGAAAAAGACTATTTCATATCATCTACGAAATCGGCGTTTTTCTGTGATCGTCCTGTGCTCACTATTAATCGCTTATTGCGTAAATCGTTTTAGCAGTAATTTCTATTTTTCTGTACAAAGTAATTGAATTTTCGCTCGGTTACTGATTAGTTTATTTTGAAATTGAAAAATGCTCACGAAAGCAATTAACTAATCAAAGCTTTGGCGTTTTGCTCGTTCTGGTAAACCCCATATCATCAAAATGTTTTATGACCTCATAAATTACGGGTTAGACCGATAATGACGATCATTCTGAGAATAGCTATGCTGCAGAAACTTAGTATACATTATCATTTGAACACTTTCTCCGGAGGATGAAGACATTTTTTACTTAAAAGCGTTCACAATGTTCATAATGCATTCAAACCTGATTTCATCGTCAAGCAGTAACGATGGCTCGATTAATACTAGTATTCGTATTTATGTTTTCATCGATTTTTATCAACATTTTGGTAATTTCGCCATTGCATCTCAGGAAAACGAGTTCTTCAGTTGGTGACAACGAAGGAACATATCGATTGCCAAATAATACGAAACCGGAAGCCTACGATCTATTCATCAGCACGGATATTGCTGATGGCGTTTTCGATTTTTCTGGTGTCGTCAAAATTAATGTAACCATCATAGAGGAATCAAACCAGATCACCCTGCATAAGTACGGGTTGGACATTCAAACAGCAGATTTAACTTCGACAGAAGGCGAAGCGATTCCTATTCATCCACCGCAATATGATCTCCGAAGAGATTTCGTTATATTCAAAACGGTCAACGACATTTTTGCACCTGGAGAAACAATCATTTTGGAAATCAAATACAAAGCAAAACTTCGAGAAGATAATTATGGATTCTATCGTTCACATTACTATATCGATGAGGAAAACATCGATGATGGGTTTGATAATATCATCACATATGGGAAAAAAAGGTAAGCATTCAAAGAGTACATTTGTGAATTCATTACGAAATCGATTGAAATAAATTGCATTGATTTAGATGGCTTGCGACCACTCACTTCGAACCAACTTATGCGAGACGTGCATTCCCTTGCTACGATGAGCCAGCACTAAAGGCAACTTTTGATATTCAGATTTCACACAGTTCCAACTATACAGCCATTTCGAATATGCCACAAATGGAGCGAAAAATGTACGTATTATAATCGTCTTCATCGTCAGTTTCCTCCACAAGAAATTTTCATTATTTAATCGGGTTTTATTGTGTTTGGCACAGATCGGGATCACGAGCAATAACTCGATTCCAACAAAGCCCACTGATGTCCACCTATACAGTGGCATTCATAGTGTCCGACTTTAGTTACAAGGAAAAAATCGGATCAAACGGTTTCAGACATCGAATATATGCTCAGCCAGACAAAATCGATCGATTAACATTTGTACTAGAAAAGAGTGAGCAAATATTAACTACATTGAGCAACTACTTGGAAGTGAACTACACATTGCCGAAAATGGATCAAGCAGCGATTCCAAATTTTCCTTCCTTCGGTACAAATTTTTTTTCATATAAAGTTCTTCAAAAAATGCATATGGATACTTAAATGCTATTTTTATTAACTTAAAGCTGCCGCAATGGAAAACTGGGGCCTTATAACATATAGTAGACCATTTTTACTATATGATGAGGAGGTTGTAATTATTATTTCTCACGAATTCGCCCATCAGTGGTTTGGTAACTTGGTGACACCCAGCTGGTGGAACTATTTGTGGCTGAGTGAAGGATTGGCGACGCTTTTTCAGCTTATTGGAACTGATTTGGTAAGACATTTTATTTTCAACTTTCTCAAATTCAAATAAAAAAAATGAATTTTTTACTTTTAGGTGCAGCCTGATCGGCAAATATTCACTAAATTTGTGAGAAATGAAATGCACTCGGCTTTTCTATATGACGCTTCATTTCGGTCACAGCCCTTGAATGCTTACAAAGAGAGTCCAGCTGCCATAAAGGCTGATTTTGATGACATTGTTTTCTATAAATGTAAAAAATCGCAAACATCTCTTTCGAATCGTAATAAAATTTCTTTTATTTTCAGCTTCTTCCGTGTTGCGAATGTTCATGCACGCATTTACAGAAAACAGTTTTCGGAAAGGACTAAAGTACTATCTAACAGCAAGTTTAATGTCCGTTGGTCAATTATTGCATTATAATGCATTCTTTTCATTTTTCTTCATTTATTTGTTATGAAATCTAGCGCCTACAAAGCGGTAACCGACATCGATCTATTTGAAAGTTTGGAGCGTGCAGTCAAAGAAGATGGTAGCCTAGATAAAGAAATGAGTGTTAAGGAAATCTTCAGTTCGTGGTCCGATCAAAGTGGATTTCCACTGCTCATTGTTACCCGCAACTACAGCGACAACACGATACAAATAACACAGGAAAGATATTTTCATGAAGCGAAACACGCTGAAGCGAATCTCACATCATGGTGGATACCATACAACTTTGACACCGCTAATAATATTGCAATGAACGACACGAGGCCCGACGGTTGGCAAAAGGAACCAAATCCAAAATTATCAAGCCAACGGAGCATAAAAACTGGACATCAAACGATTGGGTACTTTTTAATGGACAACAAACTGGATTCTATCGCATTCTTTATGATGAACGAAATTACCAGATGATCCTGGATGATCTGAAATCGGGAAATGCCGACAAATTACACGCAAACAGTAGAGCGCAGCTTTTAGATGATATGTGTACGTTTCCTCGTGAACGCCGATTATTGTTCGATTTCTGCGCTGATTTCGAGAAATACCTAAACATACAGCGAAAATATCGTAGAATTCTTTATACAAGCGATGCGAGTGCTCCCTAATTTCAATAGGCAATTCAATTTAGTAATTCATTTCAGAAGTATACAACGCGCCAAATATGAATGTTTGTTGATGATGACTTTTCTCCACGATCAATTGCGCTATTATGAGTCGTATTGGAAGATAACTTAATTAAATCATACCAAATATTTATTTTTTAATGCTATAAATAAATCAAATAAATTGTTTAAAAATCCAAACTTTGAATCTTCTTCCCTATGAACTGTGTGTGATGCATTCATACGCAATTTAATGAGGAGAATCGGCGATAAGCAAATCAATCAACGTCAAAGTAGTCGATGTGTCTGCAAAAAAGTACAAATTCAAGCAGATTATCAATAAATGAAAAAACAAAACCTCAACTCTCCGTCCATTAGCAATTGGCATTAGCAATGACGTACGCTTATCGTAAATTTAGCGACAAAATCGGCAGCCAAACATTTTGTGAAAACCAGTCATGAAACTAATGCGCAGTAGCCCACAAGCTAAACATTGAATTTATACAAATCATTTGATTAAATTGCATGCAAATCCAATTGAATGGCTCTTAAAAAATCTCAAGAGCGATGGCAAAATCTTAAAGTTTCTTGTGCATTTTGTTTTCATGAAAAAATATCGTTTTCACTGAACCATTGTCAATCAAATCTATGTAAATCGCTTGAGGCCTCACGCCAATTTCCATATTTAAAATATGAACAAATAATATGAATTTGTTTATGTTTCAACATATTAAACCGATATGTATGCATAATTTCAATTTCGCTCAATTTTGTTCAATAAACCGACTGTCAGCATAACCATGTCTAATCTGTTGACGTCATTATCGCTTCAAAAATTCTGGAAGTGGGTTTTGGTGGATCCTCAGGATTGTCCAAAACCGATCCTGTTTCTGGAAGTGGATCCTCAGGATGGACCAGGGCATTGTCGAACCCAGTCTGGTATCCTGAAGATCCACCAAAATCCACTTCCAGACCATATTGTTCAAGGTGAATATGAACAATAACAACGCATTCGGGCAATAATAGAAAATATTTGGAATCTAGCGTGAATTTTACAAAATTTAAATTAATACAAATAGATTTTGCTAAACAAAATTTGACGTGAAGCCCCTATAGGTAAATTGAAATCCGACGTTATGGATACGGCAAGCACAGTTGCTTGCAAACTCGACCACACTCTATGTAAACCAAATTATGAATTAGTATTACATAAGGAATAATTCAATTTATTTGTTGCGATATTTGTACATTTTGTAGCTAATTCAGTTGAATATGATTTTTTTCTTGATTTAAAGTGTGACGAAAGAACAGAAGTTGTGACGAAGAAGAATAACTTTATTTTCAAATAAATTTGAAAATCAAAATCTTGAATTTCTGTCTCATCATCAAATCGGCAAAAAGTGCAAGAGATTGAATCAAGCATACTTCTTGGTGGGCGATAACGCATTGCTCGTGCAATCTGTAACGATGATGCTAATCTCAGACTTAATCAATTCACATTTGTATCAAGATTCAAAATCAAACATCCGTCGACAGTTTTTGTTTCAATGCTCTCGAGTCATTAAAATTGAACGTATAAAACCGAACAATAAAAATATTTTATGACTTGAGCGCAAAACCGAACTGAGATTTTGTAAACAAAACCACTCCGACGTGTGTGTTCTTGTGATTGTATTGGTGCGTGTCGTCGAACCGCATTGTATCTGTCACCATGGTCGGCTGACAGCGCGGAAAATGTGAGGTTATACCTTTAGTTGACACTGTGATTCGTTTAGTTAAGCGTATTTCATATTAAGACTGAGGCCCAATTTGAAAATTGTAATTTTTTATTCGGAGAGACAAGAGAGAGAGAGAGAGATGGAGGACAAAACGGCAAAAATTCCAATTTATTTGTACAAAGAGTGTGTGGCCGATTTGCCAAAAGCCGTTGAATATTCGGAACAGAAAAAATGTAATGTTTTAATCACCGCAATAACAAATCCAAATTTTCGGCGCGAATTTTTCCGGGAACCGCTTCGGCAAAATCATTTTCGTTTTACACGATCCGAATTGTTATTAGAGCCATCAAAATGGCAAAGTCAGGTTGTGGCCAAATTGTCTGAATGGGTTGATTGTGATTCGGTTGATGACAATATTCGGAAACATAGTGAGGCAACGATAAGACAAGAAATGGCCTTTTCACACCATGTTGCCGGCCATGGACAATTGCTTGTCAAAATTCGCGGCACAAACACATCGAATTTGGCACGAACGATATCTGCTGAACTCACAGGTATGTCACCAATTCGGCCGATGGATCTTTGATTTGGCATATGATTTTCAATGGACGTTTTTTGATTTCATTTTAGCCGGCACACTGCTCGTTGAAATGCCAATGGTTGACTATGAGAATCAATGGTACGATTCAGGAAATGATGAAGTTGAATCGATTGACACATGGCATTGGTGGAATTCATTTCGATCGTACGCCGACTACAGTTCGCGTTTCCAATTGGCACTCGAACTGACGGCTGATTTACCGGCACCGGGTGTGATACTGCGATGGTTGGGCGAAACAGTCGAACTGTTGATAATCCCGATCGATGTTTTTATCACCAATCGCAACAATTTTCCAGTTCTTCCGTTTCAACATAAGAATGTTGCACTCAAATTCCTGGCAATGACCAATTGCAAGTTTTCATTAAAAGTGCCCGACGACGAAACTCGAGACATTGAGAATCACGTCAGCTATTTGCGACATTTATACAAGGAAAATGCTAAACGAAATGATCCAATGCACGGGTAAGATTTGTAAGAAACTCGTCAAAATTTAATCTATTCATGTCATTTATTTGTTTATATTTGTAAATAATCCAGAGGATTTTTTCCGAATCATACTAATTTTGTTTTCACTATCCCAATAGATACGACGATATACTGGAGATTCCTTTGCAGCCATTGTACGACAATTTGGACTCATACACCTATGAAGTGTTCGAAAAGGATCCCGTCAAATACATTTTCTACCAAAGAGCCATCGAACAAGCGTTAGTCGATAAAATCTCAGACGAAGAAGCAAACACAAAAACCGTATGTTTAATCATATTTATTAAAACGCATTCCATATTATCTAACACGTATTTCGTTTAAATTTAGGCAGTTGTGATGGTAGTTGGTGCCGGACGCGGACCGCTGGTTCGTTCCGCATTCAATGCATCGGCCAATGTGGACCGCAAAATCAAAATGTACGTGGTAGAAAAGAATCCGAATGCAATCGTTACTCTTTCCGCACTTCAAGAGGAAATTTGGAAGGATAAAGGTAAGTCAGACTCTCCAATGCAATCAATTTCAAGTGTTAACATAAAATATGCATACTAAAGCGAAAATTTCAATGGAGAAAAAAGTGAGAACAAAGCCTAAAATGACACATTTCAATTTGTTCACAGATATGACGATAATCTCAACTGATATGAGATACTTCGAGCCAGCAGAGAAGGTTGACATTCTGGTTTCAGAGTTGCTTGGTTCGTTCGGCGACAATGAACTGTCACCCGAGTGTCTGGATGGAGCGCAAAGACATTTAAAACCGGATGGTATCAGCATTCCGTGTCAATCGACCTCATACTTGAATCCGGTAATGGCACCGAAATTATTGAGCGCCGTTCGAGAAGTTCGTGGTCATATGCGACGCGGCAAACCGAATACATATGAAAAACATGCCGAAAGCCCGTACGTTGTATACTTGAAAAATGTTTTCCACATCACAACACCACAGCCGGTATTCACATTCGTTCATCCGAACAACGATGAGGTGGTTGACAATTCACGGTACATCAAACTGGAGTTTGCTGTGGAACATGATTGTGTGATGACCGGTTTTGCTGGCTACTTTGATACCGTTTTGTACAAGGACATAAAGTTGAGCATTCATCCGAAGGAGCACACACGAGGGCTCATTTCATGGTTCTCGTTGTACTTCCCGTTGAGCGAGCCGCAGCAATTGCACGCAGGCGACAAGGTGACAGTGAACTTTTGGCGATGCATATCAAATAGCCAGGTATGGTACGAATGGAGCACTACCTCACCCAATACCACTCATGTGCATAATCTGAAGGGATGGGCATTCCCAATATACAAATGAATAATACACAGCTCAGTTAGGTTACCAGGCAAGAGTCCTAATCTACATATTATACTAATTTCTGAACAGAAAATTATGCTTTTTTCAAGCATCATTGAATAGATTTCAGAATCTTTTTTTTAGAACGCCAGATATAAAGGGAAAAAAAACATTTTTTTTTTAAATCCCACAAACTTATCAAGATAGGTTCGTATGTCGTAAATGGCTTAGGAAAATCAAACATATTTATAGTGTACTGGTTAACAAAAATAATTAAAATTACCTTTAATTATTGAGATTTTATATGGAATCAATTACGAAGATTCGTTTATTAAGAAATAAACCGAATATCTTTAATGTTGAGTCAACAAACGAAACCTTGGTAGTTTTACTATTTTTATTTCATTGCCAAAAGGTCGAAGCTCACAATGAGCTGAATTTTCGTTCTGTAATAATTGGTAAGAAATGGATTTTTTTGGATTTTTCATGGCCAATAACTCGACGTTTTTGTTTTCATCGCTTTTGTCCTTGCAGCTGATCAAACTTTCTCCATCCAACTTAGAAATGAAGGTAATTGAAAATCGAATCCAAAAGGCTTAAGTGCCTATTTTCATTTTATTCCATAACCTCCGATGAAATGCATCTTAACCACGATTTTTTACGAAAAACAAAATTTCAATAAAAAAAATTACGGGAAAAAGTCTTTTCCATAGAAATGGTGCAACCGTAGCGCCATCGTGTGATGGTATTGGGAATGAATGATGTAGCGAATTCGAAACAGTCACCATTTTCGCCACTAGTTTCCATTGATAAAGCTTGAAAGTGTCAATTATTATGACATGTTTACTATTACATTACTTCAATTAGTTTATTTTCCAGAAGCAAAAAAAAAACCTGAAGTTTCCGTACGAAGATTTTAAAAATCAATGGAACGATGGGCTCCAGAGATTGTTTCTCGAAAGTTTTGCCCAACGTAAAATTGGCAACTCGCTTCGATGCTGACGGCAAAGAAGTGCAGGTAAACATTTTCGACAAAAATTACATTTTTCTTCGTGCATTTGTCTGTGAATCGGTTTCATGTCAATGAAAACTAACAAGTGTTATCCGGACCAAGATATACGATTGCATTCATTGAATTAATGTTTCAGGTGGAACGGCGCGAAGACGAGGAACAAAATGTCAAACAACAGGATATTTTCGATATTCTAGTCGCGGCTGGTTATTTCCGAGCGAGAATCAAGGGATTATCTGCTTTTGATAAAATTGTAGGCGGAATGACATGGTGTATCAGTGCATGTGATTATGATGTTGACGTTGATCTATTGTTCCACGAAAATCTCACAATCGGCCAAAAAATGTAACTAATCCAATAGGAATAATGCCAATCCATTATTATGGATTTTTATCAATTTTATGACACGTTTCCTACTTCCAGTACACTAACGGAAAAAATCGTAGCTGCTTTGCCAAGAATGAAGTGCCCATATTTAATTGAACCGCATCAAATACAAGGGTTAGACTTTATAAATATTTTCCCTGTGATACAGTGGCTTGTCAAACGATCGGTAAGGTAGTTGCAGAAAGAAGGATCCAAAATAATGTTGCTAATGATGGAAAACGTTTGTGGTTTTAGGTTGAAAATCGAGCGGAAAAAGCTGCCAAATTGAATGCCTTTGCAGGTAACATTTATGTAATGCTTTCTACCGTTAAATTAAGTAATGCTTTTGCCCACTTCAGTGGTGCATTTCACCATTAATTCACATACAATCCCGTCCGAATCGGATGAAATTCGGGTATCATCCAACTGTACGCTACACTCGAATAACATCCATTTGTGACGGTAATAATGGGTGTGAAAACTGACTGACTGACTGAGAATTATATATGTACAACAGATTTGATCGTTTTCATCTTTGAATCAATTGAGAAATCAGAACCGTTGTGCAACATTTTCAATTGTAAATGTCACTTGAAATCTTCAAACTATTCATTAGCTCTAGAAATATGCACAATATAATAATCATTTTCAGTATAAAAAACTGTCGAAGCAAAAACATTTTGCTTCTCTTTGGAGATTTCCCTTTCTGTCTCCAATTTGTAAAACAGCAGTTTTGACGCAGCAACCGTCACGCCATCCAAATGTGGTGTTCAAAGGATGAAACATTGGCGCCGAACGATTCGTTTTGCAAATGTCACTCAGCACAGCGGCTCATTGGTGTAGGAACATTCAACGAGAAAAGGCAATTTTTACAGGCATGTACGGCTAAGAATAGAATTTTTGCACAAATTAAATTGTGGATTATTTTGGAAATTGTTGTGAAATTGTTGTTTCGTCATACCGGTTCACATTTTCATGTAATGACATGTTCAAAGCGGGAAAAATCGCAATATTTTAGACCGATTGCATTGATTGACGCGAATAAATCAATATAAATTAATTCGATCACAACAAGTTTTCCCATTTTTTTTTGTTACCAATTACAATTAATGGATTGTGGTTTTTTTCCCAAAGATTATTTTGCAATTTTGAGGCGAGATCCGCATTGAGACAGGGAGACAGAGAGCAAACGAAGCCTGATCTATTCAAATCGTTTGGATTCATACGAAGTGGACTTATTGTGACCGAGGTGAGTTTAGTGAACGTAGAAAATTGCAACAAATTAGCGTAAAATCATGTTTTTGCGTGTGATGTACATGTTTCGACATGATTTATGGCGACGGACTGATGAATATCATCACATTGTTATCGTATTCGTTTAAAGCGATCAATCAGTGCATTGTTTTCGATTTCCGTAGCGTTAGCCAATTTCACAATCGCTTGCAACAAACATTTCATTCATTCTACAATTTATTTTCTCTCGTTTAGATCCATCGCGATGGCGAAGCGTAAGCGGCACAATAAGACGTTTGGTAGGCCAAGGGAGAACAAAGTGCAGATGAAAAAGCACTCCATTGTGAAGAAAAAACGTGTCAATCGGAAAGAAGATTCAACAAAACAGTCGACAGAAAATGGCACAATCGAAATCAGCGCGATCAAATTGGCATTTAATTCGATAATTAATACGAACTTAACAGAAACAGAAAGAGGATTTCTGATCCATAAGTTCTTCGAGAAATGTTTGAATGTTACGAAAGTCATGCATCTTGCATCGATGTTAATGCTCTACAGAATCAACGAAGCATTTGATGATGACAATTTGAATTTCTTCGTGAATCAAAATGGAGCAAATGTGATAACAGACTGTTTCAACTGTGTCACATCGGACAACATCAATGATCCACTCACAGCCCAAATGCCAGACGCATTTCTCGCGATGGTGACCCAAGGTAGCCCCAACTTTGAATGGCCACGCCGCCATCAAATGACTCGCCAAGTTTATGCTCTCAAGGACCAGTATGTGGCCAATGTGAAGACAAATTTGGAGACGCACTGTTGGGTGAGATTGACCCACTTTCTACGTGTAAAGTGCCATGAATTCAATCACAAAGGAAGCCCACTTGACGTTATTTATAATGCATCATACTTGCCTTTTGTTGACATTGACATTCGAAATACGAAGGAAAATTTGATGTACAATGAAGATTGGACATATGATGATGATGAAAGTCGAAAGTGGAAGATGGATATACTGTTTAAGGAAGTGTCTCAGCTTTGTGGCCCATCATTCGTAAAATGCTTCACAATGTACGAATACATTCAAAAGGACTGGTTCGAGTCTTTGTGGATGTGGATAGGCATGCAACGAATTGTCGAGAAATTTTTGATCGATACGACTCACCTTCGTCAACAGTGGAAAGCATACGATCGTGATCCAGTGAACAATCGAGAGCCGTCGGTACCGAAGATACCAAAAGTGAAGAATTTGGCCGCTATTCCACTCAGTGATACAAAACTGAAGCACATACCATTCGACCATGATGATTTGATTAATATCATTGGCCAGTTGAGAAATGAACGGGGATGGGATATCCGTGCTGATTATCGTACATACTACAAGCAAGGCGAGAACAAAGACGAGGCATGGGGAATTGTGTTCGATATGGACAAAATCAGACAGCTCAGAACCGGTTCGAAGGAGTTTTACCACAAAATTCAAACCAACAGTAGTGCCGTGTCAGTGTTGTTTAGCAGACCCAAACGCAAAGGAGCCGGCGTGACTATGGAACAAATCAAGGCAAAGTACGAAAAGCCAGTCAGCAAAGGCGGTTACATGTATGAATCAAGAATTGATCCCGGCCAGAAAACAAAAATGGCCTGCGTGCGTCGGACTCTCGCTACTGGAACTGAAGTAAGTTGAAATATCATATGAAAATTAACATAGATTTGCATTGTTGTTGTTTATTTCACAGACCAACATCAAATTATCGAGTATTCAATATCACTGGGGTGCGCGACAAGGAATGCGCGACAAACAGGCCACGAAAATGACCAGAAAGTACGTGCACAAAGAACAGCGCGACTTGAAAAGCTATCCGATCACATCCGTATCGCCGCGAGGATCACAATGGAAATCATTCATTAAGCACAAAATCAAAATGCTGACAGATTCATTGGCTACATACGCCAGAAGAAAATACGCACAGCTATCGTTGCACAAGTACATCGAGTCTAATCGCGAAATGGATTTGATGGCTAAACACATAACAAACAATGAGACAGGAGTTGTGTTCCTTGGTGATGCGGCGTTCCCATCAAATTCGAAAATCGGTGTGAAAAGAACAAAACGAACACCGGATCAGCGAAAGTTCATAGTTAGCCTAAAAAAGGACAGCAAAACGGATGTTGCGCTTACACCAGAGCCGTATACATCACAAACCTGTGCCAATTGCTTGCGGCGATTTCCAAGAAGCACAAAAAGTGACCGATTCAAAGTATGCAAAGATTGTCGCCCACACAAGGATGTGAGACTCCCACCGGTTATCGTGACTGATCGAAGCAGACGGCGCAAGCAACGTGATCGAAAACAAAATGCCAGCCAAAAGCCAACAGCAAATGTAACTAGAGCCGAAAGAGCTGAGAAGCACCGGGAAAAGCGTCGAAGTGAGCGTGAAAGCCACAATCCAGAGCAATTGGATACCGAACAGGCAGTGAGACGGTACAATCGACGCATACGACGGCGTGAACTACGTCAACGACGTCGAGTTGCAGGCCATCGCAGCCGTAAAGTAACCAAACAACCGGAAGCGGAATCCGATTCGCCAGGTTTTGATAAAATTGGTGACACAAGTATTTGCAAGATTCGTGTCAAAAATCGTAAGGCCAAACCACAATTATGGCTGCGAATACATTACAATGCAAATGATAAAGGAATTGGGGATTTGGGGTCAAAGAAAATACTCTTCCAGAAAAACTGGCGCTCAAGTCCAATGAATGATCAGAACGCTTTTACTGTTACTTGGCATCGTGACATCTGTGCGGCGAAGTGCATCTTGTACAGAGGTATGTGATCTACACAATACAATCACATTCATGTTTTATTGTATTTCAATTTCGAGTTCAATTCGTTCATTCTAGGCCGTTGTATGGTTTTCGACTTGAATGTGAACGAATCATTTGTGTTACCACCAGAAAGGATATGGCCAATCAAATGCTGTCGATGAAAAGTAGAGCGTAGATTAAGAGGATAAAATAAAACATTAACGATTAGTTATTTTCAAAGCTTGATTTTTGTGGCTTTGTACATATTAAAATGTGTGTGCAAATACACGATGTAATACGGGTTAAACCCGTAGGTAAGTTGTTGTATGTAAGATTTTCTCAGTCAGTTGGTCAATTTCAATATCCACACCAATATTTACCAAAGTCATAAATGGACCTAGTTCAAGTGAAGCGTACAGTTGGATGATACTCTAGGTGGGTCCATTTATGACCTTGTTTCACACGTGATTTGTTATTTTGTTATCAATTGATTCATAATCGTTTTTATATCCTTCTAATTGATTTGTTTTTACTGTTTTTTTCTACTTCCATTGTGACGTTAAAAATGACTGAAACTACACACAAATGTGGGCCTTAATTCGACCGTTTACATACGCTTGGTAATGGATGTATTTGCGTCAACAATTGTTTCTTGGGTCTGCAGTGGGTCAATTTCATAATCATTTTTCGTTGAAAACCGAACAGGAGCAGAGACAAAAATTCCTGAATGCCACCGAACGGGTAAAAGAAATTCAAAACATTTATCGACCTCATCGGAAATACAAGCGAAAAGATGCCGGTGCAGAAGATGAACAAATGCGTGTACGAATCACTTTGCTTGAGTATGGCAACAAGGGAAAAGACATTTTACCACAGCATCTTAAAGCGGATAGTGGCGCGAAATCATCATCAAACGCCACTTCAAAAGGAACTGATGAAACATCCAATGATTTGGTTTGTAATTCCACTCATTTTGTCTGTCTCCATTTTCTGCATGGTTTTACTGCTAATATCTAATAATTCTTTTGGATTTGTGTGTCTATTGATTGATTTGCAGTTTGATATTGATCAGCTTCTAAAAACTCTTTACGTTGCTAATGAGGTAATGATCCCGTTTTATTGCAATTAACCGAATGCATTTATCGAAGACAATTCGATAATTCTTAAGCTTATCTAATGTGCATTTTTCTGTTTAGGACCATGATATCATTAAATTCAATGAAGTGGATAAAAAAAACCTTTTGAAAAATCTCACCGAATTGAAAACGGAAATGTCAATTGATACCAAACAACTGTCCGAACAAAACACAATTAAAACATTGTTGGCAACAAAAACCATTTTAGACAAAAAATTGCAAAAAGTCCAAGAGGAAAATCGTAACCTTGAGGCTAATTTAAGAGAAGAAGAACAAAATTTGAACAAACTTGACAGTGATGTGGATGCAATTAAGGATGAAATTCGTCAATTAGATGCCGTTGAAATTAAGGCCACGGATAAAAAGTATGGAATAATTTTTTTTAAATATATTTTTGTCACTTTTTCGGCAAAAGAAATTCATTTGAGCAACGAATCGCTAATTTTTCTGGGGATAAAACAATGCAAATATTTGTGTAGGGAATTGGTTCGACGCATGTTGGAAGAGAAAGAAGAGCTTCGCCATAAAGAAGTTCAATTCAAAGAGCATTGCAGACAGGAATTGGCCAGATTGCAGAAGGAATTACAGTATGTTATTGTCAATATAAAATGCTAATGCAACATTCAACAAGAAAATTCATTAACTCTGACTCAATATCAATATATTCAGTGATGCCGAAATGCCAACGTCCGAAGAAGACTTGCATCAAATGCAGGACACAATGGAGAAAGAGAAAGAACGCTTGCATCTCATTCGAATGCAATTGGCAAAGAAAAATCGGGCTATAGTTTCCATTGAACGGAAATTAGACAATATACCCGACCGTACGGAATTAGCACAGTATCAGCGCAGATTTATTGAACTATACAGTCAAGGTACGGTTTTCTTTTATTTTTTGTGTGGGTTTTACCTTGATTCATTTCTCCCGATTTATTTAACTCAACGAAAATGTTGTGAATTTCAGTAAGTGCCAAACATCGTGAAACGAAGCAGTACTTCACGCTTTATAATACTCTGAACGATACGAAACAATATCTCACAAGGGAATTGTCATTGTTGAATTCGATTTTCGAAAATTATGCCGAGTACGTATTATTGTTTTCTCCTTTTTTTGCAATTTCAAAGTTATAACAATGTAATCTCATTCATTTCTAGGGGAATGTCAAATATGTATGCTAAGGAGCAATTTGTTCTACAATTAGAGCAAATCGTCGATGGTGTTGGTCAAACCAAATTGAAGATAAAGAATAAGCTCGAATCGGAAAAATCCAAACGTGATGAGTTCAATGCCCAGTTGAGTGCATTGGTTGAGCAACAAAGAAAGTATGCCGTAGTGCTAAAACAATTTACAAAAGATTGTGAACGAAACGAGCATTTAGTGAAACAATTGAAAGCGCTGCAGGCAGCGGCCAAGATAAAAGAAGAAAGCAAGTGAATTTATATAAAATAGTTGAATGTCGCACTGTAGAGTGTTTTTTTTTCCACAAACAATTCCCCATAGCTGTTATGTATCTTAAAGAAAGCAATAGGTATTTTCAGTGAATAAATAAAAAATTCCAAATTACTAGCAAATATAAACTTGATTCGACTTTATTTCATAATTTTTTTTTTGTAAGAATTTTTCGAAACGATCAAAAAAAAACAAATTAAAAATTGTGGAAATGTTTGAGTCGGTACATGGGCACCTGTTTGTCACCATTGCCGATGGCCAAGAAACCGCTCTGTGGTGAAAATTGGATGACATTTGGTTTGCCTATGCCCGAATTGGTAGCGGGGAAATTGTGATAGACGGTACCACTTGGGAAATGTACTATTCTGACAGCGTCTTCGACTTCTTTCGATGCAATGGCCAGCAATTCGGATGTATGATTGAATGTTGTACTCGAAATGGCGGTGGTTAAATTTAGGATGGTTTTTTGTGGCCGTGGAAATTTTTGGTGTAACACATCGTTGTAATTGTATACATTGACAACACCCTGTTGACTTGATGCGGCCAATAGTTGTCCATTTGGGCTAATCGAAATCGTTGATCCATTGATGCAGCCATCGTCAACGAAACGATGGACAAACCGTTGTTCACCGATATCAAAAATGTTAACTTCATTATCAATACAATGCGTAAACAAGTACTTCGAATCGTTTGAAAATGTGATGCATGTGGCATCGTGTTCCTGTTTCAATGTACACAACAATTCGAATGTGTTTGCAAAGAGTAAATGCACTTCACCGAATCGTCCAATAACACCAACATACTTGCCACACGGTGATACTTCGAAATTATGCATTTTGGTGATTGTTTTCGGCAAAAAAACGCGCTGAGTGTGCCCACTGAGGAGATTATATGTGTAGAAGTATTTTTGTGAACCGCCAAAAATTGCCTGGCTTCCATCCTTGGACAGTCGACAGCAGCGTATCGGGAAATTCTTAAATTCCATACTGTGTAGTTTATCATTTTTCTTGCCGTCAATCGAATAAATGGTGGCAATTCCCTTGGTGCCGCTCACCAAACCAACCGATGAGCCCGGATGAAAGGCGACACCAGTGATGGATGGACCCTCTGAATAACTCTCACGATTCAAATCTTTTAACTTTTTGAACTGCAACTGCCCACTAACCAATTGATCACCTTTTTTCAGTGCGATATGACCGATTGTACGAAGGATCTCATCGTCTGAATCATCATTGTCTTTTTTCTTACGATTTAAATCGGCCCAAGCCGGTGTGCCAAGTATTCGTTGAAACTTATTTTCCAATTGCTTTTTGTACACCTCCTTTTGTGTGACCTCACATTTGTAATTGTCTACTCGGGTGACCACATCCGCACCTTCGTCGTCATCATCATTCCAAACCGGCTTACGCTTTTGATCCGATGATTTTTTCTTCTTTTTCACACCATCGGCCAATGTTTGTAAGCCCTTTAAGTAAGTGGATTTGTTACCAAACACATCCTCTTTCAGCTGCTTCTCGCGCAGTTTGCCCAGTTTACGCAGTTCTTTGGCCGATAACTTTTTCTTCTTAACATCGAGCTCTGGTTTTCGGTCCTCATCATCTCCGTCGCTGTCGTTATCGTCTCCATCATCATCATCGTCGTCGTCGTCGTCGTGTAGTTCTTGTTTCACATCAACCGCTGTTGGCTTCTCTTCATTTTCTTCTTTAATTTCTTGATCATCGAAAAAATTCGAATAATCATGTTCACTACCACTTTCTGAGTCCGACATTTCAACTAGATTCAACCAAAATGTTTATATATCAATGGAAATGACTTTAAACGAAGCTTCACAAGTTGCTTCTTGCAACAACAAAATGAGTTTTTGTCGAACATGTGGTGTTATGACAGTTGAATACACATACACTACAACAGTCAGCGACCTCTGCCATCATTCGATCGAAACAAGTATCCAAATGACAGAAAAATGCAATGAAAGCGGCATATTCAAATTAATGCATATTCATAATATTTATTTCATTCTATAGAAACTTCAAATACACAATATTTGCCTACAAATTTAAGTAACTAATAATAATAAAAAAAAAATAATCCATCTTAATTTTGGTGTCGCAGTCCACTTGAGGTGTGGTTAATTTTTGAATTTGTAGTATCGACATGCAAACTTGCATCCTTTTAACTGTATGAAAAAAGAAAAAAAAGAAAACGATTAATTAAACTGCTTTGAATACCTTGCGTATTTGTTTGAAAATGACATTTTCGAAATGAGAAAGAGAATGTCAAAAGCAATGAAGATGTTTGTTTTTTTTTAAATATTTTCGGTTGAATGAATGAAAGAAAACTTACACAAGTATGATCGGTGCAGATAGAATAGAAAACCTCTTTCTGTACGATCAATGTATCACAAAAATCCCAGCACATCGCACAATTACTGTGGTCTCGGCAATTTGACTGTGTTACAATGTTTTCTTGTTCGAATAAAAATCGCTGGATGCATGCGGCTCGACACTGGCTTATCACTTTTGGAATATCATCATTGGATTTGTTTTGGATATTTCGACATTCGGTCACAGTAATTCCAACTATCAGAATAAATAACACCATGATCAATGTGCTGGATTCCAATTGTTTTCGGATGTTCAATGTGATTCCACTCATTTTTCTACTCCGGTTTTTTTTAAATTCTGTTTTGTTGAATAGCACTTTTGAATTTGAATGCAATTTATTTCACTTTTAACGAATTTGATTGATTTAATGTTATAAAAAAAAAACAAAATAAAACTGGGGCTGGTTGAACGAGTCAGAAAAATGTAAAAGTACGCTTTAAAAGTGCATTCCCAAGTTATCTTGACGATATACTACGACTGACTGATATTCATTCATAAATTGCCATTTCGAATATAGCATTTGTAATTTATAGATTCTTAGTATTTTCTATTCAGATGTTGTACATACACACTCACACAAGCGCACACTATTACCGATTACTATAATTCAGAGAAGGACAGACATTACAAGTGTCTAATGCGAATATGAAATATGGGGCGAAAAATAGATTAAACAACAAACGGTGTGGTGTTGGTGCAGGTAGGCGCCAATACGTAAATAAACGAATTCTCTCGTTGTTATTCTTTCGTTCGTATTCACCAATATCCTGAGCTCATACGACGCAGTTTACTTCCTTTCTCGCATGCAAACCAAATATCCCAAATAAGTCCACAAATTGATGAGGGAAGTGTTGCTTTATGCGAACAAATTTTATTTCCTGCACATTTAATGTGGAGATAGTGTGTACCGTTCGTGTTTATATTTTTATTACATAAAGCCAGACGATGAACAGCATTTCAACTGTTGTTGACGTTTTTGCCTTTTGTTTTTGGTCATTGGCATTTCCTTGCATTCAGGTCAAAGGATCGCTGGATTAAAATTAACGAATGCATACGCCAAGGTATAAATAAGTGTGAAAACACACTTTCTTATTTAAGTACCAATGGTACACACAACATTTTTGTTTTACAGTTGGCAGGTCATAGTTTTTGCCAAAGATTCTTGAAGATTACTTTGATGGAGGCGAAAAAGAGAAAGTCAAATAATGCACGACGTAATTAGCACAGGAAGTGCAGTTCCAATACTTTGCAATTTGTTTTTGCAATGGCATCGACAACAATGGACCGAATGTGTAAACAAACGGCTTATCGTCTTTATTGACATAGTTTTGGTGTACGATGCATGTCCAAAGGCGGATATGAAATTATGAAAAATTACTTGCCGTTCGGAAGTAAAAACAGGAAAAGAAAATTTTACAATTCATCTTCCATGGCAAAATTCCATTTGCATGTAGACAAAAACGATGTGCGATTGAAAGTTGAGATACGGATACGGATACGGATACGGATACGGATACGGATACGGATACGGATACGGATACGGATATGGAAAGAGGGAGAGAGAGAGGAATATTCAAAAATGTGAGTTCGGAAGTGCGTCTGTAAGAGTATTAAAAAGGAAATAATTTTTGATTATATTTTCTTCGCTGTTCTTCCCCAATCAGCCAAACCTACAGTGTGCATCGGAAGAAGTCGCAAGTGATGCGAACTCTACAACGCCAATCCTATACAACTATATCTATTTTTATATACAGAGTTATCGAACACATTTCGTGGAGTGTATCGCTGTGTATGACTCGTTTCCGTTCGTTCTTATCCGCGATGTATAAATGCCGGTTCACATGCATGTCTTTTGCAGTTCGAGCTAGACGCTTACCCATCCTTACTGCCATTGAATTGCTTTGAAAACACAATTTTTGACATTTCAATCGTTTCAAACCACCGAAGAGATAATGTTTAGCATCGGTCGAAAAAAGGGTTTAATGTATGCAGATAGATAATTAGTGAGTAACATTAGTACATTAACTTATAAGTGAGCACTTTCCCTTTCCTCTTCTATTGCTCTTTATCGCCCGGATTTCATTGTTAACCCTTCAACCAGGCAACAGAAAACTCTTAAAAATACATTTAGATAACAGAATATATATATATATATATATATATAATTTTGCAGAATTGGGTTGTAATCGCACATTATTTGGTGATGCTATCGATTGGTGTGACTCATTAGATCTGTGTTGAATGTGGTCAGTTTCAAGATAGTCTATAGGTGGTTTCTATGATATTTTGCAGGCGAATCATAAATTTTGATCATTTTTTTTTGAAAAATGGACATCTTTTCCACCACAATCAGTGACATATTTTGAGTGGGCCGGTTTCAGTAGTGCAAAAATAATCTAAATCACCCGAAAAAATGATAAATTCAATGGATGCTCCTAATTATTATTGACTATAGTTTAGCCGTCAGGAATATTTGACATGAAAATTCGATGGAAAAATACTGAAAAAACGATTAGCATCGGATGGTGTTACTTCAACTATCGATTTTAATTAATAAAATCATAAAAAATGGTTAAATCCAAATAATTTTTATCAGCGATGATATAAACACGGTGCCGCAATTTTTCGTCGGTCAATTCCGAACGGAACAGTTCCATTTGATATACCAATGCATGAGTGTGTTCACGCGCGGTAATAAACAATCGATTGTGTTCATTCGTGTGATTATTGTGGTTTGTTTGGGTTTTCGTGTCTGTCAGTGGAAGTGAAAGGTGATAAATTCGATTATATAAAACGAAAAAGAAGAAGAAAAAAGTCCGTGATGTCCGATGTAGCAGAATCACCGTCACAGTCTCCTGTTCCAGAGGAAGAGAATCCAACACCACCATCGACGCCTGTGAAAAAAGCAGCAAAACAAGCAACCAAAAAGTCAACTGGTGCAAAGAAACCATCAACAAAAAGCCATCCAGCCACATCGGAACTGGTTCTCAATGCAATTAAAACGCTGCAAGATCGTAATGGTTCATCATTGCAGGCGATAAAAAAATTCATTGCTGCCAATTACAAATTGGACACGGATAAATTGGCTCCGTTCATAAAAAAATTCCTTAAGAATGCAGTCGTTGCGGGTAAATTGATACAAACAAAAGGAAAGGGGGCATCCGGTTCATTCAAACTACCAGTGGCAGTAACAGCAGCCGCCAAGCCAGCGAAGGAGAAAAAGAAAAAGGTTGCCAAAACCATCGACAAAAAGTTAAAAACAGATGGGAAAAAAGAGAAGAAAAAGAAAGAAAAATCGGCGGCGACAGCTATCAAAACATCGTTCGAGAAGAAAAAACATGCTGCATCGAAAAAAGGCACGAAGAAGTCTAGTGCATCAATAAAGTCGGCTGCACCAAAACAAAAGTCTACAAAATCATCGAAAGTAGCGTCAAAAGTGAAAGCACCGAAGACTAAGAAGGCTCCATCTGCAAAGAAAGCCGCCTCTACTGGCAGTACTGAGAAAAAAAACACCAAAAACCGCGAAAACTAATTAGTTTTTCAGACACGGCAACACTGCCTTACATCTATTTTAATGTATACGGATTCAATTGAACTAAATCAAACATTTTATGTTTTGTCGCACCAAATGTATTCACGAAAAAAAGCTCTCAACTCGATTTTAAAACCTACATAATCAAACCTTAACCGGCGCCATCTTGATTCGAATGATTCGCATACAATTCGGATGTACGTTTTTGATGTATATTTTGAAATGCAATTGAACATTCATACATTGTAGCTATGATGTCATAGAAACTGTAATCATATTCGAAAATTGAAATAAAAATGTGAAAATAAAAAATCGAGAATTTTCAATTTTATTGCAGTTTTTGTATATTACGGTCATTTGATCTATTTTATATATTCTGTGAAATTAATTTACTATGAATTGAATCCAAGGCATTGAAATTTCTGATGAAAAAAAATAGTCATTCAAAAAAATGCGAACATTTAAAGCGACGGTTGCTTTAGTTCTGAAGAAAAATAACTTCAACATTCCAAGCGATATAAGCAATGAGCATTTTAGTTCGAGTGAATTCAATGTTGGATAGAGGATAGGTCTCATATGAAACTACACAATATCCTCTATCACGCGTTTATTCACGTGTGTGAGTGCATAAACGCGCATGCGTCGTCTCTCCTTTATTTGTTTACATCCGATTTTTTTTTAGAGAATTTGTAAATTATAATTTTTTATGCATTCCCCGCTCTCATAATCTTCTTCAGCTTGAATCTTCTCGTTTAGAGACTCGGTCGGCTTTTGGAATTGTTTACAACGATTTTTTCTTGGTATATGAAGATCCTTCATTGAAGGAACATTTTTTGATTTTAATAACAATCCACACAAGTATACTTCTTCATATATGAAAATTACAAACAAAATACACTTGGCGTGATGTCCATATATACATCTGTCGTTAATGCAATTTTATTTGAACCATTGCGACCAACAAATTCCCTCATAATGTTTTAGTTTTAAAGTGCAACATAAAGTTTTTTTTTCATATGGAGTTGTTGTTGTCAAATGTTGGACTTTGAAACAAAAATATTCTGAGGGAATTTGTTTGTCGCAACGGTTCATTTATGCTTCTACCAACTAAATTGAGGTTTTCTACTCGAAACAACAATGATGGACCAAATGAGAAATTCATCAATCCATTTAGTTTTATCTCATTACCTGCCTCACATTTCGAAAAAAAAAACTAATCCCTTTTATTTAACTGATCCCAAGAAAAGGTTGTTCGATATTTACCAAGAACTGTTCCAGGTTTGTATTTTGAAATTGGTTTGGAAATTATTGATGCATGCTTTTTCCTTCTCATATTTCGAAATACATTTAAAAGTTATAGTTGTAATATCATCGAAACTGTACTCATATCAAAAGGGGAAATGTCCAATTGTTCCGATTTCCCCATAAATACTGTTATTTTTGATTGCTATGATTGAATTACCGTTCGCTTGCACGACTTTTTGTAATATGAAGAATCAAAGTAGTCTTTGGGATTGTCAGTAAAAAAAAAAGTCATTCAGAAAAAGTATCACCAATTCAACAGACAAAGTTTATTTAAAGACACAAAGAAGAAGATAACTCAAATTTAAATTATTCAACATGGCAAAATCTACAAGAACTATGACCACACGTCGAAGAAGACGTCGACGAACAACAACAACAAAAGTAAAAAAAGACAACACGTATTCGACGGATATTTACAAGCTGTTGAAATGCATAAATCCTGATGCATCAATTGGAACGATGGCGATGAACGTAATGAATTCTTTCGTCAAAGATATACTACATCGAATTTCATCGGAAGCATCGGAATTGGCTCACCACACGAAAAAAACCACAATGAATTCAAATGACATAATAATGGCTACCAAGCTCGTGGTCAGAACGCCTGAACTATGCAAAAATGCAATCGAAATGGCAGAGCGCATCATGGAGTATACCGATAAATAGAGACATCGTATTTAATCGCAAGAATTTAGTAAAATCCATTGTAAACGATTCATTGGCAAAATATTGGTTTTTTCAAAACAAAATAAAAGGGCCAAAGCCACGAGAAAAAAAAACGTATTCATATTTATTTCATAGCTATTAAAGCCAAAGCTTGATCCGTTATTTAAAAATATTGATAAATTTAAAGTTTCATTGAGTCGCATCAAATAGCGATGACAACGCCATCTGTTGTTCAACCTCCAGCACTGTTCGACAGTCATTGTTTTTGTCATTCGCAAATGTCATAATGATAATACCTAATTGAATACAAAAATAATCCGAGTAAAATATAAAAAAAAACAACAACACTAGAGTGAAATCATAATAAATTTTTACGTATTTAAATAAAATTGTTTTTTGTAATACTAATCGGCGGCTGTAGTGGCAAGTGTACTCGATTTAGCATGAGTGCGGAAGAAATAAATTGGCGTGCATTAATTGTGAAAAATTTGATCGACCGAAATCGACGGGAGTCAAATTCTTTCAACGAAATTATAACACAAAGTTTGTATTAAATCCTATCATCATCCCTAACCTGAAATTGCTATTTCAATTTCTCCGACTAAATTCAAGCATATGGAGTGTGTTTTTGTTTGTTTGTTTTGTTTGGACGCTGGACCACAATTGTAAAGTTAATGATTTTAATGTGAATTTAGCGTTGTGTAATGTGTTGTTCCATCGTTGAATTTGGCGAATGATTCATGGAATTGTTGTTTCTTGTGATGATAAAATAAGGATATTTATGTTTATTTATTATTCCTTGCAGATAACCGGTTGCTCGACACGACCTACGAATTAAAGTCGATAAACTTGAAATTGTCCGTAGAAAATGAGCAATTGCGAACGGGTAGTGTAGCTGCATCAAATGGCACAAGTGCAGCCGCTACTGCGAAAATATCGCAACTCGAAAGTAAATTGTTGACACAACAAGAACAGCTCACCGACTTACACAGGCGAAAGGGTGAAAATGCACAAATGATTATCGATCTAAATTTAAAATTAGAAAAACAAAATAAATTATTAGGCGAACGAGAATCGAGGTAATTGAATAGAGTCTATTACATTGGTGTATTGTGGACAACACAAATGATGCGTTAACAATCGAAAAAAAAACTTTCACTTTTTCACTCACTGTTGTTGCATCACAGCATTGCCGATCATATAGCGGTGAATACAAGTTTACGCGCTGAAGTTCTTATGTTAACGACATCGCTTCAGGAATTGAAATCGTTAAATTCATGCCTGAGAGATGAACACTGTGCACTGCAACTGGCATTTGCATCGCTCGAAGAAAAACTACGCAAAGTTCAGGTATGTTGAATGCGAGGCTGGAACAAAACATCGTATCGATTGTTCAATTTAAATTCACACGATTATTGATTGTATTGTTGATTTGATTGCAGGATGAAAATCGCCAACTTGTGGAGCGTTTAATCAAATACAAGGCCAAGGATGCGGAAAAATTGAATGAAGAGAACGAGAGCTTCTTAAAGTATGTTACATATTATGGATATTGGGATGTTGAATTATTATTTCAGGTTGTGGTTTTTTGCACGACGATCAAACCAAACGATTTGCAACTGAACTGATGTCAATTTGATCGAACATTTTTGCATGTTCTATCCACTTCTGTTCTCCTCTTCTATATGATCAGCTTTATTATGACAAGCTAAATTCTCTCATTCTCTCTGTCACTTTTTGGGTACGGTTGATATGGGAATACTGTTCTCCTACATTTGGCCAACATTTGAATGCGCAGAATCAACAACAAGAAAACTTTCGCTTAAACTGTTCGTTGATTTATGCCCCTGGTACTAAATTTTGCCTGTTACGACCTTTCTCATCAGCAATATTTTTTTTATTCCAACGCATAGAAGTTCAATTTATGCGGAATAAATCACATTGGTCACGCACACAACATGTTGTTTTGCAAAGCACAGATACTTTGTCCATACACGGTTACGGTGAGTTTAAAAACTGTGGAAATTTGCGTAAGATGTGTCATCATCGTGCATTGCACATACCAAGCTATTTTCAGTTTGTAAACAACTCAACGTTGGCGATCGAATGCACGCGAACGCGCACTCACACGTCGAATTAAGTTGCGCGTGAAGGTTAACAGCTTCACGGCAACCAAAGATGGTAACTGACAAATGCACCTGCTCTCAAACTCATCACTGTTCGACAAATTCGATATTTTAAGGTGTTTGCATTTGAATGACTGGGGGCAAAAGTGGGACTTTTCCTCACAGCAAATTAATGCAGCAAAAATGAATGATTTTTCTTCATGCGAAACACAAAGCACAAACATTTTTCAAAACAAATTTTTCTCATGTGTTTAGTCGTTCAGATGCACTACAAGAATAAGTCTCACTGTTACCTTTGCTCATTCATTTGAAATCGGCGTGCGATGCAAACATTTTTCCGTTACCAAATTAGAAATAATAATAATTTCACCACCGCACTGTGTGTACCGATATTTCTGAATTGTGTGCTTTGCAAAGTGATTAAATATTGTGACGATGATGAAAATGTGGTAAACAAAACTCATTAATCACTTAATTTTCTGATACTAACTCATAAATGGCTCCTGATAACCAGTTGAACATTATTTTGCTATAACTAAACGAAAAAGAATTGGTAAATCATTGTTTAGGAAGCGATCGGATAAGATGCGTAAGGAGTTGGAAGATGCAGCTCGTGAAGGTGCCAGTAGACGATCAAATAGTCCAGTGCCAGCATTCCCGCCCGAATTGGAACGTACGGGCAGCCTTAGTGATCTGACCGGCAACGCCAAAGCAGCAGGTTTCTTCAGCGATGGCATACCGAAACGTATTCATCTGAAATTCGTAAGTGCTTTTTTTTCTCCTTCGTTGGACTGTCTGATGCCAAAACGCGTTGGTGGACTATTGAATTTGTAATTTCATTCATATTTTACTCACCCAGGATGCCCATGATGGAGAAGTGAATGCAGTTCGATGGAGTCCAGTAGAGCCTTTGGTCGCAACTGGAGGAGCGGATCGAAAAGTCAATCTATGGGATGTTGGCAAAGGTATACTCTACGAAATCATTATTTAACAGCAACAGAAATTGAGTGATAATTTCGATTTTTCTCTTGAATTCTAGCTAAAATGGAGCCACGAGGAATCCTGATCGGAAGCAATGCGGCTGTAAATTCGGTGGAGTTCGATTCAACTGGTACTATGGTCTTGGCCACATCAAACGATTACGCTAGCAGAGTGTGGACAGTGTCCGATCAACGGCTTAGGGTAAGTGCAATGCAAAACCAAAAATAAGCGCATGTGATGTTTTTTTTTTATTCAATTTTAAATCTTTATTTTGTCTTTATTTGATTATTATAAATATTACTGGTTTACGGGTCTCTTTTTCGGTCTGCTCACATTCATTTGCTATATTTTGAAACGAATTTTCCAGTGAAAAAGAACCGTTACAAAAATCTAAAAGTAATTGTTCTTTTTTCTCTACGCCTACTTAAGCAATTCATTTTTCAAATCAATTGTTATTGCTTGATGCTCTAATCTAAAGTTTTTTTTTTGTTTGTTTCAATAAATAAAAAGATATTTTTTTTTTTCGTTTGATTTAAATTATCATTAGGTTGATGTTATATTGGCTAAAAGTATACTTGTGTCTAGAAGAAAAGAAAAAGTTTTGTGTTCTCAAATAATCTCGAAGCGGTTTGTTTGTTTTGTGGAATCAAGAGAAGGGGAAATGGAATTTGATTCATTCAGAAGCACCTAGTGCATTCGGTTGAATTCGAATTTGAGATTAGTCGATCGACGAATAATTTTTAATTCAAGTAAAATTTAGGTGTCATTGCATCGCATCGCGGGAATCTTGGGTGTAGAACATCGGTGAAAACATTGCACCCTAATCTTTCTCCGCTAAATGTTTTGGAATTGTTCTCTTTCTCTTTTTCAACTCAACGCAAGACAAACTAAAAATAATTCAGTTCTTTAATGAAATTGTATTTAACGAAAACTGTAGCACCGAGTGCGTGCGTTTGTGTATGCGCGCACACTGCAAACGGTGATTCAAGAAATCGACCTCTTACTCACGGTATTTCATCTCCCTAATCTTATTTTAAAGAAAAAGTTATTATTATTATTTCAAACTGAAGTACAATAATAAATACTTATGAACTATATGACGAGCACCTTCAATGTTCTGTGCAGTGGTGTAAATTAATTAATGTGTGAGTGATTTGAATGACCGCACATTTAAATATTGAATATTCGCGAAGCATACGATTACATTTAAATATTAAATATTGCCACCAAAAACTCTAAAACTCACACTTGCATTCTTCTTTTTCTTCGTTTTTTTTTTTGTTTTGTTTCGCCACTTCCATTCCGTGTCTACTTTCATAATGAAAATTTAAAAGAAAATGATTGCCATATTCTTATTGGGGGGACCCAACAGGGAAAAAAACGAACAAAAAAAATTTAAAATTGTTTAAATGCTATTTGTGTTTGTGCCTATTTTGCGACATTCCAGTTTTCGTTTCCGATTCAGTATCATCAAGAAAATAGAAACTGAATCGTTTGTGTGATCTAAATATGTGATGTTGTTGATTAATTGATTGGATGTGGTGACGTATGAACATTCTGAAAACAAACGCACACAAATTATCATGTGTGTTATTGGGTGAATTTTATTGCTTTTTCAATTTGTCATTGTTTCCGTCGCCAATGCCAATGGCATAGTGAAATGCGAGTCTCAACAAAACGTCAAGACAGTCAATTAAAAAGGAAATTAGTTATTGTCGCTTTTTTTGTCATTCATTTAAAAAAAAGGTCCATATTTCAAATACCGCAGTTTTTTCTTCATTCTCATGCTTTGTTCCTTATCGATTATGTGTCATATCTTGTTAATAAGTTTGAAATATTTCGTGTCGATTTGTGTTTACTATAAAATTATGGATTGCATGTGTGTGTGTGTGTTTGTTTGTGCAATTAAGTAAATTGGGAATGAATTGTTAAAAGTTGACTATGGAACAGTGGCACAGCATTTTTATTTGCATTAAATTTGCTGTATTTTGATATGTATTGTAATTTTTTTCTTCTCATTTTTTTTCGTTATTTTTTCTTGTGTTTTTTTTTCTCTCATTGTTGCTGTTGTTGTTGCTGCTAATTGCGTATACATTGTTATTGGTGTGTGATATGAGTAAAAGTAATGAATGTTTTTGTGCCTTACAATCTGGTCAGACTTTTTCCATTGACAGTGCGCAAGTCAAAAAAAAGGCTCTAGCTTTTTTAATGCTAAAAAGAAATTAGTTTTGCGTAAAGAGGATGCTTTTCAATCAATTGATGCCTTCTTCTTCTTCTTCTTCTTCTTCTTCATTCTCTGCATAATGTGTTTTTTGTTCACGAGACTTAAATCATGCTCTTCGCTCACGCTCAGATTCAATGTATGTGAGTGATCTAATCTATTGCGATTACAATTAATCGATTAAACTGAAGTTAAGTTCGATTTTTGAGCCTGATCAATTTGTATTCTGTTTGATTGATTGGTTGTTTGATAAAAATCAAATGAAAAAAAGAAAGAAAACTAATCTAATGCTCTAAGTAAAAAAAAATGGGGAAATATGCTTGGTTAAGCAATATGTGGTTGCATTAATGCAAGCGTTGACAATTAAAATACTAACAAAATGAAAAAAAAGAATCCAATAATTTGTTATTCTAAGATGAAATTGTGTCTCGATATTACATTGGGCATTGTGGTTCGAAAGAAAAATGAAAAAAAAAACATTTCATTGTCTCCTACCTCCTCTTTTTCTTCTCTTTTCACTCTCTCTGTGTGTTTGTTTGTTTGTATGTGTGTCTAGTCAAGTTTTAAAACTTAATTCGATGATAAATTTGTTGTTCTTGTTGTTGTTGTTGTTGTTGGTGTGTCACTTGGTATGCTTTAGAAGTGTCCATGTCGACTACTCAATGTGTGATCGTAATCGTATAGTTTGCTAAGCGAATCAGTTCGGCTGCCGGGCAACGTTGATGTTTGCAATGATGGGCCGTACGATGATGCACAGCTGTCAATTGAACGCATCTTTCGGCGACGCTGGTACAAGTATGTCCAAATGGCAATGACTGCTAGTTGTGCTAACAAGAATACTGTACCGGCCACAATAATTCCTATTCGAATGAGAAGAAAATTTGTTTAGTATTTTCATTACACATCATTTTTCATCAGCATTTCACATCAATTAAGAGACCACTTCTCACCTAATCCATTAACACAGAATGCGGTTGGATCGGTTGAAACGAACACAGTTTCGCTGGATGATCGTGATTTTTCGAGGGATGTTTGCTTGTCAAAACCGAATTTGTCAGTGATTTGAATGGATTGCACTAATAACATGTCTTCACGGCTTGGTGTTTTGGTTTCACGTGTGAAACGAGATTCTGTACCGAAAGGATAAACAAAACGAAAAGAAACAGCGATCAATGAAAGATGCAATTTATTAGATTTGGTATGTTTAATCAAAACGGAACCATCACAAACCTGTCACATTGATGGAGCGCCGTTTTCTGCCATATGAAATGATCGATCGCAGTCCACCGCTCAAATCTTCTTGATCGCATTGAACTGGTTCGCAGGTTGGCATGCATGGTGTGACCAATGCTCGGAACTGAACCACTTCGGACGATGGGAATTTGAATGCATCGAATTGTGAGAGTAAAATTTTGCCCGATTCGACGCTCTTGTAAATGGGCCCCATGATAAAGTGATCGGTTGGACAACCGCGTGCATCGATCAATGTAATTTCTGCATTATCGCTACCATCCATGGCAACCAATTCACGTACAAGCATTTCGTATGGTGAGTTTTTATCCAAAATTTCAAAGTGCAATGTCAATGGGTCGCCCACTTCGGCCGAACGCATCACATCGGCACCGTCGCGAGCGGTAATCTTCATGGCCACATTTGGTGAATCGACAATCACTTCCTCGGACAGAGCCGGTTCGATATCGCCAGTTATTCCCAAATCGACTTCATTCGATACCGTTTTGTTTGTTAAATCGTATTGACAGGTGACGGCTAGGCCCAAGTCAGATGATGTTACAATCGTGTCATGATGCTGAATAACAACGTCATTCATATAGCGACCCAATCCGTTTTGTCGAACATTGCATTCGATGTCTTGATATGGCATTTGCAATTCAAACTCCAATGCATTCTTAACATCGACGGCACATGATTTTGGTGCTCCCTTTGCGTACACCTTTCCATCGAACAGTTTCGATGTACGAATCTTGGCCAACATATCACCGGCACGGCACTCAATCGTTACATTGTAGCATGATGACAATTCGTATGTGGCCGCTTCTGGTACATCCAAGTATGGTTCCTATGAAATGAGAACACCAGTTTCGTTTAGAGAGCAAAATAGAACCATACACAATAGCACATACACCGAAATGAAATGATTAATGGTGCAAACACTTAAACCCAATTCGAAAGGGTAATAAATTAAAATATCTGAACGGCGATAAAATCGCAAATAATCCTATGAGCAATAGAGAGAGAGAGACTTGTATTGTGACGCCCCACAAATGAATCCTACCTGAATATCGGCCAATGTAGCGCGGCTGTGATGGCTGAGACGGCAGACCATGTCACCGGTATCCCCGTAGTCATATGAGTGGCATCTAAACAATAAATTACCAAAACCAGAAATAGGTTAATTACACTCGTGTTTCTTCATTTCAAAACTAAAACTAGATGCATGACTATTCTAGGTCTTATTGCTTATCTTTTTGGGCTCAAAAGAAAATTAAACGAATAAAATTGATGGGTTATTATTAGCTGTCGATCGAAACAGTACATTTGCTAAATTATGCTTACTCACTTCCATTTCGATCGTTTCGTGTACAACAACCATAATAATAATGGGAAGAAAAATTAAACGATCTCAATTCTATTTGTATTAAAGTGTTGTTGTTTTTTTCACTTTACCTGTATGGTGAGTTCAAGCACAATTCACGACATTCATCAACATTCGATACATCTTGGTAGACTGAGTCAACGGTTTTCAAAATTCGGCCGGACAGACGTTTGAATTCGCATAACTTATTTGGCTCTTCGGCACAGTTATTTTCCAAATAATCGACACCTATTCAATGTAGAACGATAAAAACGAGCAATGAATCACATGAAAACCACTCAAGTCATCAACACCTATGGGGATTTGGGTTTTTTGTTGTTGTTGTTATTGTTAAGATGAATGTGCACTGGCTAACCAGTCGCACTAACGCATTTTTTTCATGTTCTTACCGTCGTGTTGTTGGAACGATGAAGTTGCAGCCAATGTGATGCGATCCATTTCAGATAGGTCACAAGTGCCCGTCGCATGATGATAATTTGCCGATCTGAAACAATTGAACGGAGCGAAGAGAAACACATTAGAAATATGAAGCGGTGAATGAAAAAAATTCCGTAAAAAGCAAAGTGACGCATGTCTACTCGTGATAAATAGGCTTTCTGTAATGATGCGATTTAAATTTTGTAATGGATTTTGAGCGAACACACATCAAAGTAGAAGCGTGTAAAATCGTTTTTTTTTTCCTCTTTCTGTTCAATCTGTGTGTATGCGATGACAAATTCATTTCAATCGAAGAAACAATCTCAAAAGCCGCGGCTTGCTTACGCTTGTGTGCGCGCAATTTCATTGATCTGATGGCGATAATTCTAATCGGATTTCAGGAATATACATCAATAGCTAATAATGTGCAGTCCATTTGGGCGCATCGATCGTCTTCACCTTCGTCGTTCGGTCGATCGATCGGCCGGTCATGGTCGTTGTCATCATCATCGGTAAATAACACAGCGAAAAATGGCTCCATAAAATACAGAAGGAAAGCGCATTATTTTGTAAGATTCACCGTTTTAATACGCACGCGCAACACACAAACCAATTAAAACGTCAAGAATAGAACGGCCAAATGATATTCGTTCGACATTTTTATCGATTTGATTTTATTATGTGTCAGTTGTAAGATTGACAGACCGAATGTTAAACGCTACACAAAGACATAATTGTGTATTTATAGACTATTTATTTGAACATAAAAGCTTTGAATGCACCTTATTTTTCTTTTTTTCGATTTTTTTTTCTTCTTCTCCCTCTTCTGTATTCATTCGCCTCTGTGTTCAATCTGCCGCGTTTGGCGGCTAGGATTGTAAAAGACCATAATGCAAAGGATGTGAAATAAGAGTTTAAGAGCGTGCATAGTTTTGTGGTGCCGGTCATTTTAAATGTGCATTCGTGCATTCGTGCTGTTGTCACTTCGTTATGGATTGCTACACACAGCAGTATATATGAATATCTTTTGCGTTTGTGTCGCGCTGATGTGACGTGAAATACAGGGGGAAAAAAACAAAGACCATCAATACATTCCATTGAATGATACAAAATCAATGTTAATTATTATTGGTCTACACGGTCTGTCTGTATACAATGCAAGCGATCAATTTGCACCGATCAAATAATAAACATATTGTTTTCAGTTTGACCTTTCACAATTGCTACTTGCACTAAAACGTCGTCGCATAGTTTCACATAAACCAACTGAATTGTTACGCTGTCATGGAATTCGTGGCAATGAATTGTGTCGCTCGTTTATTAATATTTTTCCTCTCTTCATATCGCCGGCCGATTTTCGTCATGATTGCGGGCAATAAATAAAGGCTAGTTTCTCTATCTGCCTCTTTTTTTTGCTTTGTAAAGACTCGAGTTCTAATTGTTTCTCAAGTTATGTAGAATTATTGCAATAACACATAAATCAGACATTTGGCGCAGCATTCCAAAACTGGTCGCCCGTTGAAATCGTGAAAGTTTTTTGTCGGATGCCAAGAAAATATATTGCCGGTCGTCGAATGGTTAGTTTTTTTGTCTTCTGATGAAAAAAATAAACAAGCGAACATGTTGAAATTTGTTCTCTCTCCGGTGGCGAATACAGAGTAGAACAGTAGAAAAAAAACTGTATTTATTCAAAAATTTATATAATAATGGGTCAAAGTAGCACACCGTGCGCTTGCTGTTATCGATTTATGAACAGAAATAAATTATTTCGATTTAAATATGCATATAACAGTCATAACAACAATGGTAATGTTCGTCGAAATGAAATTTCCAAGCCAGATCGAACACACCAACAATCCCAAATTGAATGGAGTCGAGCACACTGAATACAATTAAAAATTTGACGAGAAAGGTAGAGAGCGAGAGAGAGAGAGAGAGAGAGACACAGAAACGGGGACAAAGACAGAAGAAAATCTAAACATGTTTATTTTTAAAATATTGCTTGCGAATGTGTCGGTGCGTGTATGCACGATAATAGCTAACTATTAGCATGTAAAAGTGTTGGAATTGAGAATCGAAATAAATTATTGCGAAAGCAGCCGCAGCCACACAGCAACAACAACAGCAGTACCAACTATTTTAAATGAAGTGCTCGAGAACCTATCACATTACCGATATTCGTCTGTCATTCGCATAAAAATGGTATCCAGGTGCTACTGTCGGCAAAAAAAAAGTACGCTCATAATTAATAATCGAAATTGTTTCTTCATTTGAATATTCATTGTGGCTGTCTCGCAATGCTTGAATAAAAAGAAAAGGAAAAGAGCAGAAACAGCAGCAACGTTTTCGCTTTGTTCATTCATGAGCGTGGCGTAACTGTTTTATTTGCCTCTGTTCTTGATCGCGAGGCATTCCATTTTCGATCGGTGGCCACTGAGCGAGTCGTTTGTCATTGGTGCGATTTGTTTTTCCATTACATTCGTTACCCTCTCTCTCTCTCTCTCTCTCTCTCTCTCTCTCTCTCTCTCTCTCTCTCTCTCTCTCTCTCTCTCTCTCTCTCTCTCTCTCTCTCTCTCTCTGTGTTATCACGCATAATTTTTTTTCTTTGTCTACACGTCTAAATGTTGTAATATTGAGCGCCGTATTTTGCATTGAGAAGAGAAGAAAAAAAAACCAGATCTGAGAGACCAGAAGGGAGCAAAAGAATAGAACCGTTACAATGCTATATAAATGGCCTGGGGCGATTAAAATATTGTATGAACCATTTTCATGTCATTTTCTAGACAATATTTTAAACGGCCACTTGAAAAACCACTTGGCAAAGCGTTTGCATTCGGTTCGTCTCTCACAGTGTCTCTTTTGATGGCTTAAACGCTCATCGTTAGGCACCATGTGATTGACGCAATTTTATATCTTTATATCGTTTCCATTGAGGTACGAAAAAAAATTCTTTGTTTGAAATCGATTCGATCGAAATCAAATCATTACCGAGACGAAAGAGAGAGAGAGAGAGAGAGAGAGAGATGTGCGGTTGATCACCGAGGGCTTCCGACGATCTCTTCGGTCCCCCCATGCAAATCATTCATTGCCTATTGTGGATTTTGTAAGATTTCACAATATCAAACCGACAAACACTCATCCGATGCAGAACAAAACAAGAATAAAAAAAAACAGATTCGTATCGTGGTAGTTTCACGATGTCATAAATTATCTATTGCAATTAATTGAGTAATTAAAGCCTAATGCATATGTATTGCACTGATATGATCTTTGTGCAAATGTTAAGTTAAACGTCCGGAATTTGTGTTCCTGTGTGGCGTACAATGTTTGTTTTTCTCCATTTGTTGCCTTTTGCTGCTGATTCGTATGCCCTTTGCATTCGTCTTCAGCTATCAACAGACAAACAGCTCAACGATAGAAAATAAGTTCGTTTTGAATAATTTATCGCTTAAATTGATTAACGGAAAATGTGTAATGTGTCTGTCTCTCAACGAGAGGATAAATGCCAGCGACAATAAATACCCATTTTTTCCTCTCGGTCGTATCTGGTATTGAATAACTAACTGTACTGTTTTGTTAGTTATTGTGACATTGTGTCTTTTCTATTGTGACATTGGCGCACTCCCCACAATCGCAGAGGTTAGGATCATATTTCACCGAGATAAATCGCAATTGATAGATCTATCTGTAAGCATTTGGTTAAAGACCTCTTCATTACCAATGTCGTTTGCAAGTTATGTGTGATCATTCACGTTGAGTCCCACGTTCAATGTAAATTATGACTTACTATACGTAGGAACTTGGTCTGTATTTACTTGCCTTCCCCTTCCCTCTTTTTTTTGCACACATTTGCATTAATTTAAATCAATAGGGCGTTTCTGTGTTCGGCTCATAATTAAAATATTCCAATTAGAAATGGAACGGCCCGAAGTCGTTCAACGTTGTTAAATGGTTAACTGCCCAGACTTTTTGCCCTATGGAAATAGGCTAGGTGAAAATGGTATACGATTGTTCTTTTTTTTGCCTCTCTGTTTTGGTTTAACTAATTCAATTTATGGCCGGAATATAAACTGTACAAATAAGAAGTGTGGTCGATTGGCGTCGAATAAATGGTGATGACTTCCAATTTATTTGGCTCGTTTAAAAACGATCGTATGCTCATTCACAATTTATGAAAATCATCGTTGAAATTACTGGGTCTCGATGGAAAAAAAAAGATGCTATTAATGTGATCGTTTTCTAAACACGCTGCCCCATTCGCGCACACATATCGTGAAAAAAAAATTATTAATAATAATTCCCGCATTTTCACACTTTACGAAGAAGAAAGAAACAAAAGAAGCGTTCAAAGAAGCGAAGCAAAAAAGAATTGAATGAAAAATATTGAGATCAGGCTACAAATACAAGCGACACGATCATTTACACCATACAATTGCGCTTTAATTGACTGGCGTTCACGACTTATGCTCTTCTTATTTCATTAATCAGTTTGGGGCTCTTTTTATTTTTGCTTCTCAATCTATTTGCATCTTCTCGTATTTGACTATTACTAATTATGAATCGGTTTCTCTCGGGTTTTTCCTCTTGCCTTTTGAAAGTGTTTCGAGCACATTTTTCTTGTGCCGATTTACAGTAATTACAACACAATGTGGCTTCAGCATTAACCGTAATTAAATAATACTTCCGCAGGCGTCAGCTGTTTTGGCTCTTAAATAAAGTAGGTTAGGATCTTAATAGAGTCGCTCTCCGGTTGACAATGCCATAAATCGTCGATTGAATTTGTACATGGAACTCTCTGTCTTTCTCTTGGGTGTTTTTTTCTTCTTCGAATTCCATTCGAATTGAAAGAAAGTATTTACCCTGAAACGGTGTTTGCAAATGACAGCTTGATGTTCTCGCAGTACAAACAAAAAATGATTCAAACGCAAAAGTCCATTCAACTATAAAAACATCTATTAACTTTCCGAAACATGACTTTTCCGATATGAAACGTGAAGTAAGCGACCAAGCGATCGTCCAAACGAACGAAAGAGAGTTGGATAAAAGTGTAAAGGAAGCTTCTGTCGGCAAAGTGTACAATATAAAAGTAAAAACTCAAGCGCGGCGCTCAAAAGAAGACATTTCATTTTTTGTTCTTACTTTGCCCATGCTTGATGTTTTCATTTTTTGTTCACCACAAAAATATAGAGAAAAAAAACGCTAATTAAATGATCAGGTAATAGAATAAACGATCCTTTTTTTGCTTCACTTTGCCCTTTTTTGGATTGGAATGAAAAAGAAAATGCAAAATACTCACCTGCATTTGAATTCATTTTCGCCCAAGCACATCTCGAAGCAATCCTGTCGTGAATTTGCCGTTGTACTGCGTTTTGTGAAACCGTTCAACTTGTAGTTCTGTACGCGATCGATGCACCAAGCACGCGAACATGGTCGAACGCTTAAACATGACTTTTGCGCATAAATGGTAAATACCGGGAATTGTGATTTGGTTAATGCACCTGAAAATACATTTTATAGAAGAAAAAAAAGCGATTAGAAGCGAAGAATCAATAAAAAACAAGACCACAGATCGTCGCTTCGCTCCTCTCTGCGTTCTTTATGTTATTTAAAATTGAGTGTTTAAATTAATTTGATGTTTCCATCAAATTATTCATCGAAGCACTAAATGGAATATAGTTTCAATCGAAGCATACATTTCTTTATTTTATGAAAATTATTGGAATTAATATCTGGTATGTTCGATTCGGACTCTATTTTTTCTGAAGATGTTAAAATCGACGATGTCATGGTGGAAATTGTTAATTTATGTAATTCAGTCAAGATGGGAAAAATGAAAGTTCAAGTTCCAATAAAACAAAAATTATTATTAATATTGATATTATAAATAATAATAAATCAATCAATTGAATAAAATTATAATTCTAATAATGGGTATTATGTACGTTCAATGTGAATATGGATTGTACATTATTTCACATTGGGAATTAAAATAATGTAAAAAAAATTTTCTGAGTTATCTCAAAAGAGAATTACGTGTACATGATTTTATTTCATTTTTGTAATTAGGCGTAATTGCTTCATTTCAAATTAGAACTTTGGATAGGAAAAAGAATTAATTTTCGGTCCAAAAAAGTGGCCCAAAGAGTCTTAAAATTTTCTCGTGAAAAAAAAACAATTACAATAGCCTATATTCCAGATGAATATCCATGTATACTACATTCCATGTAGTGCTAAAAACAACGGCTAACGCGCATACACACAACACACACACGCTGCCGTGTTTACATTAATACAAATCAGTTGCCGCGGAAGAAAAAGAAAGAAAAACACTTGTGATGGAACATCACAGCAAAAACACACATGAAGCGCGCACATGCAAAATTAAAAAGAAGAAAAAAACCAACCAACCAGCTACACAATTCTATTGCGCACATTCTCGATATTGCTTTTGTGCGGAGGAAATGAAATCGAAAGAAAAATCAATTCCAGTGTTTTCATCTGCATGCGCCACGTTTTTCTTCTTTTTTTTCCGCAATCGGCTGAATACTTGGTTGAAATAGAAGAAAAAAACAGCGGCTTGCAATGCCATTTTTATTTCAATTAAGCAGACGCAATGTTTTGCTCTCAACAGTAAAAATGATTTGCCGTTATTTTAATGAATGAGCTGCGCGCGCTCGCCCGCGATTCCCGACATTAACGTTACTTTCAATTTAAGCCTAACTCATTTTCAACGCCAATCTTCCGAAATAAGGACAGGATTTTTCATTTGTTGGTTTTCCGAAGAAGCAAAAAATTTCAACATTTTCTTTAATGTCCATCGAGAAAATCGAAACAAGAAATAATGAGAATGAATGCATGCAAAAATAATGACTGATTATTGCGAGGAATTCGAATATAAAATTCCAAGCGAAATTGCCATGGGTTGAATCTCATAATTAGACAAAGAAAAACTCATTCTTCCACATAAATGCCACTTTTCTTGTTGTTACTATTGTGTCGTCGTCGTCGTTCGGATCGCTATGGGTTTTGCACAGTGTTATCAGTTGTCGATTTTGTGGCGCTGTATAATGTATAACATTAAAGCGTTCGTAGCCCACAGTCTAACAGCAGTCAGAACCATCTTTTCCTACGTCACCCATTGTCGAATTTATATTGTGAATAATTTGCTTTCAGCCACAAGCGTGTAAATAAACTGAATCGATTGCAGCATATCTGAACGGCGGCCAAAACCAAATCTAACATATAACACAAGGGAACAAAAAAAGCGCACACAGTACTCGCGTAGTAAGTTTAATTTATGAGCACCTTCAACCATAACTCATTTTGCTGTCGTATATTTTCCTAACACATATCAGTGCACCAGTTGATAGTGATGGTTTCAAATACGGGAACAGCACCAGCAGAAGAAGAATAAAAGGCATTGATTTGAAAAACGCCAATTGAAAAACTCAAATCGAAACAGAGCAATGTTCACAGCCAACGACTCAAAACGGCCCATACACCAAATGCAATGGGAAAAAAGGAATTAGACATCGGCAAATAAAATTTACGATGGGGTGGAGTGTTGAGATCGAAACATATACCGAAGCGAAACGATCTATGATCAAGCGAGAATATAATATGCGGGCTTCGAATTTCATTACACCTAGCGCTATATTTTTCTAACCCGAACAGCGCGACGCGCGCCACATATACGTCTCTCTCTCTCTCTCTCTCTCTCTCTCTGTGCACAAGGAGAAAAAAAATAGAGGAAAAAATGCAGACACATTTTGATCAAAGATCGCAATTATTAATATTGACCACGCTTTTAAATCATGTATCATAAATCATCGGTAAGTCTTAGGTGAGCGTGCGCGATTTGAATTTGTCAGTATTCGAAAATAACAAATTGTGTGAATGCAAAAATGTGCACTGCAAACGACTGAAAAAAAAAGACACGATGTGTACTCATATATAATATGGATGTGGCAAATGGAAATAGCCTCGATTATTAAAATTATCACCTATTTTTGTATGAGAAAGACAGAGACAGAGTGGCAGAGCACATTTGGTTTGCTTGGCAGCGACGCTATAAATTGCATTACACGCATTTCCAAAGGCCAACCGTCGATTTGGAAGTCTCGTGGTGCGAGCGACTTTTTGTTACTATTCGCCCGATTTCCGTGGAAGAAATAAAACACTGCGGCCACATGAAAATGTGCATAATGATATCGCCGTACCAAAGGCACGCCACGTATCGTCCCATTTTTTGAAGAAAAAAAACGCCATCACATTTGTTTACATGAGCTCAGATTTTTCTGTCTTCACCCACCCAATGAGAGTGCGGTTAATTAAAATTCCCATAAAATTATCGATGCGGCGCTTCGCAATGGCCTCAAGATGCTTCTAAATCAAAACTACAAACAGCATTTAATGCCAGAGTTTATATGTCGTTTTTTTCGTGTTTTCTGGCTGCAGAACAGGATGAGCCATGCGTTATTACGTATTTTGGGTGGGTTCCAGTGCATTTGTCATAATTATAATACTAAGCACACACACACACACACATACATTTTCTCATTTTCATTTTTTTCACATACCTGGCAATTTATCAGCATTCGATGAGAATAGAACACACAGTCCAGTCTCATAATTGACGGCTCCGCATGTTTCGTTGGCTTGACAAGCTTCCAAGCAATCGGTTAACATGAGTGTTCCTGGCATTGATTCTAACAATTGATCGGGTGCCGAAAATACGTAACTAAAATAAAATAGTGCGTGTTAAACCACAAAGTCAACATGTTTGGATCAATCGTCGCTTAATTTTCGTTTTTCTCATCTTTCAACACATACCCAGTAATAATTTCGAAACCAATCATATCGGGATCACATTCGATTGCCTCATTTTCCCCGCTGGAAACTGAATTATCAGCTAATGGTGCTGACACAGCTGCTGGTGATGGCAAAATGTTCGATTGTGCACTCGTTTGCTGAGCTGGTGATGATGATGCTGCTGCTGGTGGCGCTGCTGGTTTTTCTGTATTGGCTAATGCTTGGGCGGATGGTTGTTCTTCAAACTTTGTTGCATCATTTGATGAGGCCAATGCAATATTATCATTTGGTGGTGCATCGGCTGCATTTGCTATGGGCAAATCTATTTTGGATTTTCGTCGAACGCCACTTGTCAGCGAACTCGATAACAGGACAATTAAAAATAAACTTGCTGCTTTTGGCCACATTTTGTCTAATTAGTATTCGTTATTTCTTTAGTATTTCGAGAATTGATGTGTGATAAAATCTGGAAAAGAAGAAAGAAAGAAAAATGTCATTAAAAATTGATGCCACTTCAAGAAATAACTATCTATCGATCAGTTGGAAATGATAATAAAACCGAGGACAGTTGACAACGGTCAGTGTTTTTCTATAATGACTTTTAATTGTAAGCGATTAGAGAGATAAGTGTCTTTCAAAGTGTTTCAAATTAGTCATGGCGGTGTGCTGGCTAACCAGTCGAACGAGTGTACGTTTTGCTTCGGCAAAAATTAGCCGCTTGGATAAACAATTCTCCACTTCGGTGGCATCTATTCTTGGATTCCAAATAATTGCAAACGTTTTTTCCCTCTTTCTCTCTCTCTCTCTCTTTCTTTTGTATTCATTTCCTATCAATTCATCGAGTCAGTATCGATTTCAATGAACGGGAACAATTCCAAGTATGTTTCAGATTGATAATTTCGCGTAAAATGAATAAATATATCGACCAAGTGCAAAGAGAAAAAAATAATGCGAAAAGAACGTTCAATCAAGAGACAATTTACTATATATTGGCTGCATACTTTTTGTTTTGCCTCACGTTTTATCTATGCGTTTCTTTTTTTCGCTTTGGCTGCGATACTGCATTTCTTCTCATTCATGTTTTGTTTTTGAAAACGCCCAGAAAACCAAGTGGCAAAAGAAAGAAAACCGCGTACGCGCGCGAAACCATCACGTGCGCATAATAGAGACACTTTTCCGTTGTATTTTCCGGATAATGGTGCTTAAAATGTGTTCAGCATTGCAAACTATATACTGCATTTATTATTTGAAAGAAGAAAAATAAAACTAAGAACAACAGCAACGGCAACGAAATCGAGCCAAGTCTCTTCGTGCTACGCAACGACGCAGTACAAAATTAGAACACATAACAATAAAACAGTTAGATGCATAAAAAATTCAACGCGGTTTGAACTCGTGCACAACAGCGCAACATTGGCAGTTAACATTGTGTATGCTATCCGGATTGCGCGTACGAGAGAGCGGGCGAGCGAGTGAGAGAGAGAGGGAGAGAGAGATAGAGATGGCACGCTATATCGCCGCGCTTTGATTTTGTGTGTCGATATGAATTAGAATAAAAGTGTACCGCATGCAGTTAGCACGTTACTGACTTCAATTTTATCTCACTCGCGAGCGCTCATTGTATTCTGGGTGCTGGGGCTTATGTGCATGGAGTGTGTGTTCCACGCATTCTTTTTTGTTCACGCGAACTTGTAAATGATGGAAGCAACATTCTCCGATTCTGATGAACAAGAACAACAACAAGTGCAGCAGCAACAGTCAACCAAAAAACGACACATATCGCATCCCGATAGTGCTAACACATAAGTTTTAATTGTGAAATGGTGTTGCATTCCGCAATACCATCCATTCAGCCTGCATACCAAAATGAATAAGAAAGAAAAAAGATCCAACACTTTAATCGCCTAAATAAACAAATCGCAATTGTCCGAAAAGATGAAACTTATCTACTTAAATATTCGATTTTGTTGTTATGTTCGTCGTCTTAGCTCGATCGAACGCCTTGTGTTCGCTTCAAAAAGCAAAACGAACAGAGAATGGAATGATGTAGGCTCAATTCGTTGCGAGTTTGAATATATAGTTTGTCGTTTCATTTGATGGAAAATCATATTGCTGGAACTGATTAGAGCCAAAATGACATGTACCTTTGACAAAAGTACTTAGAGGAAATGATCTTGAGCTCTTGTTACAACGAAACGAACAGACAGTGCTTGTCATGTTTTTTTTTCTTCTTCTTCTTCTCTCCATTTCCACGGCATATGTTTGTAAGTGATATGTTTGGAATAGTTGAAAACCCATTACGAACTTGAGTAGGTATCAACAAAAACACACATATTGAATCAACGTAAAATGTGCATTCATATCGAATGAAATGGCTTGTTGTGCCCGATTCTGAAATGCCAGCATTTGAGATGTTTTTTTTCCCCTATCTCGGTTCATTTCATTTTTTTTTATCTAATTTAAAATCCAAATTGAAATAGATCCTTCGGTGCATTGGACATAAGCATATGGAATGTTGTTTTAAAAATAAATATACATTTTCGTTCTTGATTTCAAGACGCGAGCTTCAGTTGTCACGTACGTATGTCGCTTACATGTGTGAGTGCGCTCGAGCGCACGCAGAATAAATACCATTATATCTATCTGTTGAATTGAAATACACAAGGGGAAATTCGTCTGACAAACAAAACATTGTTTTGGAATTATCACGTTTCCATGGTATATCTACGTTTAGCACGTGCCTTTGGTACGCTGGTGACCATTTTATCGACAGAAATCAAATAAAAATCACAGCAGTTTGCACAAACATAAACGGAACCCGTACAAATATTATTATTGCTTCGATTCTAATCTGCACTCAGAAATTCAATGAGCTTCGATGCGGAATAGCGTTTTGATAACGTGGCCATAAGTTGTTCACAACAAAATCGATCTAATGCCCATGTAATTCGGCATTTCAAACATATTTTTTTTCTACATATCTGAAAACAAATATTACAGTTATCATTTATGCAAAGAACATAAAACGTGATGAAATGCAAGCAATTTCGATATTGAGTCGAATGGTTTGGTGAGTTTTATTTGGACTTTTAGCCGCCACGTAACTCATCGAGGACATGATGTACATGATGCTCTCCACCGTAAGAATGAAAAAACGAGAAGAAAAAAAAACAAATCGAACGGCATTCAAACGTTTTATCGGAAAAGATTCGACCATTTTCCGCAATGAATACATGAAGAGCACACCGTACACTGCATTTCCGCAGTCATATCTCGCAGGAAAAAAAAGTTACGTAATTGTAACATTTGAGTCTATTATTAGGTGCGTGTGCACATTTTGCGTCACCGACGTGTTTCTCTCTGCTGGCTGGATGGCTGGCTGGCTTACTGGCTGCTGCTGCATGCACAATGCGGATGCATTGAGCATTGGAAAACATACAAGTGCATCTCGCACGAACCCAGCAAAATATTCGAACATCATTTTATACATTTCTACAAGTGGAACGAAAAATTAGTCAAACAGTTTTATATTGTACATACATATCTCTATATAGATATTGTATGAACACGTAATATTTGCACGATCCATTCTCATTCTATCATCATCTGTCTATGCACGGTGGTATGGCTATGGCAAATAGATATATAGCATCGGGTTGCTATGCTGTTTGATTTTTATTGCTGGGAAATGCAAATTTAAATTGGTATATTCCAACACAATTAGGAGAAAGAAAAGAAATTAAGACACACAAAATGCAATAAAAACCAATAAAACATTACATTCAATTGGGTCTATGTATTAAAAACAAAAAGTTGATGCCTTTGCAAATAACATGCGAAATAAATGTATATTTATGGATGTGAGTGCATAACAAATGATTCAAATTGAAATTGATTACCATACAAAAAAAAAGAAGAGAGAGACAGAGAGAGAGAGAGAGAGAGAGAGAGAGAGAGAGAGAGAGAGAGAGAGAGAGAGAGAGAGAGAGAGAGAGAAAGACGGAACGAGTAATAAAAACGTGGAACACAATTCTTTATTATTACTCTGTTTTTTTGTTTGTTTTTCGGTTTGTGTGTCGGGATGGTTGTTGTTTTTGTTTTTCGATGGAAGCATTCAACCTGATGAGCGATAAGTTCGAGATCATTAACAACTGTTATTCGGTATTTGATATTTTGCATTCATTATGTTATGCTTTCGTAGTCATCAGGAAGGGAAAAAAAAGAGAAATAGACGGCCGCTGCAGCAGCAGCAGCAACAGCGAGAATAATTTCATGCGCGTGTATGATGAGTATCTGGAAGTCTCAACTGATAACAGCCGAAAACACCACAGATTTGATCGGAATGGTGGAAAATGCAACGGAAAGCCTAACAAAAGCGTCGCATATCATCGCCGTTTGTGTGTTTACCAAATCAGCAACTTAATCCAACATCCAACTATTTTTTTTTGTGCCGACAAAATTTTCATTAAAATAAAACGAAAAATCAAGCAAGAACCCAAAGAAGCAAAACCAACTCGATGCATCTACCTGCCAACAGAACGAAACAACCGCAAAATTTGCAAGGAAAAATTCCTACTGCAACCGTGAAACGATCAACGAAAAAAAAACCATCCACAAGAACACAACAGCACACTCTCTGTACAAATAATGCTCATAGACTCTTTAATTAGAAGCAAATCCAATTTCATTCGATGCGCAAAATAGTCACGTAATGAACAGAACCGGCAATGTAATCGGCTCGATGTTTGTGAAAATGAATGAACTCTTCTCTCGCACTCCGTGGATATTTTCCTCGTCTCTGTTCGACGAGGCTAGGCAAAATGGGCGCTTTTTGAAGAGTAAACAATACACCAAACCATGCGATATACACAACGTGTATGTATAAATATGTAAATAGTGTGGAGATGCAGGCCTCCTGCATTCAGAGGAAAAAGAAGCAAACGAAACAAAAAAACAACAACAACAGCACCGAACAAATGAACGATAGAGATGCTTTGCACGTGAATATGTGGTAATATATGCTCACGACGGTTCATGATTTGCCATTTCATTTGGTGTGATATATGCAGAACTTGTGGAATGTCGCGACCATGACTCTCTCGGGATATGCGGAATTCAATAGATGAAACATATATTTCAGTCGAATTAAAATCACTGGCGGAAAGGAAACAGCAATGCACATGCACACACGATTAGCATGGCATGTTACATTTATCGTCTCAGATGCACACAAGCACACACATATACACTTAACACTCTGCCAGCCTGCTGGCGCGCACCGCCATCGTCATAACGATAGTATGATGTGCGAAAATCGTACGGGATGCTCGCCGATCTTGACTTGTTCGGGACGAGAACGAGCGAGTGTCGTATTCGATGCAAAGCCCATTTTCATATCAGTTACTTTTTGCACCAATATATTATTTCACTTTTATCTAAATCTTTCTCTTTCATATCATTTCCATT